CCCCCCTCCTCAGTGCCTCGAAAACGTCCCAGCTCTGATCTCCCGTGGGAACATCATCAATTCATTCACTCCAACACCCAACACCACCCAACCCCCCCCATTCCCCCCCCCACTGCGCTAGCTCAACATCTAGTCGCTCTTCGCTTGCTCTCGCTGTTTTCATCCACCACCCTCCTCCTCCCCTCTCATAATCCTCACTCGCCTCTCGCCTCCCGCCTCCCGCCATCCTCCCCAAACCCCCTCCCCTCACCTCCCTCTCCAAGAACCGCGTTGCCTTTATCAACGCCCCATCCTCTTCATCTCCTCCTCCCCTCAGGCGTGAGTCTCATCCTCGACACTCTCCCTCAACCTTCGTGCATCGCCTCTGTATCTCTTGGGCCTTTTTGCCTTGTGCGTCACCTCGATACACAGTCGCACAAACCTGCCATTTGAGCACACGCGCGCGCACTTCTGCCATCAGTGACAGACGCTGCCATCACCTCGCCTCGGTCACAGAAACCTTCATCCCTTCATCTGCGCAGCAGACATCGGCCTCGCGCGCATCCACTCTTCTTTCGCGGCCCGCCCCGTGCGCCCCACCCAGGTGCGCGCCACCATTCATCGTCGCGATAAGACGAGGCATCCGACGCGTCAACCCTACTACGCGGTGACCATTGCGCACAAGGTGAGCGTGTTTCCTTCAATGCCCATTCCATCCATTCTCCACGTTTCTGACACCATCGTCAGCCCCATCGACTTGTCACTACGCGTTTCGCCCACCACCCACCCGTCCCGTGCCGTGCCGTGTCCAATCCTCGCTCCACTTGGTTTGTTTCAAACGCGTAGCCAGCGGACCCACGCGAGTGGCGATCCTTGATCATTTTGATTGAATCGAGCCGTTTCTTCGGTCGTTTCCAGCCTCTAACATCGGTGCATCCGCCAATTTGAGACGGACGCCTACGACGCTGTACCCGCGACGCCGTCCCCACATCGCCACCTCTCCTCGGCAGTCAAACCCTCTCCCTCCCCCCAACCAGGCAGCCATACCCTCAGATTCGCATAGCCCAAGGCGCAAGGCTACGTTCCTTGGTCTACTTGTTCACATTGTCCTCTGATTCTTGGACACGCGTGCGCACGGCCAACACTGCAAACCCATCTTCCATCCATATCCCCCCCCATCATCTACCACACACTCAATCACCCTCGTCATCCAATTCTCTTGACGCGTGATCTCTCACCCCCCCTCCTATTACCCCCTCCCTCCTCCTCCCTCAAAAGCATCCACTCGTCGCTTTTTTTTCTTCGCTATCCACCCATCCCCACCACGACAGCAACGCCAGCTGGCCCCACACCTGCGCCTGCGTCTACGGGCAATAGTCGTGACATTGTTGCGCTACTGCGCCTTATAGTCGTCAACATAAGGACGACTTTCTAAGTTGAAGGCCCTGGCGCTCAAAGTGAGTTCGCATCATGAAACACACCACAAGGGTTTATTGTGCAATTCGCTGATACCCCTTCTTTTGCAGGCCATGGCCTTGCCTCAACCACCTCTACCGCGTCCTTCACACGCGTCCGGAGCTGTGATTCACTCCAACTATCACCTCATGCAGCAGCCAGGTCAGCCCGGCCAGCCCGGCATGCCGATGCAGTACGCACAGTACGGCAACATGGGCGTCGTTCGCCCTCAGCCCGGCATAATGAGCATGGCCCAGCACCAGGCCATGCTGCAACAGCAGCAGCAGAGGCAGCAACTGCTGTCCACTCAGCAACATCTCGCCCAGGCCCAGGCTCAAGCTCAGGCTCAGGTGCAGGTGCAGTCGTTGCAGCAGGCCCAGCAGCAGCAACAGCAAAATCTGCAGCAGCAACAGCTTGCTGCGCAGGCTGCCGCTCATGCCCAACAGCAGGCCCAGCAGGCTGCATCTCAGCAGCAGCAGCCACGCCCGATGGCTGCCCATCATATTTCCGCTTCTCCTCATTTACAGCCAGCCTTCTCCGTCAATGGACCAGCATCGGTCCTCCACCCTCAACACCACCCGGGTTATGCCCACCAGGCCGCCGTTGGGATGGCGCGCCCACCAGGCGCTCAGATCCGTCCAACAAGAGGTGGTCCAGTGCGCCCGGGGCAACCGGCAGGTGTCGCTGTGACTCCGACACCGGCGTACTCTATGCAGCAGCCAGGTCAGGTTGGTGGCCAGGCTCAGCACCCACAGCACCTCGCAGGCCAGATGACTCCACAGTCGCAACATGCGACTCCAGGTGCTATGAGTCAGCCCACACACGCGCAATCGGCGAGCGCCGAGCACCAGCTGGCAGCCCAGCATGCTTATAACATGTCTAGAGCAGGGTCCGTTCAGTCGCAGATGGGGCAGTCGTCCCACGATCCAGAGTCATTGTAAGTTTTGAGCCGACATGAGGTTGTTATTGTCAACGTCGAGCTGACGCGGTTAACAGACTGCGACTGTATGTTTTTGATTACCTATCGCGACATGACTTTGCGAACACGGCGTCGACCATGCGCAATGAGGCCGGCATCAGCGAGCAGCCCGTGCAGATTGCTCACCCGAAAGGCGCATTATACGAGTGAGTTAAACAAGACTGAACTTTGTGTCATATCATTGCGCTGACACTTTTACAGAGCCTGGATGGCCTTTTGGGAGTTGGCATCTGCCGGGAAGGGGTTATCAGCAATGAACAACCCGATTGTTTTCTCCGAGACTCTTGCCAAGATTCGCGGCATGGCCTCGCAGATTAACGGCACCGGAGGCCCGAGTCCTCAGCCGGGTCAGCAACAGTACCAGGGCGCAGCCACTGCCGGAGCGGCACTCGCCCGTGCACCTTCACAGCAGGCCCATCCCGCCTACCTCACTCAGCAGCAGCAAGTGCAGCAGCAGCAGGTACAGCAGCAGCAGCAGGTTCAACAGCAGCAGCAGGCGCAGCAACAGCAGGTGCAGCAGCAGCAGGCGCAGCAGGCAGCTCAGCAGGCGCAACAGCAAGCCGCGCAGCAGCAGGCCCAGCAAGCTCATGCTCAACAGCAGGCGGCTCAGCAGGCCGCGCAGCAGCAGCAGCAGCAGCAGCAGCAGGCAGCGCAGATGAGCCAGGCCCAGCAACAGGCAGGGATGTCACCCGCTCACGTCGCGATGCAGCAGGCTCAACACTTGCAGCAGGCCGCAAACCAGCAGCACCATTTGCAGCAACAGCAGGCGCAACAGCAGGCGCAACAGCAGGCGCAAGCGCAGGCGCAGGCTCAGGCTCAGGCTCAAGCGGCGGCGCAGGCTCAGGCGCAGGCGCAGGCGCAAGCACATGCTCAGAACGCCGCTCGGTTCCAATCTCAAGGCCTTGCTGGCTCTCCTGCCCAACACGCCCGTCCCCCTCCAGGTCAACAGCATGTGTACACAGCATCCCAGGCCGCTCACATGGGAATGCAGCCACCATCGCAGGCTCCCCCGAACCACCCATCTCCCGTTCAGCCATCACCACGGATGGTTCCGCAGCACGCAGTGATGCCATCGCCATTGCAGAAGCCTGCTCGCCCTCCAAACGGCATGCCTGGCGGAACGCCAACGATGATGCACGCCGGCCTCTCCCAGCAGGGTGTGCCCATGAGCCAACCTGGCAGCGGTACTTTCATGCACCCCGCCACTCCCCAGGCCGCAGCTGCCAGCCCAGTCGGGACTATGACTCCGCAGCAGCACCAACAGCACGCCCCGCCCCATGCTGCCATGCAGATGGCTCAGATGCGTGCTCAGATGGAACAGCAGAAGCAGGCGCAGGCAGCTGGCCAGCACATGCCCCATCAGCAACAGCAACATCCAGGCGCCCACCTGCAGCAGCAGCAGCAGCAGATGCTACAACAGCAGCGACTGGGCGTCCAGCACAATGGTCTAGGAAATCAGATGATGTTGCAGCAGCACTTTCAACACCAGCAGATGAACGCGCTGGCGCAGCAAGTTGGGATCTCCAACCCGATCCCATCCGTTTTCAATGGCGCCTTGCACTCGACCGGATTGGCGGGTCGTGACTTCAAGTCTCCTCTTCCAGACAAGGAGGCGGTGAGTGTCATCACGATGGCGTTGGTCTAACAGTCAGGAGCAGCTTCGAGCTACGTACGGAAAAGGGTTGCAAGAGCACACCCAGCGGATGATGAACAAGGACTCATCTATGCCGCAGGCTCAAAACGCCCAGCAACAGGCGAGCGGGTCCCCAATCATTGCTGGCAAGACAATGGGCGGACCCCACTCGCAGCAACACCCTGTGCAGCGCAATTCCAGTGGCGCCGCGCGGCCTCATAGCATGGCCTTTGGCGACTCTACGCCGATGCAGGTGAGCAGCGTTTCTTTGATCTCTGCTGACGCCTTGCAGCAGGCCGAGTCGAATCAGGGTGCACCTCGCGGCAACACGCCGCCAGATCGCAAGCGTCAGCGGCGCAACTCGGGCAGCGCAGCCCCGAGCCCATATATCCAGCCTCAGACGTTGCAGTCGGGCTTCCAGCCCAACATGGGCATGGCCCAGCAGATGTCGGTCATGGGCGGCAGCCAGCAGGGCCGCATGCCTATGAACGGCGGGATGGAGGGGCAGAGCCCAGGCATGCCTGGACAGTCGCCGCGCACCATGCCCAATGGAGTCCCCGGTCATTCGATGCAGCGGAACCAGAGCAAGCCTGGCGACGGGTCGATGCCACCACCACAGAGTCCAGCAGGCACAAGTCTTGGTCGTAAGACGCCCCAGGCTTCCGGGATGAGTGCGATGACACCTAAATTGGCGAACAACGACGTTAATGTGAGTGCTCATCCAGGTTTATAGTGTAAGCTGACATGAAGCGCGATCAGGGAACGCCCAAGTCACTTCGGAATTCGCCCAACAACAACATTGGTGCACCCCAGTCCGAGTCGCAGATTCAGTCCGGGCCACATGGCGTGACTCCGTCGCCACCCAACCCGGTTGGCGGGAGCGCGGGCAACGCAGGCGATGCGTCCGCCCAGGCAGGTGCCAACTCGAACGGCCCTGCGGCGTCAAAGGCTTTCGACATGTCGGGTGCCAACGCGTCTGGCAATGGTAATCAGTCGCTGTTGGGCGACTTCCCACCAGCCGATGGCGATCTGGCCGACTGGTTCAATAACTTTCCGATAGGCGACGGTTTCGACTTTTCCCAGTTTATCACCGATGGGGGCGACGACAGCGGCGAGGTCATGCTCGCATAGCGCTAGCGCTTCTCGCCATTGTGACTTTAACGATTCCGTCCGACCACATGCCACCATGACCTTGCAGCCTCCATGTCCGATCGCAACATCCATGTCTCATTATTGTTTCACTTCATTGTGTCTCCACTTCCTGCTCCTATGTCTTGTTTTGCAAACCACATTAGCGCATGATTTGCTATACCCCCTACATCTATAGCACGTATTGGATGCACTTTCTCTCCAGCAGTGTGGAAGACCTCATGTGATGTTGTAGGTCTATCGTCGGGCATGCACGTTTCTACAGAATGTCGTCCCGCGCTTCCCGCGCATGCCAAGAAGACGAAAGCGGCGAGGCCAGGCGGCGTGGTGAAGAAGTCTGACGAACGTGTGACCCTGCAAGTCCGCTTATCGTCAGAAAACGCGGCAGATCTGCAAAACATGACATCAGCCAAAGTCGGAACTCGCAATGCAAGTGCCAAGTCGCCGTCGCCACATCCACATTTTGCATCTTGCATCTTCTCGTCTCACCATGGCCTCGAGCTCGCCCGGCGCACGCGCGCCACTAGCGCTGACCCCACTCACGCCGCCCAGCTCCAGGCTGCCGACGATCTCGATGCGGGCGCTCACAGCCGCAGGCACCGCACGGCCCATCGACGCACGGAGCATCGTGACCCTTATCATCTTCTTCGCCGTCAGTGAGTCGCGTCGAACATTCCGCCGGGCTCCTGTAGCAGAGGGCTCACGCAGACGCCCTCGTCATATTCCCGCTGCGCATCCCGCTGCCGCGCGTGCTGGGGCGCGTGGCCAGCGAAGCACGCGATGCCGTCCTCGGTCTGGGGCGGTGGGACGCGTACGTGCACCAAGGCGAGATCCGCGAGACCCGGGAGATCCGCGAAACCCGGGAGATTCGCGAAAGCAAGGACGCCCAGGAGGAGCGTCATGAAAGCCGTGCGCCAAATGACGACGGAAAGGAAGCGAACGGCGCGAGCACGACTGGCGCGAGCACCACCAGCGAGGCGAGCAAGAGCTCGGAGACCGACGTGCCGACGCCAACGCCTGACACACTTGCTGCGCCCTCACATGCCCCCGAAGATGCAGGGGCGGCGGCAGAAGCGACGCCGTCCGCCCGCCCGCACTTCACGCTCGGGCTCGCCACCGCACCTGTCGCGGGTGTCCTCCTCCTCCTCGCGAGCACGTGCATCCCCGGCAGCGTGGTGCGCGGGGGCATTGTCGGCGGTGTCCGTCCCTACGACATCATGACGCTCTTCCTTGCGTTCGCGTACATCTCCCTCTCGCTGGACTGCACCGGACTGCTGCGATTCCTGGCGTTCGCAGTCGCGGCGCGCGCCTCGTCGTCCGGCAAGACCCTCTTTTTGGCGCTGTACGCGCTCTTCGTCCTCCTCAGCCTCGGGGTAGGCAACGACCCCGTCGTGCTCTCCGGCACGCCCTTCGTCGCCTACTTTACGACGCACACAGGCGTGCTCCCCACGCCGTTCCTCTTCGCGCAGTTCCAGGCCGCCAACCTCGCCAGCGCGCTCCTCGTGTCGTCCAACCCCACGAATCTCGTCCTCACAAGCAGCTTCCACCTCTCCTTCCTAAGCTTTAGCGCGTGGACGGCGCTGCCGACCCTCGCGGCCGCTGTCGCGCTCTACCCCGTCCTCGCGGTGCTGTACCGCAAGCTCATCCCGACGACGCTGAGCCCGCCGAAAGTCGATCCGCGGGACGCGCTCGTCGACCCCTTCGGCGCGATCTTCACGAGCACAGTCTTCGTCGCGGCGATTGTCGCGCTCGTCGCGCTCAGCGCAGCCGGCAAGCTTGAGGGCGTAGAAGGCGTGTGGACAGTCACGGGGCCCGCGGCGGTCCTCGTCCTCCTCCGCGACGCGTTGCATGACCTCCGCCGCGGCCGGAGCGGCGGCGGCGCCCTCAGGCCCGAAGCGGAGATGGCGCGTGTCGGGCCGGCACGCACGTCCGACGACGAAGCGGCGCAAGCGACGGGCACCGAGCGCCCGCCGAGTGCGGGCGTCGCGTCCATCACGACGGAGAAGTCGCGCTCGCCATCGCCATCAACAGCGCCATCGCCCGACCCTTCCCCGGCAGCACGGGCGCCCGTCGCTCGCGCCCACCCCGTCGCGTGGCTGCGGCACACGTTCCCGACCGTCGCGGCCGTCGTGTCCCGCCTCCCCCTCCCCCTCCTCCCCTTCGCATTCAGCATGTTCATCCTCGTCGACGCGCTCGAGCACACCGGCTGGGTCGCAGTCTGGGCGCGCTGGTGGGCGGCATGGGCGCGCGCCGGCGGCACAGCGGGCTGCGTGTGGCTCATGGGCGTCATCTCCGTCCTGGGCTGCAACGTGAGTCGCGAGAGATAAAAGCTGACCCCAGATCCTCGGCACAAACATCGGGCTCACCGTGCTCCTGTCCCGCATCCTCGTTGTGTGGCGCGACGCGGCTGCGCCCTCCGACCGCACCCTGTACGGGAGCGTGCTCGCGCTCGCCATCGGGTCGAATTTTGGCGCTTACTCGTTTGTGTACGTCGGCACCGCGAGACATGCCTGATGCCAGATTCTCCGCGTCGCTCGCCGGCCTGCTCTGGCGCGACATACTCGCGCAAAAGGGCCTCAGCGTCGGCCGGCTCGAGTTCATGCGCTGGAACATGGTCCCGCTGTGGACCACCATGGCCGTGGGCTGTCTTGTCGTGGCCGCCGAGGTGTGCGTCATGTTCTAGAGACGCCGAGGGTGAGTGTGTAATCTCGTGGGGTATGGTTTGGACTCTGTAATCTCGTGGGCTATGGTTTTGGACTCCGTGGGACGATCTCGTAGACAAATAGAGCGATGCAGACGCTACCTCTACAGCTTGGCCCGCCACTTGGGCTCCTTCGCCGCGGCTTTGCGCTGCTCGACCAGCCACGCTTTGGCGGGGCCGACGCGCGCATCAGCCTGCGCCGTGACGTACCGCTGGTGCGCGGCGCTATTCCGGTCGCCGAAGATGGAGACGGGCGCCGCGCCGCCCGCACCCGCGACACGCGGCAGCGGCCCCAGCCGCGCCTCCCCGAGGTCCGGGCAGCGCTTGAGCAGTGTAGCAATGTCGAGGCTCTCGCCGGGCGGCACGGCGTTGGGATTGCTCGGCGTCGTGCACGCCATATCCGTCTCCTTGCGGAGCACGTGGTCGACGTCGACGGCGGAGAAGAAGGCTATCCCCTGCGGCATGTCGTCAAACCCGAGGTTGTAGCAGAAGAGGGCGCGCGTCCACACATTCGCAATCTGCAGGGCGAGGGCGGTGCGCAGCTTGTCTTCTTCGCGCGCGAGGTAGCGCACCTCGTCGTGCACCGAGAGCAGGTAGCGCGCCGCGATGCCGTACTTTGCGATGAGGTATTCCATGGCCGTGATCAGCAGGTGCAGGTAGTCGACGCCCGACGATTGCACGACCCAGTTGATGCGGCTGGGGAGGTACGAGTTGCCCACGGCGAGGAAGCTCTTGCGCAGCGCGCGCGTCACGCCGCACCCGAGCGCCGGCGTCGTCGGCCGGTCCATGAGCGCAATGGATTCGAGCGTGTTGAAAAGGTACGACTCGGAGCCGCCGTGCCACAGATAGCTCGATCCGTTGGCGTCCTTGGGCCCAAACGTCTTGCGCCCCTTGGTCTGCTTGTACAGGTCTGTCGCGAGCTGATCCGCTGCATCGCGCGTAAGCTTGCCGTCGCCCTGCAACAGGAGCTGGATCGCATGCGGCTTGCCCGCGCCGTAAATGCGCGAGTAGTTGAACACCTTGGCTGCGTCGCGGCTGATCTTGAGAATCTTGGCCGTCTTGCTGTGCAAGTCTGTGCCCGCGCTCTTGGTGCCTTCGAGCGTCATCCACCCGATCGCCGTCGCGCCATGCACTCCAAATTGGCTGTCTCCCATCACGCTTGAGATCCACAGCTCCTCTGAATCGACGTCCGCTCCCACGATCGCGTACCCTGGCGGCGCGCGCACCATGCTCTTGAGCTCGGAGCCGACGCGGTTCTTCTTTGCGTTTGAAGCCGTCAGCCACGTCGCCTCGACCGCGCGCCGCGTAACCGTTCCCATCGTGATCACCTTGGGCAGGATCATGCCGCGCTCGCCGTCGAATACGACAAATTGGTTCATGATGCGCTCACGGGAGGAGATCCAGTAAGAGCACAGCGCGTTCATGTTGACCGCGCGTGAGGCCACATTGGCTAATTGCGTGTCCTCATCCGTGGCCAGCGCGGACGACAGATCGCCATTCTCGACAGCCCGCAGGAATGCCTTGCTTAACGGATTCCCGACGTTGCTGCCCTCGCCATCTTTGTGGGGAATGCGGAAGTAGGCATAGGCGTCGTCGGCGAGCCGCTCGTCCGCCGCGTCGCTCAGCACTACCTTCTTCTCGGCGTACAGCGTCGACTCGGGCTCGTCGCTCACGTCTTCCAGGGGCACGCGGTAGACCCACTTGTGCTCCTTGCTGTACGCGAGCGGATAACCCTGCCACTGCATCCGGAGCAACAAGGGAGCAATGGTCTTGCGCATCGTCAGGTCGAGCTGGCCAGCCGGCACTTTCTTGTTTGTGGCGGGTACCGTCAGATCCCAGTACCACTTAGGCCAGGTGCCCAACGCTACCTTGTCCTTCTTCTTTTTCTCCGCCGCACCCGGAACGGTAGGCGTCCAGTCGAGCTGCGTGCTCCAGTCGTCAACCGGGCCCGCCGCGAGCATTTCCCGAGCGCTCTGTAACAAAGAGTCTAACTTGTCACCTAGGTTGCCATCCATAGCGGCTGACAAGAGGTCGGGGTCCTCGCTCGTCAGGATGCCATCCCTGACATCTTTGGCACTGGTCTTGCCGAGAAGCTGCGCTCGGCGGTTTGCGTCAGGGCCCACGACGCGGAAGAAGACAGACGCGTCCAGATGATCCGCCAATCTGTCATCCTTCGCTGATAGCTCGACTGGAGCGCCATGCAGCGGCATGAGATCCGGGATGTCCTCGATCGGCGCCTTGAAGCACCAATAATGCTCTGCGAGGTAGAAGACGGGGTAGCCGCGGTACTTGACCCGCAATAGCAGTGGAAGAAGCTGTCGCCTGTGCTTGTTGTCGAGGAGTACGTTGGGGTCAGCCGCCAGGGGACAGTACCAAGCCGGCACTTCAGTCCCGAGAGCCTCTTTTTCGGCTTTCGGAGGCGCACCGTCGCCCCATCGCGCCGTCTTGGGCGACCAGTCTAGCTGTGATGTCCATGGGTCGTCTGGATTTGGTCCTGCCGCGCGCAACCTGTCGGCCAGGGTGCGGAGCGCCAGGCGCACATCCTCCTTGAGCTCCTGATACAGCGTTTCGGCCTTGCGGAGGTACTCCTCCCAACTCCGGTCGACGGGGAGGAATGAGTTGCCCATTGCCAGCACGCCCGCAAATGTTGCCGGATGCGGACATGATGTGAGGAAAAGCGGCAGCACAGCTTTATACACGTCATGAGTGACCTTGACGTCGGTTGCGCAGTAATCCAGCAGCTCGTCCAGTTCAGGACGCAGCTGGGACGCATGGCGGATCTCCTCGTCGCCAAAACGGTCGCGCGTCGATTTATCGACCCTCACGCCACAGTGAAGCGCCGCAACCTCCGCCAGCGAGTTTAGGCTGGTGGTGTCCTCCCAGTTGGAACCCGGAGTGTCATCGATCGCGCTCACCTCGTTCAGGCCGTCGGTGAGCCAACTGTCTCCCGTCTGCTCCGCTTGCTCTCTGAGAAGGTCGAGCGCTTCGGTGCGGTGCGACTCGTTCTCTCTCTTGACCTTGCGATGCTTCATCCACGCCGGGCGCTGGACGCTAGTGATCCCGCGCGTCGCAACGTGCAGCGATAGCGTGTCGAGCCAGCGTGTCGGCGTCCGCTCGAGGGCGTATTCATCCGCGACGCGCGCGCGATCGTAGCCGACGTTGTGGCCAACGACGATCGCCGGCCCGTTGTCTTTGAACAGTGGGATGAGCGTGTGCGGGTAGCAGTCCGGCGTACTCTTGTCCCACGGTTCTCGTTCTGGCGGTTCCTCCGCGGGCGGGGTGTCGAAAACGCTGGGAGAGAGCCACGAGTACCATGCGTTTGGAGAGGCGGCGGTCGCCATCACAGGGTACGGCGAAAGTTTGTACAGCGTCTCGACGTCAAACGACACTGCCGTCTCGCCGTCGAGATTGTCGACAGGGGTGACACTCCCGTCACGGCCATACCGTGTCCACCCGGGTCGGCTGGTCTCCCACCGTTGTGGCATAGGGGGAAGGTCGGCCGCGACAAAATCCTTCGCGTGGGAGAGGTATGGCTCGGCGGCATATGCGCCCAGCGCATGAAAGTGCTCGCGTACATTACTCCCCTCCAGTGGCGGGAGGTCGAGAGAAATCTCCGGTAAGACAGCAGCTCCGTCGCCGCTCAGCCCATGCTGCCCAAGGTGCCACTTTGATATATCCAGCAGCGCGTCTGGAGGGCGCGGCAGTGGAGCACCGGGGAACACCTGCTGGTGCATGTGGGAGGAGAGGAGCTGCACGCCGACGGGGTTACGTCGCGGCCCGGAGTCAGGCTTGCTCGAGATGGAAGCGGCTGCTGCAGGCGGCTGGTCGGTGAGGGAAGGGAGCTTGCGACTTGCGGCGGCGTGGGCCAGTGTGCGAGCGGACACGACGGGCGAGCCTTTGGGCGCGGATTGTGATGGGGCCGTAGACGTGTGACGTTTGGGCGGTGTTTCTTCGTACTCATCAAGAAGCTGCGGCGCACGTTCTTTGCCCTTCCGGCTAGGCTTTGCGCGAGACGCGGGGGATACCGGAAGGGAGGGCTTTGGAGGGGAGGAGGCCGAGGATGGCCCGGCTTCGGGGACGCCCAGGTCCTGCACGTGAGCCTCGGCAGCGGCAGGCGCAGGCTCAGCAGGGGCCAGAGACTTTACTGCGGCCTCAGCTGGTTTAACACTGTCCATGTACATGGACAAACTCGGCAGTTGTGAGTTGCGAACATGCTTGAGGGGCAATTCTTGCCGCTCGGATTGGACCTCCAGTGCGGCCTCATAGTCTATCTGCTCGGGTGACTTGCGCGCGCGCGCCGCAGCGAGCCGAAGCACCGCTTGGGTGGACATGGGTGCGCCGCGCCGAAGGCGGAAGGCGCTACGAACCGCCATGTTGAGAGGTGGTGTGAGGATCGCGAGGACGAGTCGAGGTCAGAAATCTTGTGAAACCTAAGGCTGCAGGACGGCGAGTGCGTTCCTCCTTGCCGATATGTCATGTGTGCCTGACGGGATCAAATGGTCACGCGGCTCATTGTTTACATCTTGAGGATAAACAGGATCTGGGTCGCTACAACCTCTACAAAGCTACAAAGAAATTTACAATGAACAGCAGGGCGCGCGAATGGAGCTAGTAGCAGCCAATAAAACGGGCCAGGCGCTTGCGCTTGACCTGCGTGTTGCCACCCTCGTCGAGCCCGTACGCGGCCAGGAGGCGGGTCACCGTAAGGTCTGCCGTCAGTGATGCAGCCAGAGGTGCGGAGGCGCGGAGGAAGACTCACTCGGAAGTGCGTAAAGCTCACCGCGAGTGCGAGGGAAAATCTCAGGGGGCGGACCGGGAACAGGAAGGATCGCCGGGAGCGGCTCGTCGATGTTCAGACGCGGAGGAGGAGTTGGGAGAGGAGCCAGAGGAGAATCACTGACTCTACCCGACGCATTGTAAATGCGCGCAGTTATCAGCTCGCGCCTGAGAGTCAGCTGCAAAGTCTATCTCAGATACTCACTCGTAGGAGGTGTCGATACGTTGCTGCGCGGTCTGCAGCTCAACCCGAGCGACTTGAGCCTTCAAGCCTGCAATGTCTGTCTTGAGAGCTGCAACGTCTGCCTTAAGGGCCGCAACATCTGTCTTGAGGCTTTGACAGGTGTCGTTGATGGTGAAGACGGCGCCAAAGAGGGCGCGACCCCAGGCGGGGGTGTCAGCAGGCGGCACCGGCATGTCGAGGATGGCAGGGTTGGGACTGCATTTGCTAAGGACGTCAAAACAATCGCGGATGGTCACGAAAGTGTCACGGATGGTGCCAGCGTCCCCCATTTTGGAATCTTGAGAGTCTGGAGAGGAGGTGGATAGAATGAAGTACGAAGTCAACATGAAGACGAGGAAGGTCGAGTATTTATGGCATGTCTGGCCGCGCAAGAGCGGAGCCAAACGTGTCACGTGTCAACAACGATGACGAACCCCCAACATGATCTGCGATCTCCGCTCCATTCATCCACTTAACACTCTTTCGCTATCATCTTATTCTCACCCGCTCAGGGCGTCATGGGCATCTTCTCGTGGTTGTACGGAGTTCGTAGGCGCGCCTCTGCAGCAAGCGCCGTTGCTCGGGAGCTCTGTTGACGCCAGTCCAAGTCGACCGACTACGAAACCGTCCTCGCCCAACTGGCAACTGAGATCAACGAGGCCAAGCAGAACCTCTCTGAGATTCGCCTGCGGCAGCGTCGTTTTACTCTTGTCGTTAATGCGTACGGCATCGGCCTGTGGGCTGTCATCCTCGGCCTGTGGTACTTGGGGAAACTGCCATGGGGCTTGGTCGGATGGGATGCGGATGGGACTGAGGCCAAGGTCGTTGGCGGGGCCGCCGTGGGAGGCGCGCCGTTTGTGTAAGTTACGAGAAAGCTGGAGGGGTGGTCTAAGGCGTGACTGACTCTGGCAGGATCTGGCTGCTCAACCGTACCATTTCGTGGATCTTTGTGCGCAAGCGCACGTCGGAAGGTAGGCTGCGTGATCTCGTTCGAGCTGACGCCCAGAGACTCATCTCCGGCTCCTGCTCAACAAGCAGAGGAAACAGGTCGAGGAGATCAAGAAGGCCACCAACTTTGACACAACCCGCAAGCTTATTGAACAATACGAGGACTCGCCCATGGGCACACCACAACGCACCCCCCAGCGTAGTCCCCAAACACCGCAGCGCAAGGGGTCGCCGGCAACGTCGCAGTCTCCTCAGCAGACACCGCAGAAGCACACGCCGGGGCAGGGCGCACCTGTCTCTCCGGCGCAGGGGACGCCGCATGCGCCCGGCCACCTTGCAAGTAAGCTGACGCGAGGCCGGAAGAAGGACCCCGCGCTGACCACAGCGCGCCCGCAGACCCCGCTGCCGATTCCGCCTGGGCTCACGCCCGAGCAGGCCGCTATCCTCCACATGCAGATGCAGGCCATCACACCGGTGCTACCGACGCCCGAGAAGAAGTGGTATGACCGGCTGGCGGACACGATCCTGGGCGACGACCCGGCTCAGGCCACGCAGAGCAAGTACGCGCTCGTGTGCGAAAAGTGCTTCCGGCACAACGGGCTTATCGGGTCCAAGCACGAGTGGGAGCGCATGCGTGAGTTGCGGTGGCTGTGGTTTTGCCGGTGCCAAGCTGACTCCAGAATGGATTTGCCCGCGGTGCAACCATATGAACCGCGCGCCGCTGTCGCGCATGGCGGGAGAGGAAGGATATGCACACGACGTGCCGACGCCGCAGCAGTCGCAGTCGCTGTCCTTATCACAGTCGCAGTCTCAGGCGCTGCCCGAGACGCCGAGCAAGCCGGCTAAGCAGCGCGGGGCGCCCACGGCGTCGCCACTCCGGAGGGCAGTGGGCGCGCGCAGTGCGCGCTCCTCGCGTCTGGGACAGGAGGTGTTCTCGGCGAGCGATGCCGAGGACGCCGAGGACGACAAAGACGAGGAGGGGTACGAGGTCAAGGACGACGCGATGGAGGTGGACAAGTAGAGCTGTACAGGGAGGATGCATCGCGCGTGGCTAGCGCATAGCTGTGATTGTGATTGTGACTGCCCAGCCCTGCTCCACACTTGATCTTCAATGCATGCACTAGTATACAGTTACAACGCCTATGCCAAATACACGGGGACGCCGTAGACGACGACGGCCGCACCAGTGAGGTAGGGCAGGCGGGCCGCGCTGCGCCCCTGGCTGACGGCCTGGACGATGCTGCACGCAGCGCCCTTGCCAATCTTGCCGGCCTGCAGCCCCAGCGTGTCCATGACGTGCACCGTGACGCGGTCGATGTCCTTGTCTGTCACGTCCCAGAGGTTGGCGACGAGGCACGGCGCCCCGGCGAGGAGGTAGTCGTGCGGCGTGCCCGTGGGGTCGAGGTCGCCGTGTTCGCGCAGCATGCCCGAGCTGCAGCCCCAAAGCATAGTGGCAGCGCAGCGGCGCAGCGCGCGCACCTTGTGGCTGCGGAGGTAGGCCTCGCCGCCGCCGTGGCCGAGATACATGACGAGCTCGGAGTGGGTGAGGGCGTCCACCATCTCGGCCTCGGTGGGCGGGCGGCCCGCGATGCCGGCCCACCCGTCGGCTTCGAGGGCGCGCAGGCGCGCCCCGAACCGCTCTTGCGTGCCGGGCAAGTCGCCGCCTGGGTTGACGATGTAGTGCGTGTTGCGGGCGTCGAGGGTGCGGTGCGCCGCGTCGGCGCCGAGCGTCGCGCCCAGCGCAACCTGGTCGAGGAGGAGGGGGAGCGAAGCGATGCGGCTGACGGCGCGGCCGCGGAGGATCGGGATGCTTTCCCATGGGATGCTTTGCACGTTCTTGTCGAGCGCGAGGAGGAGGTGCTCGTCGCTCGCGCCGCGCTCGAGCATGCCCGTCGCGAGCTCGAGGTCCGCCAGCGCGGCCTTGACGTCCACGCCGATCTGGTCAAAGTCGAGCTCGGCGAGCGCCACGGCAATCCCGTGGAACTGGTACAGGTCCAGCACGAAGTAGACGAGGTCCTCGACCTCTTCGTCGCGGCACTTGGACGAGAGCGTGGCGAAGCACGCGAGCAGCGTGTCGTTAAGGCGCACACGGGCGGCCTTGCGCGCGTCCGACCCGCCCGCCGTTATCGCTGCGTGGAAAATACGATCCAGGCGAGCCCTGAACGTCGCGAGCGCGTCCGCGTCAAATTCGAGGCGCGGGTTCAGCACCGTCTTGAATGCGCCGAGCCAGCAGAACTCGATCGTTGCTAGCAGCTCGCTGAGGCGTGTGTCCAGCTCGTGCCGCTCGCGCCACCAGGCCTTGCGGTCGTCCTTCGACTCGCACCCCTTGCCGCTCTTGAGGTTTGCGTCGGCAGCGGCCATTATCGCGCGCATCTCAGCGATGCCGGCATCAAAGCTGAACAGCTCGCTCTCGTCGTCCCCGTCGCGCCGCCCCTGCCGGTCGAGCGGAATGCAGAATACAATCGCCTCGTGTCCGTTCTGGTGGCGCGTGACGAGCATTGTATTACGGTCGTCCGTCACGGTGATGCTCACGACGGCCCAGTTGGTCGGCAGGGCGCTGAGGTCGTAGTCGCCAACGAGGCTGACATCGGCATGTCGCGCCCGCACGTCGGCCCAGTACGCCTGCAGCGCGTCCGCTGGTTCGGGGACGGCCGCGTCGAGCACAGGCCAGTCCATGTCGTCCGCCTCGGCGTCGGGGTACTTGCTGTCGATGGCAGCGAGTAGCTGGCGGTGAAGCGTGATCGACGACACGGATGCGAGTGTGCTCGCCGCCGAGGCGGTAGTGGCGGGCGAGCCGTGTCCCAATGACGTCTGGAACGCGCCGAGCAGAGCGAGCGACACGCATGTCTGGCGCACGTCCTCTACGCGGCCGCGCGCCGCGATGGTCGCGAGCGTGTTCCGGAACGCAGCCGACGCCCGTTCAAGCTGCTGCACCGCGTCGTGGCGCGTCGAGAGCCGGTCTTTGCCCCGCTTTCCCGGCGAGCCCATCGTAAGCGCGATCGTCGACTCGGTGAGCGAGCTCATGAACAAGTCCGTCTTGAAGTACTTGAATGCGTCGTGCATGGCCACGCGCGCTTCCAGAAGCAGCTGGTCGGGCGTGTCGCTCAACGAGCGGGGCACGCAGTTCAGCTGCTCGACGATCGCGTCGTACGCGTCCAGATTACCGCCTTCGCGCATGAGCCACGCGCGCTGGCGCAGCATGTGGCCAAGGGAAAGCGGCAAGAGGGGCTCGCGCAAGCTGGCCGCTGGCATGATGCTGTCTTTGCGTGCGGACGGCATCTTGGTCTCGGCAGACATGAACTCTTTGTCGAGGCCCACGAGATGCTCGACCGCTCCGGCGAACAGCTCGTCGGCGGCCAAGCCCTCGGCTTGGCGCGAGAACAGCTCGCCCTTGATCCGCTGGATCTCGACTGCCTCAGGCCCATCGACGGTAAGCACCGAAACCGCGTGGTCGATCTGCTCCGCCGTCTTCTCGAAGTTGAGGCGGCGCGTCTCGAACTCGGCAGTGTGCGAGGCGGTGCGGGCATCAAGTGTCGAAGAGCGCACCGACGACACCATGCCGCGCGCCTGGTTGAGGTAGTACTCGCACTCCTTGACGGATCCCTGCTGCGCGAGGGCCAGCGCGATGTCGAACGTAGCCTCGAACAGTGCCTGCCGTCAGCCGCGTAAGTCTCCAGCGCTTACCTCTGCAAAGTACCACTGCAACCCGCCGAGCCGCTTGCCCACGAAGCAGAAGGCCTGTTTCTTGTCCTTCTCCTTGTCCTTCCCCTCGGCCGCCCCGTCCTCCGCAGGCACAATTGCAGGCGCTCCAGCCGGCTCCTGCGCCTCAGCAGCAATGTGCGCAATACCAGCCGCGGCGCGGCTCCACAGGCGGTACGCGACGGCGAGATGCGCGACGGCGGAAGTCGCATCCTCCTCGGCCATCGAGATGGCCGCGGCAGCGGCGTACGCAAGCGCCATGCGCTCGGTCGCGGCGCAGATCTGGATCCAGCGCTGTGCGAACGTGCCGGCGCGCGCGGGCGGCGCGATGTGTTCCGCGACGCGCGCGGCTGCGGCCAACTCGGCGCGCGCGTGCTGCGCGTGCCCGCCCGCCGCGAGGAAGCGGGCGTGCCGCAGATGCAGCTCGGCGCGGGCGGCGGGCGCGGCGCCGTCCGCCTGCTTCTGCGCCTTGGCGAACACTTGTGCCGCGCGCGAGACTTTGCCGAGCCGGCCGTACTCGGCCGCGACTTGCGCCGAGGTGGCGATGTATGCGTCGGGGAGGTGTGTGCGCTGCATTGCGCGCAGGAGGTTGAGGGCTTCGATCTTGGGCACGATGTATCCGAGAAGACCGAAGAGCGCAGCGAGGGCGTTGAGGAGCGCGCTGAGGCGCTCCGCATCGTCAAGCTCCGCGACGGTGTCGGTGGCGGCGGCCTTTGTCGTGGGTGTCACTTTGCGGGAAGCCGATCGGCCGGCTGTTTTGGGCTTTGGTGCAGGTGCCATTCGGGCGGGGACGCGCTTCGCAGTCGGTGCCGGAGGAAATATTACTGCCCGACTCGCGTCCAGGGCAGCGCGGCCGAGCTGGGCGAGGCCTGGAGACATCTCGGGCTGGTGGTACGTCTGGAGGGCGGCGTGGACCACGATCGTGGCGTAGTACTCTTGGCGGAACTGGACGAGACCCGCGTCCCTCGCCAGGTCCCTGGCCTTGACTAGCGCGTCGGCCTCAGTCCTGAGCGACTCGTACTGCTCGCCTCCCGCGCCCGTCGAGACGATGACGGACACCAAGCGGGCAATGACGCGCAGCCTGCGGACGGGATACGTGTCGGCCTCGTACAGGTCGAGAGCCATGCGGAGCAGCGCGCACATCGCGTCCTGCACGTGAGGCAGGAACTGGCTCGACTCGAGTGCGTCGGCAATCTGCTCGAGCACTGCTCCCGTGGCGGCCGGCGACCACTGTTTGTCGTTGAGCGCGGCGGCGAGGAGGGTGGGGAGGTCGGGCCCGAGGGCTGTTTCGTGCGCCAGCAGCGAGGTTGTGCGCTTCACCGCCGTTGCGAACTCGGAGAGTTCAGCGAAGACATGGCGCAGCGGCTTGCTCGCGGCGCCGGCGGAAATCTGCCGGACCACGCCCGCATCGAGACACAGGCAGCCGTGGACAAACGCGTGCAGGGCGGCGGACTTGTCCGCGCCCTGCTGGAGGCAGAAGCCGAGCAGCTCGTACCGCTTAGACAGCGGGTTGGCGATAAACTTGCGCGCGACGTCGTCGTCTCCAAGCCGAGCTAGTACGGCCCGGGACCACTCGCACGCGCGGCGGGCGAACGCGATGGCGAGCGCCACGGCAGTCTTGGAGAAGGAGAGCGCGATGCTGTACGCGCCGTGAATCAGGCAGCTGGCGTACTGCGCTTGGACGGCTGGGTCGAGTTCGGCGCTGTGAGCCTCGAGGGCGGCGAAGATGGCGTCTAGCTGCTCCGGCGAGATGGCGGACGACTCGGTCGTGTTGAGCCGCATCAGGATTGTCGCGGTTTCAACAAGGCCGGGCATGCATTCGCGCGCCATGTCGCTGGATTGGGTCTGCTGCAGGAGGCGCACGGCGAAATTTACGTAGCTTTGAAGCCAGGTTGTGGATGTGGTCTGGGGTAATTCGTTCAGCGATTTGACGAGGCGACGGAGCCTCTCAACGGCCCGTAGCAGCGAAGTGGTTGTCTCTTGTGTTCTCGCCGACGGCTTCAGGCTGCACAGAACACCGAGGATGGCGTCAAACTCTACGCTAGCGAGGGAGGCGTCCCGTGTCTCAACAGACACGCCCGGCGCCGACATGTCCACCACAAGCTTGGTCAGGCGCGCGAACAGCTTCGTGGCTTCGGATCCGGCGTTAGGGACCTGGGGAACCGTGCTCCGCCGCGGCGTCGAGACAGCTGACGTCGGTGCGGACGTTGGGGCCGGCGAGCTCGACCCCGAACTCGACGCGAGGCACACTGTAGCGGTGGCGGCGCTCAATGCGCGCTCAATGACGGCGGAATCGCCGAGCTGCGGTCAGGCGTGTCTGGGCAGAACTCACAGTGCGTCCAAGGTCCATCCACAGGTCGAGCACGTACTCCCAGTGCCCGCAGAACCAGGCCTCGTGGGCCTCGCCTCGCGCCGCGCAAATGGCCTCGACGACGTCGACGGTGCAGGTGATGTACTCTGCCACGTCTCGGGGCGCGCCGTCCCCCCCTTTCTCGAGGTGGAGCGCGGCCGTGCGCCGCACAGCGCTCCATACGCGCTCGGGCGAGTTGCGCGCGTCGCCGGTCCCCGAGGCGGAGAGGGCGCCGGCGAACGCTCCCAGCCGGCGGAGCTGCAGCCACGCCGCCGTGCCGGGCGTGTATCCGTCGTCGCGGGCCGCGCGGTAGAGGTAGACTGCGAGCTGGCCTACCGCTGCGAGAGGGAGGGTCGGGGCGAGGGTGAAGGGGTGCAGGGGGGAGGGGGAGGGGGAGGGGGAGGGGAGGGTCTGGATTAGCGAGTTCGAAGGGCGGCTTACCTCGGGATTGAGGCCGAGCGGAAGAAGACAGCACCACGCCGCAAGCGTTAAGGATGCGAGGATGGGAAGGAGGGCGTCGTCGACTTCGCAGGTGGGAGGGGGCAGGTCGAGGAGCGGCGCCCACGCCTCCGTGAGCGGCGGCGTCGCGGCGCGCGGCTTGTCGTCGCCGTGCTCGTACAGAGCGAGGATGTGTGGTCGCACATCGACGAGAAGACCCAGTGCGGGGATGTGCTGCTGTCAGCGCGACGGAGGGGGGAACTCACCATCTCGAGGGCGATGCAGCGCGTGACGAGCGCCATCGCCCCTTTCTCGACTGTAGCACGGCGCGACACGGTCGACCCAGGGCCGCTGTACAGCTCGCGGAGGACGGCGAGGCCGTTCTGCCCCGAAAGAAGCGTAGCTTCGGCGCGGGCGCGTGTCCATCCACCGGCCGCGCTCGAGCTCGGCGCCTGGGTGTACTTGAAGCCCGCTTGTGCCGCCTCGCCGAGGAGGCGGAGGGCGTCGTTGCTCGCGCTTTGGGCGGCTACTGCGCGCTCGCGCGGCGACAATGCGCCGGCGCGAAGCCAGGGGAAGTCGTCTTCTGCGTTAGATGGGGGGGTCGGTGCTGGTTCTTTGTTTGTTGTTGGCGCTTTTGCGGCTCGCCTGGGTGCCGGCTTTGTTGATGCTGGCCTTGTTGTTGGTGCCGGCTTTGCTGATGCTGGCTTTGTTGTCGCTGTCTGCAATGCCGACTTCGCGGCAGGTCTTTCTGCTGGGTTTGGGGCGGGTTTTGTCGCCGCCTTTGCGGCTGGCCTTGTTGCGGGCTTTGTCACTGGCTTGGCTGCAGGCTTGGCTACTGGCTTTGGTGTTGGCTTCGCTGCTGGCTTCGGCTTCACCGGTTTAGACTCTGCCGTTGCGGTCCGCCTGACCTTTGGTTGCGAAACTTTGAGGACGCGATCAAGGTCGTCCGCGAGCGCATCTGGGTCGACGCGCCTCGTGCGTGTTCGTGTTGCCGCCATGAAGATTGGTGAGTGTGGAATGTTTGGAGAGAAAGCATTCGCGCGTTGTTGATCCAGGCATCCGCCCTGAGGGCGGGTGGTTTGACACGTGTAATTACGTAGGCAAGAAGTTTGGAGTGGGGCAGAGAGAGTGGGGCAGGCGGTGGTGGGGAATAGTTGGGAGATCGGTCAATCTCCGCGTTGGCCTGACCTTCTGTTCGCATTCATGATCCGTCACGAGTTGCGGACTGGCCAGCTGGCAGAGCGGAAGATGGATCGACGAAGGGATATCGTGTCCGCGCCGTGTCATGCGTCATGCGCCGTGCCAGCGTCCTCATGACGCGGCGCAGGTGACACGGCGTCGGCGCACGACAAGCACGGTGCGCCGTGCATTATCGGCTGGCCCGGACAAATGCCAACGCCGCACCGCGGATCCATGAAACCATGACGTCCGGAGACAGAGAGAGCTTTGAGGGTGCGCCGAACCCTTGTCACCAACGCGCGTGGATGGAGGCAGGACAATGGCGCCGGGTCAACTGACCGCGGCCCGGCCGGCGTGGGCTCGGGGTCCCGAGACGACGGGCCGTGGACCCTGCTGGTGACATCTCCAGGAGTCGGCGTCGTGGAGTGGGCCGGGCCCGGTGCTGGTCGTAGGGAAGATGCGGCGATGATGTCGGCCGTGGTCGGATTACCCCGCAGATGTAACTGGGGAAGGGGAGGGTGACTACCGTGGGAATCTCGGCTCGGGACAGACGGATCGACGGAGCTGAGATTTGGTTGCTGCGCGCGCTCGTGGATTCCATTGTACTCTAGTGCAGAATTACAGAAGCTTCCACAGACCTCTGGTCGCTGCATTCTGCTGTAGGCAGTCTTGGTGCACAATGTGCTGCACTACGTTACACTGCAACGTGTGGTGCTGGCGACTTTGCCAACGGGGTGGCACAAACTTTGAGTGCAACTACGCGCCTGCTTTTGATCGTCGGTGCCACTTCCGCGTTGATCCGCTCACCTGCCGCGAGATTCTGAGCTGGTGGAGACCGAATTATCAGGTCAGAAGGAGCGCAACAAGAAGAGCACAAGGGGATGCAATGCGAAAGCATGTCACCCAAAGGAGCAAGCTGGCGCAAAGAAGGAACACGCCGATGGTAATATTGCGACGTGCACTGTTGGGACAGGATGAAGCGGACCTCCCTTCTGGATCTGCGGAGCTCTGCAGTTTTGTCTCCTTAAGAGGAGCACCCTCAACATCATCAACTGCGCAGCAAAGTAGTCTGACGCAGTTTGTGGCTCCGACTGATGACGCCGAGGAGTTCGGCGTCACTGGAAGGGAAGAGGCGACGATGGAAGCCACGTGGATTCGGTCTGACTGCGATGATGACCATATGTGTGACCAGGACAAGAACGCGATCTAGTGCGAGCAGTGATGTATGCGGGGAAGCGGAGCAAAGGAGAGAGGGGGGGCGGAACGGGCATGCCGGATGATGATGAGGAGGCGCTTATTGGCCGGGTGGGGAGTGGAACGGAGGAACCCCAATTGCTTTGGTGAACGAGTGAGCCGTGCGCGATTGGCTGAATCTCGGCCCACCGCCCGTGACGCCCCGGAAACCCCCGCCAAGGTTGTTGCTCGCCTCGACCTCACGCGCTCCCCTCGCGTCTCTGGGCCTCTGGGGGGGGGGACGGGCCTTGCACCCATTCCTCAGCCAGTCTCCCACGCTCTCACCCTACCCCCACGCACCTCCCGTTATAAGAAGCCGACGACGTGGCTAAGCCCCCAAAGCCTCCACCACCTTCCATCCGTCTCTCTCTTCTCCTACTACCACAACCCTCTCATCATGGCTCCCCTCAACCTCCCCGTGAGTATCCTACGCCGTAACCCCGCTCATTCAAGGCCGGCGTCCTCTACGGAAAGGACGTGAGGACTTTGCTCGACCACGCCCGCGAGAACAACGTGAGTAACTAGCGGTCTTTGATGTGGCCCGAACGCCCCAACGTTCGTCCGCCCGCCCGCCCGCACGTACCCCGGTGCCCCTTCATTCGCTCGCTGGCGACTGCCGGGTCGCCTCTGAGAACAACAATCTGCTACGTCGGCTTTCGCAGGAGCAGTTTGTGAATCGTTGGCTCGCAACTGGGGTGACATGCTGTCCGACTCCGGGGGCGAGTTGAGCGCGAAGGAGTCGAGGAAGGATACGCAGAACATCGCGACGTGCAGAGCTATCAGAACTCCCCCACTGACACATCCAGTACGCCATCCCCGCCATCAACGTGACCTCGTCGTCGACTGCCAACGCCGCACTTGAGGCCGCTCGCGACAACAAGGCCCCCATCATCCTCCAGGTCTCGCAGGGTGGTGCCCACTTCTTCGGCGGCAAGGGCCTCGCCAACGGTAAGGACCAGGCCGGTTCGATCGCCGGCTCGGTCGCTGCCGCCCACTTCATCCGTGCCATTGCCCCCGCCTATGGCATCCCCGTCATCCTCCACACCGACCACTGCGCCAAGAAGCTCCTTCCCTGGTTCGACGGTATGCTCAAGGCCGACGAGGAGCACTTTGCCAAGACCGGCGTGCCCCTCTTCTCGTCGCACATGCTCGACCTCTCGGAGGAGACCAACGAGGAGAACATTTCGACCTGCGCCAAGTACTTTGAGCGCATGGCCAAGATGGACCAGTGGCTCGAGATGGAGATTGGCATCACCGGTGGTGAGGAGGACGGTGTCGACAACACTGGTGTCGACAATGCCTCGCTCTACACCCAGCCCGAGGTCGTCTTTGAGGTCTACAAGGCCCTCGCCCCCATCTCGCCCAACTTCTCGATCGCCGCCGCCTTCGGCAACGTCCACGGTGTCTACAAGCCCGGAAACGTCAAGCTCCAGCCCAAGCTCCTCGCCGACCACCAGAAGTACGCTGCGGAGCAGCTCAAGGGCAAGGGCGGTGACAAGCCTCTGTGAGTTTTCCCCGTTTTTCCCTACCCCCCTTCCCCGCTACCCAAATAGACAGTGCCGTCTTCTCTTTCCATGAGAACTGGCGGCGATCCGGTCAGCGAACAGCCACGCGCACTTGATATAGATCCTGCTTGCCCTTCCCTTCAATGCCGCCGACCTCGGTCGGCGGGCGCCATTGGTCGTTGCTGGCTCCTTTTGAGCAGCAGCGTCCACCGGCGTGGGAATGTGGGCGAGGGGGTGTTATATTGGTGCTACATTTCTCTCTCACTCACACCTCATCATCAGCTTGTCGCTGACATCTCAAGCTACCTCGTCTTCCACGGTGGCTCGGGTTCGACCGAGGACGACATCCGTGTTGCCGTTACCAACGGTGTTGTCAAGATGAACGTCGACACCGACACCCAGTGGGCGTACCTCCTCGGCATCCGTGACTACGTGCTCAACAAGAAGGACTACCTCATGACCCAGGTCGGCAACCCCGACGGCGAGGACAAGCCCAACAAGAAGTACTACGACCCCCGTGTCTGGATCCGTGAGGGTGAGAAGACCATGGTCAAGCGTGTCATTGAGGCGTGCGACCACCTTGGCAACAAGGACCGCCTGTAAGCGGCATTGTCATAGTGCCCGAGGGCGTTGAGGGAGCTCGTCCGGGATGACGTCGGTAGTAAAAGAGTCTGTAGTCGTTGTTGCATCACATAGCAGAGGTTTGTGTCTGAAGGTCTGGGATGTTGTCACCGATCGCTGAACGCCTAAAACTCATTGCCTGGTGGGAAAGAGCGTCCGTCATCCATGTGAGACGGAGGTATCCCTCCAAACTGCTGCTCCACGCGCTGCAAAGCATCAACAAGCTAAACTTTTTCGGCATCGGCTCGCTTCTAGCCCCATGCAAATGCAGAGCACGCCCTCGGCGCCCTCGGCGCTCTCGGCGTGTGCCCGTCGGGTCATTATGCCCTGCATCATCTCGATAACCAGAAATTGGGGGTGGGGGAACGGCAACGTCCGCAGTCAGGGTCCAACTAAGGTCCAATACCGTCTTTGCCGCAGATAAGTCGAGCGACAGCGATTGCTCCCTCTCTCGCTCCAGCGCTCTGCCGGCGGCACTGGCAGCCCGATGCATGTGTTCCAGGTCTTGTCCTACTCTAGGGATCTGTGGCCTGTGGCCTGTGGAAGCCTGGGGCGCTACGCACAAGCCGACACGAGGTCCGCCGGGATTGTGTCGTCGAGATACGCCAGCAGGTCACGAAGGGCCACCATGTCGAGTGTGCCAAGCGGCGTGTCGGTCTCGAGCGCCCGCCCGCTCCAGAGCACGCGCACGCGGTCCTCCTGCCCCGACGCGCGCCATACTTCGAACACCAGTTCCGCGCCCATGCCGGGCCACATCGGCCGCGCGGCCTGCAAGAGGCCGAGGAGGGCGGCGACCGAGCCGTCGTGCGCAAAGCTGCGGTCAGCTGCCAGAACACACGACGCACTTGTGGCGGTACTTGACGCCGTCGTCGGCGCGGAGGTGCGCGGACAGCTCGCGCATCCACGCGCCCATCTTGAGCGCCGCGTACGCCGTGCTCCGCCGCGACGCGCGGTACGTGTACGCGTACTCCCACTGTCCGAGGCGGTAGACTGTGTCCGCGTCCGCTTGGGAGAGGGGGAGGGGGAGGGCGCGGGCGTGGCACTGTTTCGCGGAGAAGTTGTCGTACGCGCTAGCGTCAGACATGCGGGGTGGGCACGCACGGGTCGTAGGAGGCCTGCCACTCTCGGCGGTGCGCGACGGCGTCGATGCGGCGCATGAGCGCCGCCGAGGCGGACAGGTGCGCCTGCCACTCGGGTTCGGCGCGGATGAGGGACAGCAGGCGCGCGGCGGCGGGGCAGGCGAAGGTTGGCTCGAGAGAGTCGTATGCCAGAGGCTGGATCTGCGCCGCGTACTCCGCCTCACAGGGATGTAGGCCCACGGCGAAGGCGCTGAGCGTCGCGCTTGTTATGACGTTGTTGGTGACGCGGAAGGCGTAGGCGTGCCGCTCCGATCCGGAGGGGAGGAATCCGAGGAGGTCGGCGTACACGCCGCCGAAGTCGGCGCCGTGTTGGCGCGCGTCTTCGAGACCATCGCTGAATCAGGTTAGGGTACGGCACGACGCGCGACGAGCGCTCCACTCACGTCGTGATGGACGGAAAGCGGCATGTCGAGTTGACGAAGCCCCCGACGGCCTTCTCGAAGGGGTTCGCCGGATTGCCCGCGCCCTGCCAATACACGGGCGCAGTGGAAAAGGTGGCGGCGCGGGCGTGGGCGTACGGCCCCGTATCGGGACAGTCCCACTGTTGTCAGACCCACAGTTACTGTGACCCACAGACGCGTCCTCGTGGAACAGCGTGTTGGACGCGTACGGCGTCCGCTTGTGGTGCCGCTGCACGGCTTCGACGTACACCAGCTCGTACTCGTCTCCCGGCACGACGTACTCCTGCGCGCGGACGTGCGGCATATTGCACCCTGCCGTCAGCGGAACAGGACTACACTTACAGTTGTACATTCCATACTGGCTGTCGGGGGTGTGCGAGGAGTTGTAGATGCCTGGCGCGCCGGGACCCGTCAGCGCCCATGTGAGGTTGGCCCATGTATCGGGGGCTACGATCAGCACAGCGGACGCACACACTCACAAGGAGGGTAGTGTTTGGCCGTGTTCGCTGCCCATGGCGTCTGGGCCGCCGCCGACGCCACGCAGACTACAGCAAGTAACGAGAGCATGGTCATGTTGACGACGGTGAGTGCACCATGGCTGTGGCTCTGAAGATCATTCACTGCGCACAGCGATGGCTGCGAACGTGCGTGGTGAAAACGAAGCGACAGGCGGTTAGCTGCAAGGTTGGATGAGACATGAGAGCAAGGACGATCCACAGGCGATAAAGAGTAAGAGCTGACGTCATTCCACCTCGTTTCCACATGCCGCAGTTCCGCGTTGGCTGCTCTTCAGCTTGTCACTCGCAAGGTCGTCGCGCGAGCAGATAGTAACGCCAGCTAGTATCTGCTGATGAGAGTTATGCCAGCCATGCTCGGCGTCTCGGAGGTCCGCCAAGTTCTCAGTGGGCGACCTTCCGTGTCGGACTTGATTGGATCCTCAAAGGTGCGTGCTGACTTTAATGAATTCACCCATGGATCTGAAATCGAGCTCGTGGTGGCGCTGGCGAAACACGCCACTACTACTCTGCAACAACACCCGCAGTAGCGATCGTTAGCCTAAGATCTGAGGTGGGCACGTTTTATTAGACTGTGTCAAGCTAGTCGAGCGGGAGTGAAGCGGAACTGTCATTCGACTGCCTCATGCCATCCTTGATTTGCTCCCGCTACGAGCCCACATGATTGCCATACCGCCGTTCTACCTTTTGTGTGGTTGTTGTCCGTGTCCTCGCCGCGTCAGCCACACTTCCATCACCCATCCTCCGTCCTCATCACCGCATCGCTCCGACATGGCTCCCGTCGATCCCAACGAAGCCGGCCCCTCGGACAAAGGCAAGGCAAAGTTCAACTGGAAGAACGGCCCGCCGAGCTGCAAGGAGTGTGTCCGCCTGAAACTCAAAGTGAGATACCGTCTCCGAGACGGACCCCGCATCCCTAGCGGCCCCGACACGGAGACACGGAGACCCCAGACGATCCACTCGTTCAGTCACTTACGCCAGTGTTCACGTTCGTGGCCATGCACAAGCTGCGTGCGGCGCGGATGCGCCAATATATGTCCTGCGGGCACCATGCCTGGCCGGTGAGCGCGAATCGAGAACACCACTGATGGCCAGCACGACCAAGGACCAGGCCATGGTCGCCAAGCTGCAGAAGGAGAATGACGCATTGCGCAAGCAGATCGAGCGTCTGCAGGCGCAGCGATCGGAGCAGGGATATGACTGGGGAGGAAGCCCACCCCATGCAGGTCAAGTGAGTGCGGAGAGGAGAGCGGGGCAGCGGACGGAGAACAGAGAAAAGAGGCCGGCCGTGCGCGCGCGGCCCCCTTTCCCCGGGTGACTTTTGTGATGGCGTTAAGACGCACTGACCTGCCAGGCTGCCCGAGAAGCGAGCCGATCGCGCGAATACACGCCGTTCTCCGCCGTGTCTGAGTCTGCTGGGCGCGTCCCCAACGGGCAGCGCGACGACAACTATCTCGACACAGCATCACGCCCGGGGCCTGGTGTGTTGGAGGAAGGCCGCGAAGGTCAGAAGTACCTTGGTCGCGGGGCTGGGACTTTGTTTGTCTGTGAAGATGACGAGGTATGTTGCTCGTCGATAAGAGCTAGACTCTCCGCTGACCGGAAAGTCCAGCCACCCCACACTTGTCTTCCCGTTCATGGCTAGCGACCGCGCTGTGCTGGCGGGTGTTCACGAGCTCTTTCCTCCCGCTGAGCAAGCGTATGAGCTGCTGAATGTTTACGGTATGTGTGGTGGCTGAACTCGGCGGTCCGATCTAATGTCAGATGATCAGGTCGAGTGGATGTACCGGCCAGCCGACAGGCCAGCTGTGAGCGCGGTGCTCGAGTCCATCTACAGTGCGCCGTCCTTGAGAGAGCAAATTCACCACGTCCCACCACATCGGCTTGCCTCAGTGCTGATGGTGTTCGCGTTGGGACTGTCATTCTCTGGGCGGCCAATGACGCAGACGATCCCACTCTTCAACGCCGCGAGTGCCCTCCTCTGCGTCTCTGAACGTCACTTCATGGTGCGACATTCGCTTGCCAGCGTCGAGACGCTCCACATGATGGTCTCGTATCTATTTGGGCTGCCACATTCGGATGGTCCGAAGGCAGCCTGGCAGATCCTGGGCTTGTGCGTCCGCACAGCTGGCAGTATCGGCCTACATCGGGATAGCGCCCAATGGGGGCTGTCGGCTGAACAGCAAGCACTGAGGGCACGCTTGTGGTGGGAGTGTGTCACCTACGACATCCTCCAGTGCCTCAACTTCGGTCGGCCGTATTCCGCGCCCCGTCAACTGTATGATGCCCCGATGCCTGAAATGCCGCCAGACGGCGGCGTGACCCCACACGACTCGGTCTTTCACGTCTTCAAATACCGCTTGGCGCAGGCTTTTGTGCATATCGCAGACTACCTTGCCAACTCGGAGCTGCCCGACTACTCAACGGTGATGCGCATTGACGCTGAGTTGCGTCGGGTAGAGGCGGGCGCTCCTGCATGGCTCAAGTGGTCAGACTTTGGCGAGGACGGTACTACCAGCAGCAAGCTGAGCACAAAGCACTGTATTCAGCAGCACTCGGCGACCATGTTCTTCAACAAGGGATTGCTGAGTGAGTCGAAAGCGCGCCCTCGCTGACCTTTGAGTGCTCCATCGACCATCGTTCTTCAAGGCTGTGTCAGCAGGCACAGAACCTCTGTTGGGTCAGTACGCGGCATCCTTCACAACATGCGTAACGTCGGCACGCAAGCACACGCGTCTCATTGCGTCGCTACTCAAAAAGTGCCCTCAGGCGGCTTACGGGTGGTGGTACTGGGTTTGTGAGTAGTCTCATGTTGTGGCTGTCGGTTTTCGCTCACCTCAGTCCATGCGTACACAGCCGCGGTGATTCAGTACACCGTGTTGAGAAGGGTGCCGGAGAGCATGATGGCCGACGACGTGCGGGCCGACTTCCAGGCGTCTCACGACATCATCGAGCAGATGGCCGAGCACTCGGGTGTCGCACGCCGCGCCCTGCCGATGCTGGAGCAGCTGTACCGCCGAATCCAGCAGTCCCAACCGAAACAGACGTCGTCCGCAACACCGGATGCGCCGACCGAGACGTCGTCCACCCTCGACCCGACATTAGACTCATTGTTGACGTACGTCGCTACCCGCCCATTGTCTGACTCTCCTAGGTCGAATAATTTCTTCGATCCTGCACAGTACACGGCAGCGGCGCCAGCGACGATGGACGGGCTCCTCGGCTTCGAGTATCCCGTGTCGAGTGGTCCCGAGCCGCTCGCCGACCCGTTGATCCAAACACTGTGAGTCCAAGCTGCGGTCGGAATGCTGGAGGTAGCGGGACTGCCGACCGTACCGTCGCTGACGGCATCTGCGAGGATGAGCGCTAACACTAGCTTGTATTGGAACGTGATTGCCAACAACGAGCAGCAGAGTCCGGCTTACGGGGGTCCGTCGCACGCCCCACAGCTGTGAGGGGGGAGGAGTACAACAGTGTCGGAGTGGAAAGGCCATCGTTAGGTTGCAGTTGTACGTTATGCTACGATCTGGTGATTGATCGGATGTCGTTGAGTACTGCGTTTAACACCTGTATGTACAGCGGCGCAGCAGGGAACGAAACGCAAAATCAGTAAAATGTGACAGTCTGGTTAGCACGAGAGTACACTGCGCTGACAGCAGTCGTTCTTAAGTGTCCATGACAGTCAAACTAAGGGATCTCTTTTATAATCAAGCCATTACAGACAAATGATGAGGTGAGCTTGAGACGTCAAAGCCAGTCGCACCTCCTTTGTCACCTGGCCGCCTCCCCCACTTCCCACCACCTGTACCATCCACTTCCATGCTCGTCCATACTTGAAGTTACTCTTTCGCGCCTGAGGGCCTTTTCGTAACGGAAGTCGATCATGATTTTTCTGCAGTTCTGCCACGAGACGCAGGCAGGTCGCCACTGACCGACGTCATGTCCAGGCGCCATTGGTGCCATGACGCCCATGAGACCCCCGCGTAACTTGCACGGCGTGCAACATGCACGCTGGCCTCCCGATCTCCTCTCAGCTGTGCTCTGCACTACTCGGCATTCAAATTTCCAAGGCGTGCAAGACGTGCATCTAGTTAATTTACTCCGCCATCTGCCTTCGTCCGGGGCCGGCTGGCAGCACAAGTAAAGAGAATGTCAAAATCGCGGGATCCGGAGGTACAGCAGGGGTGTGGACGCCGGACGCCAAGCTCCGCATGGGAAAGGTGTGGATGTGGCTGGCGCACAGGACACAATGAGGATGAGTGTTGGACCTCTTGGAATATCAGTTCGCTGCGTGGCGGCGTGGCTGATGTCGGAGCGCGGAGAGTCGGATGTCGGAAACTCGGGGAGTAGGGATGGATGATCGAGACCATAGGTATATCCTTCCAGGGAAACGTGCGGGGCCTGCGGGGCCATCGGAGCTCCAAGCCGCCCATCGTGCCTGTCCGCCGGTCTTGGCCATTTCGACATTACCAGCACTCGTCAAGCCGTTCTTGACGTCTCACGCTCTCACGCCGCCGCTCCCTGTCCACCCCGCCCGGAAAACTCGCCCAGCAAAACCTTACCCCGCCCTCGTCTTGCCGCTCCCGTTGGCCTCGGCACGCTCGGCCTCTCTGACTGCGGGCAGCGCGATCAGTCCGCCGCCATAATTAGCCACTACCTCGTGTGGGGTTCGGAACGCTGATAACCGACTGAACTTGGGGCGAGCTTCCGAAGTTGCCAACTGCGAATGGCGAACCAGGACTATGCAGGTTGAGGGGGCGCTCGGCCGGGGCACCGGGCCCCGGCGTTGGTGAGCTCGTCCTCGATCATTGCGGAGTGGCTTGGACATGTGCCCGGCATTCGGTCAGCTTGCTGTCCTTGTGTGCGATGTCGGCGAGGCCGAGCGGTTCGCTGTTGACATTGCCTCGGTATTCCACGATAGCTCCTCTACTCGGCTCTCAGTAGTGGTCATGTCGTGTGAACTCTTCGTAACAGAAGGTCTTGCCCGCAGGAGATACCAGACTAACGGCAACAGCAAATGCACCGGCAGCGGCCGCCGGACGCGCTGATGTGTGATCTAGCGCTCAAGACCGGCAAGTAAGGCTTTGCCCCATCACGTGTACGCTATGCCTCGGAAGAGACACAGGTGCAGAGGGTGTGCTCGGGTCGGTAGCCTGATGCCTGCTGCGCCAGAGGTGGCGTCCGTATGGGGCTTGATTGGGCGTGTCGGATCGGGTGCCTGATGCCCATCTCTCAATCAGTGAGATGCCGGCCACTAACTGCTGACCGAGTTGGACACAAGCAGGTGTACCAACTTTCCACGAGTTGAGGCTGGTAGTGCAGCCTCACCTCTGCGCTGCTCAGGTGCTCTTGCCTGGGCTCCCGTAATGCTATAAGAAGGTGCCCATCTGAGCGGCCGTCTCCTCATCCCCAGTTTTCTCCTGGCGTCGCCGAGCCTTACCACACCTCCAAGTTCAAGCAGCCGCCATGTCCGCCCCCACTGGATCAGATTCGTCCACCAACTTGGGATACCTTGGCGCCGGGGACCTTGAGAAGGGTCGTGGGGCTCACATCGAGCGCATGATCACTCCCGGCGGCCACCCCATCGACTACTCGCAGCCCGCCATCCCAGTCCAGCACCGCAAGTTCGGCAACCCGATCCCAGTTGGCCTGATCTCCTTCTCCATGGCCTTCATGATGGTTGGCCTGATCAGCGTCGGTGTCCGTGGCATTAAGGCGCCCAACGGTGTCCTCTCCTCTCTCAGTGAGCTCCCCCATCCCGTCCATCTGGAGTCTACCTACTGACACCAGTGTTCTTCGTCGGCATCACTCAAACCCTCGTCGGTTGGTTCGAAATGTTCATCGGTAACACCTTCTCGTGAGTACAGCCCCTTGAGCCATCATGAGCACGTTCCACAGCGTTCGTTTGATATTCATGGCCCATAACCCAACGATCCCCGTTGACCCCAGTGCCACCATCTTCTGCGCCTTCGGCGGCTTCTGCTTCTCGTACGTTGGCTTTTTCCTCCCGGCCATGGGCATCGTCGATGCCTTCACGGACAAGGCCACCGGTGAGATCTCGCCCGACCTTGCCAACTCGCTCGGTCTCTTCCTCGCCATCTGGTCTGGTATCTGCCTCCTCTTCCTGCTCGCCGCGCTCCGCTCTTCCGTCGCCATCATTGCCGTCCTCTTCTTCACTATGCTGGCATTTGCCATGCTCGCCGCCTCTCAGTTCACTGGCTCCGTCGGCGTCACCAAGGCAGCCGGCGCGATCTGCATCATGGACGCGTGCTGCGGCTTCTGGGCTGCCATGGCCGGATACTGGACCCCAGACACTACCTACGCCTTCATTCGTGTCGACCCCATCGACCTCTCGCCGAGGGACTGAGCGTTGCATGGGCCATGTCCACGAGAGAGTTAAAAGCCACCTTGGTGGAGCCAGAAGTCTATCACAATCGATCAAGTCAGTGGGAGGAGTGGAGTGGCAGTGGAGAGGATCACACAGAGGTGGCGTGATGGAGGGCGCGCACCAGCAGCACGTTTGGACCATGTACTACCGCACGCAGTTGAAGAAGCTTTTGCTATGCATTGTTAGATCATCGAGAGCACTCCGCAACGTGGCCAGGTAATCCGTTGCGATTGACTGTTTGAGCTTAAACGAGGCGGAGAGGGGCCGCCAGCTGCCAGCTGAACCTGAACTTGGCCGTGCGCCTCCAGCCGAGGGACGGCCTTTTGCTGTCACTCGGAAGCTTCACATCGAGCAGGATCGCGCAGATCCACTTGAGACAGCAGTACCGTGCACACATGGTTGCGAGGCCGCAGGCCATCATTTCTCCGTGCTGCGCGAGGGCCATTGCGAGGTCTGACTTGGGCATGTGACATTTCATGTAATCCAGTTAACAACGTTCTCACGCCAAAAATCGAGCCGTGGCCCCGTGCAACGCCGCTGCCGACCCGGCATCTCGTACATACCGCCATCTGTCCGCTCTTACTCCCCTCTTCCTCCGGAAAGCAGCGCGTGACCTGCATGTCTCGGAGAGTGAGTAGCGAGTTGTCTGGGCAGATGACGCGTTCGCGGCGCAGCTGGGCGATGGGCGTGGAATGCAGCATCACGTGCCTCACATTGTGGCACGCGGGGCCGGCGGGCCCCGTGTGATGTGCGCGATGTGCAGGGTTGTGGCCAGCCTCATCTCCTCATTGCTACATCACTTTTCGGAGCTGTTGAACGCCGGCAGGTGCTTACGAGTGCGACATGACTGGCAAGTAGGATTTGGCCGCAGGCACAGCTTCACGTGGAAGCATGAGCCAAAAGGTGGGCCGGGCCGATGGGTCAGGCTCTCCGATTCTCGGTGCCCACCGTGACTGATTATCCAGCCACGTTCGCCATGAAATAGCAAGGTCGAAAGAGTAAGAATGCTTCGGACTCTGCTCTATGCGCAGCGATGTGTGTGGCATAGCATATTGCACATGCGCAGGGAGGCGAACGGATTGGTCAATGAGCGGAGCGTGCCCCGCAGCGGTGTTCCGTTCTCATTTCTTCACATGCTGACACACTGCTTGACGTCCCGTGCCGAGAAACAAAGCCTGCAACCATTCGAGTTGCCTTTCAGATTGCCATCCCATTCCTCCCCACATCCCCACTTCTGCCCAAACATCGGGCACGTATGGAATCTCGCAGGAAGGTTGTGATTTCAAGAGCCCGTATGCCTCCGCTCCGCCTGCAGTTGGAGCAGCTACTATCACTTTGGACTAACGCCGGTGGGCCGATAAGGTTGCACGAGCTCCGAGTAGCGTGTACGCGCTCAAAGATTGCCCGCCCGGGCCGACAGCGCTGATGGGCTGGACTGGGGTATCGTGCCAGCGCGGGATCACATGACGCCGCCTCCGATACCTTGGTTGCCGACTGCCCACCATCCCTCAGATGCCGCATACTCACGACTGCGGGGTTATCTACCCCACAGATGAAATAACACCCTCGTCTCTCCCTCTAATCTCACACAGCGACTACACCATGACAGGCAACGTCACCCGCAAGCCCAATGGCAAAGTCGCGATCGTGACGGGTGCTGCACAGGGAATCGGCGCCGCGATCGCGACCCGGCTAGCTCACGACGGCTTCGACGTGGTCATTGCAGACCTAAAGAGCGCGGACGCCAAAGCGACGGCGGTAGCGAAGACGTGCGAGGCGGCAGGTGCGCGGGCTGCTGTAATCCCCGTCGACGTGCGATCCGAGGAGGACGTAGGAGCACTGGTCGCGGCAACGGTGGAACAGTTGGGCCGCGTGGACGGTGAGCTAGTCCGCAACGCCTCTGATAGCAGTAATGGTCGCCAACGCCGGCATTGGGCCACCCGTCGACTTCCTCGAAACGACGACCCGGACCATGAACGATCTGTGGGAGATCAACATCCGTGGTGTCATGTACTGCTACCAGGCGGCGGCGCGGCAGATGATCAAGCAAGGCGACGGCGGACGGCTTATCGCCGCGTCAAGTATTGCGGGTCTCACCGGGTTTCCGCAGCTGGGCATGTATTCTGCCTCTAAGTTTGCTGTGCGCGGACTGAACCAGTGCGCCGCCGCTGAACTGGGGAAGTACGGCATCACGTGCAACACGTACAACCCGGGTGTCGTGCAGACCGACATGTGGACGGGGCTCGACAAGTTCTACTCCGGCAGGGCAGGTGCGCCAGACGGCTCCGCACTGGCTGCTGTGAGTGACGGTTGCTGAGCTGCGAGTGGCCAGAACACGAGCTGACGGCAGCAAGCTGCTGCCAACCCCATGCGCCGGAATACGGATGCAGCAGAGGTCGCCAACTCTGTATCGTGAGTTCTCCACGTGCGAGATATTGACGCCTGATTCCTTGCTGGTCCAAATTCAGCCTACGTATCGGGAGCGAGTCTGTGTATTTCGGTGAGTCGTCGTGCAGCGGGGGACAGTCGGGCTGTGGCGTGGCTGACAGCAGGGCGGCCAACAGATGCACTAAGCGGTGGGGAAAATGCAGAAATAACCATGGGGGCGTTCATGGCGGGGCAATGCCTGGGGCCAATGACTAATCCACGTGAGACTGATTGCAGAGCACTCACATCAGCAGGTAGCATGGTAAGTAGTTGAGGTCGGAAGCTTCCGATACTTGCGAGGCATTGCCACAAACCGCGAATCGCGGATCGGCATAGAGATCAGCCTCGGACTCGCACCGCCACGGACGACCTAGTCCGACCCGTTGTACATACCTCGCTGGCGGTCGGGACCTCCGTCGAGCGTCGATCGGCACTAGCTCGGCCCGGCCTCGGCGTCGGAATGCGGGATGCGGGGTGCGGGATTCGGTCTGGGGTAAGGGATGCGCTCGTCCATGTCGGAGGTCAGGGTGACACTAGTGCCTGGGAATCATCACTCCGTGTCATCAGCTGAAATAGAACTCGTACGCGCACATGTTTCATGCCGGTTGTGTATAACGTCCCGTTGGTGTTGATACGCGTGCAGCTTGTAGCTGTCCTAGAATGCGGACGATGTGTGTTCCGCCGGCTATTGAGGCCCAATGCAGTTCCCCCTCCGTTCGGAGGACGTCACGGGGGCTGGGGTATTGTCATACACGATTGGCAAAGTGACTAAACCTACAACGATCTCTCAATGATGCTCCTCTCGCCCGTCAGCACCTCCTCGGCACAGCAGCAGTGCGCGTCTTCCCATCTTTCGCACTGCTCGCTCAACCAAAAAGACTACTGCCGGGATCGAACCGACGATCTTGGCCACACCTCCGCGTGATCGAACTCTCCCAGGAGGAGGCTCCATATCACGTGACCGGAAGACCACGCCTTACCTCTTGGCCAAGCAGTCTCGTAGAGTTCACCAATCCTCCCTTGGAGTGAACCAGTACAGCGCCGCTCCCGGTTTCTGTGTCGCGCTGCGATCCTTCCGCCGTTTAGTCTTCTGCGCTTGCTCGCCGCACAGCCTATAGCTCGCATGATCGCATGCTCACATCAATTGTCACGTGGCAGCTGATGCACGCCCGGCTCTTCCCATCTTCGCCAGGCCAGCCATCGCTGCGACCACCAGCGTCAAAGAGTCCTTCGCCACATAATCGGGATTAACTGCCATTTCTATAACCCCACCCACATTAGTGTACCCTTCAAGTTGTCGCAGCACGCACAGTGGTATCCTCTCTGGCCATATTGGCTAAGATCATGTGTAGTATCTGTTCTTAATGCTGTGAGAAGCATTACAGCCCTACGGGGCTTACTTCTCTAGCAATTTTTCCTCGCCCGGTGCCTCCTCTGTGCTTGCACACGAGCACCACGATGTCGCTGGCTCTACACTACCGCCTTCAGATGTCAGGGTACCACTATCTCTTTTGCCGTGCATGCAAGCGAGGCATACATCGACTTGTGTAGTGTCCTGTGTACGCGCCGAGGCCAGCATAACACCAGAGCTCGCCTTTCCTGTATCTCCCACACGACCTTTGGCAGGCACAGCGATCACGTTGCAACCATGATCCCCGGTGCCGAGCTGACGCAAGCCGGTTTCCATCATTCCACGATTGCTCATCTCCACACGCGTCAGGTCGCGTCAGAGCGCGCAGGCGTCCACGTCGCCAGGAGTTTGCCGCAGCAGCATCTGGACCAGCCGGAAATGGGGTGCAGATCTCAGTCCATCGCCCCGCCGCGTCGATCTGGCCTCGACGTCATGATCTTCCGTCCGGATGCTAGACGTCTGTGCGTCGTCGAGTCACCGTTTCCCATCCTTATGTTCATAGTATCTGGCGTGGAGAGTGTGAGAGCACCGCGCTGTGCTGGTGCACATGCTGCGCACCGCCCCGTGGACCGCGTCGACCCCCAGCCCAGTCCAGATGCCCGGCGTTGACAAGCAACCAGCGTCCGGCCTCGGCCTGCAGTACGCATAGCCCGACCCTGCCGATATCTGGCGCTGAGTCGAGCACAGCTGTAGCGCTCCTAAGCGCTCTTCGAGCACGTCCTGGCGTCCGGAAATTCCGTCGTAGTCCGAGAGCAGCTTCAGCGACGACTCGCACCGGCAACGGTGAACTCGTCTAATGCTCGCCACCTCCTGGCTGACCGCTCCTCCTCATGCATATGCGCCTATCGATTTGTATCATATATCTCGTGTATGGCTATCTCCAGGTCTTGGCACAATACTGGAGATACCGGAATGTTTGGCCAGGAGCGGGGTTTCCAAGTTCTGGAACGCCGCCATACCGGGTGCCTGGGGCTCAGAAAGCATCATACGTTCTCGGCCGCGGTCGCTGACAAACCTCGCATCATCGCCGTCCACGACATCTGACAAAGCGTCCTCCGCTGCAGCTGACTCGACATGTACGAGCACTCGCTCGACATGGCGACGCGGTCTTGGCCTTGGGCATATATCAAGCGCGGCGGTGGCCCCACCCCCACATCCAATAACCCTAAACTGCACCCCTATCAGTGACGCGACTTATCGACGGAGCGGAACGCCGCCCCCAGCGACAACACCCCCTGCCCTTCATTCTTAATCTGCGCATCGCCTATCCTCTGCCTTCGCAGACACACATTTGCAGCTCGGCTGCTCACCACGCACGTCCATTACACACCCATCACCCACCCCCACCATGCCAGCGATCCCGCGGCCCGCATCCATCCTCACAGGCATCACGCTCGACGTCGACGCATGGCAGTCGTCCGCGTCCGTCGCGCACCCGTGGTGGAGCGGCGACGAGTACTCCGCCGCCGCGAGCACCAATGCCGTCGACCTCGGCCTCGCTCCCCAGAGCGCCGGCGCTATCTCCATCAACCCCGCCTTCGTAAGACGTAGGAGCCTCTGGACGCGCGTAGTCCGCGCCCTCTCCATCCCCAAGGCGGCCAAGCGCCGTTCATCAATGTGGTCGACGTCGTCGACAGCATCAAGCTCCAGCACGAGGTCGCAGGCCGCCGCGTACGCCGCGAGAACTTGTCCCTACGCCTCCTGCAGCCATGCCGTCTGCAACGCCCGCTAGTCAGCGACGACACGAAGACCTGATATAATATTCCACCTAGCCTGTAGCTATAGTCTGTACCACTACTTATGACATGCCTCTCTACCTACTATGCCTATGCCTATGTCTACTCGTCGTCGCTCCCCGCACCAGGTGTCGACGGCGGGGATGGAGCCGAGGGGGGCATTGCCTCGTCCTCGTCGTCCGAGTCCTCGATGATCGCTTTCGACTTGAACTGCTTCCCGCGCCGCGCGCTCCCATCGTCGTCGTCGTCGGGATCCTCGTGTCGGCTCTTCTTGGATTTCTGCGGTCAGCGCGTATCCAGGGCCGCACGTGAGATTCAGGGTGAATGATACCACACCCCGCCAATCATTACAAGCTGATCTGCGCAATCTCGCCTCAATCGCTCGGGAATACTCGCCCGTGCGCCTCGAGCGATAGCGCGGATCGCCGCCCTAGAAAGCATTGCCGCTCCGAAGGCCGCGCCGCGCAGCTACGCGGACATCCTCGGCCCACTGCCCTGCCTCGCCTCGCTTGCCCTCCACGCCGCCTACCCCACTCCATCGCTGTACTCACTTTCGCCCGGGATGCCGCAAGTCGTGCCTGTGCACGCCGCCGCCCCGCCGCCGGATCATCGTCCTCCTCGTCCGCAGCACTAAGAGGCGCGCTTTCGCCGAGATCGTCTTCGTCCTCGGTTTCGTCCTTCCTCTTCTTCTTCTTGCCACCCTTCTTGCCCCTCTTGCGCGGACGCTCCTCGCCGTCCTCAACAACATCCTCGTCCTTGCGGCGCTTGCGCTGCTCGTTGCGTTCCGCCTTACGCTCCTCCTCCTCGCGCATCTGCGCGCTGAGCTGCTCGTGGAATGCGCGGGCCTCCTCCCGCGCCTTGCGGCGCTGCTCGGTGATCTCCGCCGCACGTGCTTCGATCTCGGCCTGGCGCGCAGCGGCCGCGGCATTGATGCGCTCCTGCTCGGCGGCGCGCATGCGGCGGGCCTCCTCCACACGCGCGGCGGCCTCGCTCTCGAACTCCTCCTGAGTCGCGATAGCCTCGGGACCCTTGCGCACGAGGCTTTCGCCGTAGCGTGCGCGATGATCAGCCACTTCGGGGTCATACGGAAGTGGCCGTGTCTTGTCGTCCGCCAGCGCGCGGAAGACTCCGACCGCCTCAGTGGCACGCTTGAGCGCCAGCTTGAGCTCGTCAAGCATACGCCGCGATGGCTCAAGGCCTAGCATGATCTCGGCCGCCTTTTGCTGGATCATCGCGATGTTGTAGAGAATGGCGCGGTCGCTGGGCTGCAGATGCATGGCTCGCTGAGCGTAGTGCAACGCTTGCCCCATTGCCGAGAAGTTCGCCTCCTTGTTGGCGTACGAAAACCAGGCGCGGCACAGGTAGAGCATGATCGGGACACTTCGTCCGTTTGCCGCACTCAAAGCTGAGCCGTACGCCTCTATGGCGCGTTCCTCCTCGCCGCGGATGAAGTAGCAGTGACCAATGTTAACGTTGACGGCACCTTCAGGCAACGAGTCCTTGATGCGGCCGAGAACTGAGAGAGCCTGGCCTGCCAGGCGCATACGATTTTTCATGTCCTCCGCGCTCCCCTGAGGCAACATTTGCGCCTTAGGGGTAAGCGTGTCCTCAGCCAGAGCGATGACGAGACCTTGTGCGGCAATGGCGTTCGTAGGGTCAACGCTCAGCGCGCGCTCGTACGCCTCGGCGCTGCGGAGGTACTGTTTGGACCGCTCGGCTACGTCTTGCTGCGACTTGGCTTCGCGCCCAAGGTTGAAGTGAAGCCATCCCAAAGCGGTGTATGTGTACACGTCCTGGCGCTCGTACTTGAGCGTTTGCGATGTGAACTGCAACGCCTCCTTGTACGAACCGAGAGAAATAAGGAAGTTGGTGTACACTGACCGCAGAGTCACGTTGGTCTCGTCGGCGCGCAGGCACTCCTTGAGGTAGTTGTGGGCATCGACGTTGCGACCAGCGAGGCGAGCAATAACTGCCAGACGGACTTTGGACTCCATGTGTTCTGGGTGCTGACCCAAAACATCGCGGTACCATTTCTGCGCCTTGACTATATCGCCGCCCTGCTCGCTGGCTCGTCCAAGATCATACGCCAGCACGGTCTTGAGCTCATCGGCTTCCTTGCCGTTGGCGCTCGCCAGACGCTGCAGCGCTTCGAGGAACATGCGCTCTGCACTCTCGCTTTCGCCCTGCAAGGCGTACAACGACGCCAGGTTGGTCGAGAGGCGAACAGTGTCGTAGTCAATGGGCTTGTTCCGCTCTTGCGATTCAGCCTGCGTATCTTCTAAGTCGTCCGATTCACCCTCAGCCTTGATCTGGATCGCCGTCTGGTACGAGACAATGGCCTTCTCAATGCTTTCCTCCTGCCACAACTTGGCGAGCTCGACAAAGGCGTCCGAGTCATTTGCAACGCCGCGGAGCTTTGCCCAGTCCTCTTCGGTCTCGGCGTTCGACACCAGGTTCTGCACATCGCCAAGCATCGAGCGCGCCGCCTTGAGATTGCGCTCCGCCTCATCAGCGGGCATTCCCAGGTGCGGGTATGCCAGCAGCGACGCGTGTAGCACTGTGAATTCGAGCGGCCCCTTGCCGTTTAAACGCTTCGCCGTCTGCTCTACGAAATTGAGCGCTTCACGCAGGTTGCCGTTCCTGATAGCGATCTGGGCGAGCGTCAACTCGGCCATGACGTTGACCGTATTGGGGTCCTCGGTCTTGGCCGCGCCAATGTACCGCGCCGCGTCGGTGAGCTCGCCCGCGATGAAGCCAAGGCGTCCGCGCTCCGAGTTGGCCAGCACCGAGTGACGCCTGTTGTCCGAGTATTGAATAGCACGTTCGGCCAGCTTGGAAGCTTGGTCGACCTTGCGGCCAAGTGTGCAGAACGAAGCAAGAGCCAAGGCCGCCGCCGAGCTCTTATTATTGAGGCGGAAGGCAGCTGAAACCTTGGTGACTCCTTGAGATTCGAATGCAACGCGTTCTTGCAAGGAGACTGAAGGGTCGCGCGCCATGTTGAGATAGGACAAACCGAGAAGGAGGAGCGGTGCCCATGATGTCGCGTCCTGTTGTCAGCTCCCAACTCCTGGCCGGTGAATCCTCTCACCCGTTGAAGAGCACGCTCCCACGCGACATGCGCGCGTTCCTTGTCACCAAGAACATACGCGCAGAGTCCTATGCCAATCCTTGGATCGGGCAGAGTGTCTGGACTCAGGCTCAAGACTTTCTGATACGTGACCAGAGCCGCGTCGTGTTCTCGTCGCGCGAATTGCAGGCGTGCGTTCGCCATCAACGCAGCCACGTTATTTGGCTGCCTCTTCAACAATCTCTCAACGAGCGGCGACGCGACGCCTGGCTGCCCACGGGCGAGATAGAGAATGACTAGGGTCAGCACTACTCATCGAGCGCCGTACTCTTTCCCATCGCAACGCTGACAGGCTCGTCCTCAGGCCCAGTGCCAAAGTTGCGCAGTGCTTCGTCCGCGCGGTTGAAGTTTGCGGTCGCCTCTGTGTAGTGGTACTCCTTGGAGCGGATGTTGCGAGGCAGCACGTCATACTTGGCATTCTGCAACACAGTCTTGGGCGCAGAACGTGCGAGCGCAAGATGAAGGTGGCCGAGCATCGCGTGAAGGTTTACAAGAGCCATGTGGTCAACCTGCCGCCCGCTCGCAAAGACTCAAATCAGCTGCGCCGGCGCGTAACACTCACACTTGATGCCCTTGTGGAGAAGGTCCTCTGCATACTTCCAGCGTGCGCAGCGCCAATGCTCGCGAGCAACCGCCGTCCAGTCCTTGCATTCAGCCTGGTAGTCAATCAAAAGGTCTGGAATGACCTCAGCGGTATCGTCCTCGCTGAGATCCTTGAGGTGGATTTCCGTCTGAATGCCACCGGGCCCCCAGATGGTGATGGAGCGCTCCAGCGGCTCCTGCATTGCGGCGGTGTGCGTGCAGTTGCCTGACCCGGAGAGGAGGAATAGATGATCCGGGTTCGCCGAGACTCAGAGCGCGCTGCCGAAGGAGAGGAGGGCGAAGCAACGGGCGGAGGGATGTTGTTGTGAAGACAATCCGAAGTTGTCTGAAATGGGTGTTCGGGGTGGTGACAATCACGCACTCGATTAGGCTTGCGGAAAGGTGCATTAGGCAAAAGACCACGTGAGTGGATGCCTATCTTCGTTCCTAATTCGGCCAGGCTCAAGATCGAGTTTCATGTGGTAAATCTCCCAAAGGAGGAGCAAGGTGGAGGCCCCGGCAGGCACGCAGTTGTCCGATGTTCGAGTCAAAAATCCCATCTCGGCGTGAGCTGTCGACGTTGAACGCTTGCATCCCACCTCGCCACCAACGCCACGCATCCTCACCCCAGCCTCCAAGTCAACAGATCGAGTTGACTCGCCGCTCCCCAGAGGTGTATATGATCACGCGCCACATCCTAGCGGCACGCCTCCCTTTCCTTTCTCCCCGCTTCAACCCCCGCCCATTTGCAGCAAGGGCCTCTGCTCAACGCTCCATCCCCTTTCAGCTCGCCTCACTCTCCCACTCTCTTCACACCACCCCCGCCGTCAAAATGCCAGAGGCCGCCGGCGCCCCCGTGCCTCACGAACCTCTCGTCGGCAAGACCGAGACCCAGCAGCCGCCCAAGCAGAAGCAGCCGAAGCAGCAGCAGCAGCAGCAGCAGCAGCAGCAGGGCAAGAAGAATGACAAGAAGGAGAAGAAGGGCGGCGGTGCTGTCACCGAGCTAAACCCTCCTCCTGAGTGGTTCGCCGAGCGCATCAAGATCTTTGACGACTACATGGCAAAGTACAACGACTTTGTTGCCAAGCAGGAGCGCTCCCCTATCACCGTCACGCTTCCAGATGGCAAGCAGGTCGAGGGTACGGCATGGGAGACCACCCCGATGGACATTGCCAAGGGCATCTCGACGTCGCTGGCCGACCGTATCATCATCGCCAAGGTTGACAACCAGGAGTTGTGGGACCTCACGCGCCCTCTGGAGAAGAGCGTTTCGCTCGCCCTCCTTGACTTTGACTCGCCCGAAAATGACTACGAGGCGCGCCAGGTCTTCTGGCACTCGTCTGCTCACGTTATGGGTGAGGCGTGTGAGCGCTCGTTCGAGGGATGCTGCCTCGGCTACGGCCCTCCTCTCCCTGAGGGTGGCTTCTTCTACGACATGAACCTCGCCAACGAGAAGACTATCGGACCCGAGGACTACAAGCAGATCGAGGAGATCTCAAAGAAGGCGGTCAAGGAGAAGCAGAAGTTTGAGCGCCTTTCCTTGCCAAAGGAGGTGCTCTTGGAGATGTTCAAGGTGAGTGCCTTGTCTTCCGACAGTCATCTTCTCGAGCCATATGGGGGTGACATCCTGGCTTGACTCCAGTCGGACCGCTTTGCTCAGCTCGAGGCATAACCACTTTGTTCTGACTCGATACACTCGAGACTTTGCCACTGGACTTGACTCGAATGACTTGAGGCCTTGCTACTTAAGAAGAGCCGATTGCCTCGGGACTTTGCCATCTGCTCTTATTCCATCAAAAGAGGAACTTGCGCTCACTCACAGTACAACAAGTACAAGCAACACTATATCAACGAGAAGGTCCCTGACGGTACTGAGTCGACGGTCTACCGCTGTGGTCCCCTTATTGACCTCTGCCTTGGTCCCCACGTTCCCCACACCGGCCGCATCAAGTCGCTGGCCGTCACCAAGAACTCCTCGTCTTACTTCCTCGGCGACAAGGACAACGACTCGTTCCAGCGTGTCTACGGCATGTCCTTCCCGGACTCGAAGCAGATGACCGAGTGGAAGAAGCTGCAGGAGGAGGCTGCCAAGCGCGACCACCGCAAGATCGGTCTTCAGCAGGAGCTCTTCTTCTTCTCCGACCTCTCTCCTGGCTCGCCATTCATGCTCCCTCTCGGCATGCGCATCTACAATGCGCTGATGAAGTTCATTCGTGAGGAGTACCACAAGCGCGGCTTCGTGGAGGTCGGCACCCCGAACATGTTCAACTCGAAGCTCTGGCAGACCTCGGGCCACTGGGAGCACTACAGCAAGGACATGTTCTTGCTCAAGGTCGAGGAAGAGCAGTTCGCGCTCAAGCCCATGAACTGCCCCGGCCACTGTGTTGCCTTCGACCACCGCGAGCGCTCGTACAAGGAGCTGCCGCTCCGCATGGCCGAGTTCGGTGTGCTGCATCGCAACGAGGCGTCAGGTGCGCTCTCTGGCATGACTCGTGTGAGGCGATTCGTGCAGGACGACGCACACATCTTCTGCACGGTCGACCAGATTGGAGACGAGCTGCTCGGCGCCATTGACTTCCTCGATGCCGTGTACAAGCCCTTCGGCTTCGACTACAAGGTCGGCCTGTCGACGCGCAACCCCGAGAAGTGGATGGGCGACCTCGAGGTGTGGAACAAGGCCGAGTCGTCGCTCAAGGATGTGCTCGAGGCCAAGATGCCTGGCCGTTGGCACATCAACGAAGCCGACGCCGCATTCTACGGCCCCAAGCTCGACTTTGACCTCACGGATGCGCTCGGCCGCAAGTGGCAGTGTGGCACGATCCAGCTCGACTTCCAGCTCCCCGAGCGCTTCAACCTCTCGTACCGCGGCCCCGAGCAGCCCAACGCCGACGGCACGGGCAACTTCCACCGCCCCGTCATGATCCACCGCGCCATTCTCGGCTCGCTCGAGCGCTTCCTTGCCATCATTACCGAGAACTGCGCCGGCCGCTGGCCGTTCTGGCTCTCGCCCCGCCAGGTTGTTGTCATTCCCGTCGCCGCCCTGTATCGCGACTACGCCACCAAGGTCGCCAAGGCGTTCTCGGACGCCGACATCTACGCTGAGGCTGACTTGTCCGACAACACGCTCAACAAGAAGATCCGCAACGCCCAGACGCAGCAGTGGAACTTCATCCTCGTCGTTGGCCAGGACGAGCTCGACGCGGGCGCCGTCAACATCCGCAACCGTGACGACGAGGTGCAGGGCCGTGAGGAGACTGTCAAGCTCGAGGAGGCGATCGCCAAGCTCGTCAAGCTTAAGTCTGAGCGCCAGCGTATCTCCAAGGTCGCTTAGTTGTTAGAGGGAGTGGATCATGCATGCAGATATATTCGATGAGGCTGGCTACGCATGCTCCGTGGGCTCTGTTCACGTGGTTGGCATTGGCGATCAGGCATGGTTGAAAAATGGAGAGTGAGCTGGATCGTGTACACTTCTTTAGCGACCGACGACTGGGCTTGGTCAGCCACCCCAGTGTCCTCTGCAGCACCTGGTAATAAGTTTACATGAGGCTCTCATCTATGAATACCCTAGTCCTCCGCTGGAGGCTCCTCAGCCGTCATCTTACCGAGAAGCTTCCAGTTCTTCGCGTAGGTCGGCTTGTAAATGCGGATGACGCCCTCGTCGTCGGACGTCGTAAGGGTCGTGCCCGTCGCATTCCACTCAACCATTCCGACACGCGCGCCCTTCGGGAACTCAGCCACGACCTCAGAGTCCCAGGTCTTGGCCCCTTCGTCGTCATCGGACGGTGGCTCAACACGCCAGATGCGCACTGTGCCATCACGTGCGCCGGTTGCGATGAGGTGGTATGACCTCCCGCACGACGGCGCCCACGCGATAGCAGTGAGCGGGGATACGCCAGGCGGGCGCAGATTCAGGAGAGCGGTTGGTACAGCGTCGAGCTGAATGATGCGCGCGACGGGCGAGTTGCCCGTGAACACGGCCACGACGCTACCCCACCACTTTTCCCTGCACCACGACAGCGACCACCCTCCCGTCGCGGCCTCTGCGGGCGTCGTGCCCTGCGCCTCGCCGACGTCCTCGCTCGCCAGGCTGGGCACGTGCACATCGTGCGCGAGCGACCAGTCGTTCAGATCCGGGTCGAGGGATGTGTGCACCCGCAGATGAGAGTCGGTCGATATGCTCGCCACGCGCAGCCCGTACGCCGGGTTAGGCGGAGCGAATTCGACACAGCGCACACTTCCCTTGGCTCCGGTGAGGGCACCGCGCTCGATCCACTTCGGCGCGGCGTTACTCCCCGCCGCAGGCAATTGCTCCTCCCAGATGCGCACAGTGCGGTCGTGGCTACATGAGGCGAGAAGGACGCCGTGAATTGGGTGCGCAAAGGAAAGCCGCAGGATCGGTGCGTCGTGCGCCTGCCGTTAATACGTGAGCAAGGGTGGAATTGGGCTGGCGAGGCCACGCAGTGCTCACCTTCCACTCCGTCTCCAGCTCCCATGTCCCGTCGGGTGACTTGCGGAAGATCTTGATCTTATGGTCCGCCGAGCACGTTGCCACTGTCGCCGTTAGTGTTTCGCGGGTGGTGGGTCGTGGCGAAGGAAGAACCTACACTTCTCGCCGTAGAAATCGTATGTCGCGTCTGCACGTTAGTATAGCTGTCCGCTGAAAGGTTGCTTAACACTCACGGGTTACAAGATCCGCGTGACCGGTTGGGATGAGACTTGTCTGAAGCATGCTGTTGACACTGATGGCTACAACTCGAAGTCAATGACAGTACAAGTGCTTGATGGCAACAACATTAGTGCGGGGCCACTTGACAATCTCCGAAATCACCGCGTGGATGTGGACGCCTATTGGAATTGGGGAAATAGGCATGCAAAGAAACGTGGCGTGGACCTCCACGCTGGATGCAGCGTCACCGTTGGGACTCGTGCAGCGTGTGCGCCCTCTCCCTGTATCCGCTTGGCTGTACCTTCCTCGCAGCCGCTCACTGCTGCTCGCTGGCCATCCCATCCATCTCAACATCGTATCCCGTCTTCTCCACCCTTCCACTTTCCGCTCCTTCCTCCTCTCCCCCTCGCAAAACTCTCCCTCGGACCTCCTCGCTTCGCCGCGCATCGCCCACACTCAGGCGACCTCGGCACACGATGAACGTCCAAGAAATCCACCTCCCCCAGGGCTGGGAAGCCAGATGGTGCGTGTCTGCGCTGTGCGCCCTCCGACGCGCATACTTCGCCACTCCGAAGCGCGTGGGCAGCCCATCTCACCAACTTACCCCGCATTTACAGCTGCTGACAGCGCAGGGACACGGGCTCGAACCAATATGTCTACTACAGTGCGCACTTTGGCCCCATCATCAATAACAAGCTTGAGCTAACGTTTCAGACACCGAGACCGGCCAGTCGCAGTGGGAGGTCCCCACCCGGCCAGTGTTTGGCGGCGGTGATGGCGGCCGCTCGACCGCTTCCCCCCCTCCGGCCAGCGGGCACCACCACTCCAAGCGCAGGCAGTACCCCACTGCGCAAATGCAGCAGGTCTATGGTGCGGGCGTTGCGCAGCAGCCCGCGTATGACGCCGGCGCTGCAGCCTACGGGCAACCGCAGGCGCAGGCCGCGTACCCCGGCCAGGCGCAGATGCAGCAGCCCCAGTTCATCACGCCCGGTATGGAAGGCCAGCAGCAGCCGCAGCAGCAGCCCGCGTATGGGCAGCAGCCGGGTTACGGCGGAGCGTACGGCCAGCCGCCCGTGGATCAGATGGCAAACCAGTTCCAGAACCTCGCCGTCGGTGGTGCGCAGCCTGCAGGTTATGGCCAGCAGCCAGCGTACGGTGCGCAACAGGGCGGGTTCGTTGAGCCCAAGCAAATGCACCCCGTCCACACGGTCAACCTGATAGGCATGCAGCCCGACGTCCGCGGCCTCGACGCACCGCCCCCGCAGGCGCTGCTGCCGTCAAACGCTGCTGTCGTTCAGTCGCCGCACATCATTCCCGACCCGTCGTACCAGCGTTGTACGCTCGCAACAATGCCCACGACCCAGTCGCTTCTCAACAAGTCCAAGCTCCCGCTTGCGCTTGTCATGGCGCCGTACAGATCGTTCCGCGAGTCAGACGGCGATGATCCTGTTCCGGTTGTCACTGACTCGGTCATTGCCCGCTGTCGCCGCTGCCGCGTCTACATCAACCCCTTCGTCACCTTCACCGAGGGCGGCAACCGGTGGAAGTGCTGCATGTGCGGTCTGAGCAATGAGGTGCCGCAGCTCTTTGACTGGGACTCGATCGAGAACAAGCCGGCCGATCGCTGGGCTCGCAAGGAGCTTAACCATTCCGTGGTCGAGTTTGTTGCGCCCACCGAGTACATGGTTCGCCCGCCCCAGCCTCCCGTTTACTGCTTCGTCATTGATGTGAGCCAGCCGGCAATCCAGTCGGGCATGGTCGCAACGGCGGCTCGCGCCATCCTCGAGTCGCTGGACAACATCCCCAACCAGGACAAGCGGACAAAGATTGCGTTCATCGCCGTCTCCACCAGCCTTCACTTCTTCTCCCTTCCCGCTGGTGAGGACGCTGAGGCGTCCATGCTTGTTGTTTCCGACCTCACGGATGTATTTCTGCCCAAGCCTGTCGACCTCCTCGTCAACCTCACAGAGTCGCGCCCCGCAATTGAGAACCTCCTTGGCAAGCTCAGCGACATGTTCCAGGAGTCGCACGTCGTTGGCAACGCCCTCGGTTCGGCGCTTCAGGCAGCCCATGAGCTCATCGGCAAGATTGGTGGCAAGATCGTCTGCCTGTCATCCAGTCTGCCGACACTGGGCACCGGTGCGCTCAAGCCTCGCGACGACCCCAAGCTACTCGGCACGAACAAGGAAGGATCGCTCCTCCAGGCCGCCAACAGCTTTTACAAGACGTTCGCGATCGAGTGCTCGAAGTCGCAGGTGTCGGTTGACATGTTCCTCTTCTCCTCGGCCTACACCGACGTTGCAACACTGTCCTGCCTGCCCCGCTACACGGCTGGTGAGACATACCTCTACCCCGGCTTTAATGCGTCGCGCAGCGAGGACGCTATCAAGTTTGCGACCGAGTTTGGCAAGGTCTTGGCCAGCCCCATCGGTCTGGAGGCCGTCATCCGTGTACGTGCCTCTCGCGGCATCCGCATGTCGGCATTCCACGGCAACTTCTTCATTCGCTCGACCGACCTGCTTGCGCTCCCTGTGCTGCCTCAAGACCAGAACTACGTGATTGAGCTGCAGCTCGAGGAAGACCTTAAGCAGCCCTTTGTTGTGCTCCAGACTGCCATCCTCCACACGACGTGCTATGGTGAGCGCCGCATCCGCGTCATCACGCAGGCGCTTCCCACCACCGACACAATCGCCCAGCTGTACGCATCAGCCGACCAGATCGCGATCACATCGTTCCTTGCCAACAAGGCAGTTGAGAAGATCCAGTCCAACTCGACGCTTGACGACGCACGCAACCTCGTCACTAACCGCCTGGGCGAGATGCTCTCAGTGTACAAGAACCAGGTGGCGGGTTCCGCTGGCGCGTCAGCACAGCTGGCTGTTCCCGCCAACCTGGCGCTTCTGCCATTGCTCTGCTGTGGTCTCGTCAAGCATGTTGGCTTGCGCGAGGGTGCGACGATCCCACCCGACCTGCGCGCCTATGCGCACGACTTGCTTACAACACTCCCCACTCAGTCGCTCGTGCCATACATCCATGCGCGCTTCTACAGCTTGCACAACATGCCGGCCGAGGCAGGCACGATCGGCGAGGCGGGTGTCATTATGCCACCTGCACTCAACCTCACGTCGGAGCGACTGGAGCGCCACGGTCTCTTCCTTATCGAGGACGGGCAGAACATGTTCCTTTGGGTCGGGCAGGAAGCTGTCCCGCGCCTCGTCCAGGACGTGTTTGACCTGCCATCGTACGCCGAGCTGCAGGGCGGCAAGGGCACGCTGCCCACACTCGACAACCCGTTCAACCAGCGCGTCAACGCCATCATTGCGAAGACTCGCGAGCTGCGTCGCGGCGTCTATCGCCCTACGTTGTACATTGTCAAGTCGGATGCCGAGCCTGCGCTGCGCTCGTGGGCGCTCAGCTTGCTCATCGAGGACCGCATGGACCACATGAGCAGCTATGCGCAGTACCTCACACGCGTCAAGAACAAGATCAACGGGTCGTAATCGTAGTAGATAAGGCACAGCTTACATGGATGTCATCGTTAGAGCGGCGGGGGCGGCGAGGTCGAAAGCGTTTTGGAGTTTCGTCGATCCCAAGTGCGTGCGCGATGTTGCACCAGTCCACCGTTGGGAGCCGCGCTTGTTGCCTCACATGGTATCCGACGCAAGTCGGGTAATTTCCGCGGCAAAACACGGCTAATGCCGACCCGCAAGACAAGGCCCGGCCGATGAGCCGGTGACTTAAGGCCTGCCTCTCGTCTATCTTGCAGCTAGCACTCTCAACTGACGCATCCCACTCACCATGTCCGACCCCAACCGCTACACTAAGCCTGTCCCCGGCCAGGCCTCCGTGCCGTTCCTCTGTATGTTTGCCGTCCGCCGTGCACTGGTACCCCGCTCCACCTGATGTGGTTGGGGAGTGGAGCGGACCTCCTGCGCGCCTGCTTTCCCACTTCCCCCCTTCGCCTCCTCTGTCATCCCCTCCCCTCCCCCTCTCCCCCATCTAACGGCTAACACCCCTTCCTCCTACTCGTCTCTGTTCTCTCTGCTCGCCTTCTCACCCCAGCCTCCGCCATCGTCTCCAACGGCATGGTCTACACGTCCGGCGCGCTCGGCGTGACGCCCGACGGCAAGATGGTCGAGGGCCCCATCGAGGGGCGCGTCACCCAGATCCTCGACAACCTCGAGGCTGTGCTCAAAGCGCACGGCTCGGGGCTCGAGCACATCGTCAAGTCGCTCATCTTCGTACGTCCGACCTCTAATGCTGAGCCGCCGCCCGCCTCGCCTCACCGCGCCTCGCCTCGCCCAGCCGCCGTGTCATCACTCACACCAGATCACCGACTACAAGGACTTTGACGCCATCAACAAGGTGTACACTGCGCGCATGCCCAAGCCGCCCCCCGCGCGCAGCTGCATCGGCGCTGCTACGCTGCCGCGCGGCACGGACATCGAGATCGAGGTGATCGCGCGCATCCCGGGCGCCAAGCTCTAGGTGCCACGTCCTGCCCTAGTGCCCTAGTGCCATAGCAAAATGCGTTATGTGATACAACAGTCTAATCTAATGTCCGTCCGAGTTCTCCCATGTCATGTGCGCGCCCGCGCCGAAGGAATGGTCGCCTCGTTAGACTGGAACCTTCTTCTCTGTGTACTCTTCGCCTTCGCCCCGTCCCTGCAGGCGCAGGAGGGTGGACAGCAGCCACGATGATCCCAGCGCGTGGGCCGCGAGCGCGGCGTCGGCGGCGCCTACGCGCCGCATGAGGCGCGGGAGGTGCGGGAGATCGCAGATGAGAAGGGCGTACAGCCCCGTAAACGCCATGAGTGTCGCGGGCAGCTCGGCCCACGAGCCGTCGAGCCACGCGAGAACAAATACCGTAGCCGAGCCGCCGACGGCGCTCAAGATGAGGCATGGAGGTGTGATTGTCTCGGAGGACTGCGATCAGGGACGTGCAGTTATAATTGCGATCACGTACCAGAATAGCGACGAGGGAAGCGAGGACGCAAGACCAGAGGGCGAAGAGCGCGCGGGCGAGCTGGGGTCAGATATTTGGACGGGGGCGTGCATGCGTACGATGGGGTAGAGCGCGGACGTGAACTGCTGTCCGATAGCTAGAGCGATCGCGAGCGCGGCGCCGACGAAGCCCGCCGCGGCCGCGTGGGCGAGCGCGCTGAGAGAGGATTTTAGGACGCCGCGCGCCCGTGTGAAGCCCGCCAAAGCGGCGAGCCAGGTCGCGAGCGGAGGAAGGAGGAGGAGGGGGTGGTCGACGAGGACGGTGTGCGCGGTGGCCTGTCCGAGGACGAGAAATGACAGGCACACGGCGCCGAGCGAAATTGCGCGGTGCGTGTACAGCGTCATGAGGAATGCGCGGCGCGTCGCCGCAGGCTCGTCGGCAACTGGGAGCATCGCGATAGTCGTGTGAGTAGTGAGTACAACGACAAGACAGCGATACACTACATGTACATATCTGCCGAGAGTGATGGTTGATGGCGGGCTGGGATCAGCCGTCGCTCGGTGCGACGAACGTGTGTCCTCGGCTTGGCCAATTGACACATACAGACCCCTGACATATGCTTCAATTGGGCCAGGCCCCACATTCTGGGCTGCACATGCGCATGTTCCGCATCGTATGGACTGCATGTTTGGGATATCTGTAGGCGAGAAGACAAGTATAAATACATGCGGGAGCGCGGGAGCGGAACTGCGCTGCCCGCAATGTCGGTTGAGAGCCCTGCTGACCATTGGCTGCTCATAGCGCGCGGGACATTGTGAAACGCTAAACTCGGCCATCGCGCGCGACCGAGTCCAGAATCGCCGACATGCCGAGCACGGCGGCGCCGAGCCCGGCCTCGTCGGCGCCCACGCGCCCGAGGACGCCGGGCATGTCGCGCAGCGCGAACAGCGTGCCGCCGAGAACACCGACCCAGGCACACACGATCTCGACCGTGTTGGCGTGGATGGCGAGGCCGATGCCCGAGCCGACGAGCCCGCAGAGGAGCGCGGCGGCGAGCGAGAGCTCGCGGAATCCCGGCGCCTGGCGTCAGTGCCGTCGGCGTTGGACGTACGTGGTACGCAGCGATTGCGAGGCCGCCGAACACGCCGCCGCCTGCCACAAGGGCTACGAGGGCCATTTTGACGGCCCAACCCCAGCCGAGGAGAGCGAGGGCCGCGCCGATGGCGGCACCCTCCACGGCGCCGAGGAGGAGGAGGAGCGCGGCGCCGGACGCGCCGCGCGGGCGGCAGAAAAGGAGCAGGCTGAAGCCCGCGGCGTAGACCACCGGCGAGGCGAGTGTCGCGAGCGCCGGGCCCATGCCCAGCTCGCGCTCGGCGCCGCCGAGGAGGCCCGGCGCGAATGCCGAGACGGCGGCGGCGGACAGCAGGAGCCGGAGGCAGGTGAGGGCAAAGATGGGAGGCGTGATGTCGTCCGTAGGCGGGGCGAGGGGGGCGTGCGGGCCCATCAGCTGATGCTATCTACTAGTAAGAGGAAAGGAGGGGCGCAGAGGCGTCGCGGCGTGCCTGGGCGGGTGTGTGGCGATCGGGGTGATGGTGAGTGCTTTCAATGAAGTGCGGAATGGGTCGTGGGGCGTGAGTAGCTCGCGAGAGGAGTGAGAGAGCTGAGAGGATCACGAGCAAGAGCAAGAGCTTGAGAGGAATGGGAGAGGCGCGAGGACGAGCCCGAGCATTGCCAGCTTGCGAGGACGTCGCTGTTCCGATTTACGCCATGCCACGCCACGGTGGCCACGGTCTGTGCGCCCACACACGCAAAGCCTGAACAAAGGGAGGAGTGAATCAGCTGGGCACACAATCTCCCCTGCAGCGATCCCTCGAGACCCATCCACTCCGCCACTCTCCGCCATGCCGCCCCTCCGCCACCGCCGGCGCCACACGCCACCGCACGCCCCGCCTCCCTCCTCCTCCTCCTCCTCCGCTCTCTCTCTTCTACTGACTGGCTCGCACCCCGAAACGCTCATGACCCGCCGCCGCCGGCATTCCTTCTCCTCTCCTCCTCTCCTGAGCTCTCTCTTCTCTCCTTTCTCCTCACTTCTGTCCTCTCACAGCTGCGCCATCCAAACACGCCTTCCGCGCAGCCCCGTCCCCCCCACCCATGCCGCCCATGCCGCGCGCATCCTCATCCACATGAAACGCTCGATATCAGTGACTGCCATGCTCATGCCTGTGCGGTATATGACCCACTCACGCACCACTCACCTCATCTCACCGTCACCTCCTCACTCTCACCCCTACAATGGGCAAGGCCACCGTCAAAGACGCGAAGGTGAACGCGAACGCAAAGACGAGCACGAGGAAACGCGCCGGACGGCTGAGCGCGCGGCCACGCCCCCGCCGCGCCCGCTCCTCCAGCAGCGCCGCGAGCGACTTGCTCGAGACGCCTCCACCTCCCCCCACACTCCCCATCGCCCTCGTCGAGGAGGAGGTGGAGGGCGGGAGCCCCCTCGCTCTCCCGTCCCCTGCATGGACGCCCAAGCCCGAGCCCCCCGAGCCCGACGACCTCCCCGACACCTTTGACGTCCTCGACTTCCTCCCGCCAGCTCCTCCGCCCGGGTTGCGGCTCGGCCCCGTGTGCGAGTCGCGAACAGTACGCGCCCGCTCGACATCGCTTACCCAGTGCACGTCCTTCTATTTCGCAGGGCATCTCGACAACCGCACACAGTGGCAGTTGTTGCACCAAGCGCTCGTGATCTACATGTACGAGCTGAACAGTGAGTCTGCGCCGAAGGACACCAGGAGGCGGCGCTGACGAACCTCCTTTCGATTTGCGCACTTCCGCTGCCGATATCTTGCATCCTTTCGCATCTGCCACGCTCGGCTTGCTTTCGCTCGCAGTGTCCCCACAAATCGCATGGCACCACCATCGCATGGGACAGTTCCGCGGCACCGAGCAGAAATACACCGTCGTCAACATTGTCACGGGCTCGTCGTGGACCAACGTCTTCGAAAAGGACATGGAGAACCTTATCCGCAAGGTGTGGCAGGGAGGAGATCGACAGTGAGTTCCACCCAAGGAGGACCGGGCGGGTCAAAGGAAGCAGCTGATGGCAGTATCGAGGTGTATCGCACCCCACACGAATAGACACGTGTTGTGGCTCATGGCTGTTGTCTTGCTGGGATATTCAAATGTTGTACGATGTGTGTTGGTATTGGCATAGATGTAATGGGGCTCAGTCTCCCACGATCAAATGGCTATCATGTCGAGCTCCAGGCCAGTGGAAGAAGAGTAAAGCCTGTCACGACGCACCCGAAACCCGACTGCCTCGGGGATCTATGCAGAAGTTGTCAATGGCAAGGGCTTTGCGCCGGCTCAAGACCGCACGGACAAGGGTACACCTGCTCACCGAGGGCGACGGGCAGGGGGGCCGGTGAGGGCAGCCGCGGGAGAACGGAAATACTCCATCTTGCACTCAGCACGGCTTCTGGTCGGCTGCAATACTCCCTTGAAATCCAATGCATACAGTGTGCGCTTGCCGCCTATGCCTCCTGGTTCATGATGATGACTTTGATCTCGTCGCCGCCCTCGACCGCCTCGAAAGCCTGTTGGCTCTGCGCCAGCGGGAACGTACGGGTGATCAGCGGCTTGAGATCAACTGCGCCGCGGCGCAGCAGGTCGAGAGCATGAGGGAAGCACGGGGCTGTGTAGCGTGTAATTCCCTTGACGTCGATCTCCTTGTTGGTCACCGCAAGAGTCGGGAACGTCATGGTCTGGTGGTGGCCGAGACCGACGGCGAGGTCTTGGATCAGCTTCGCCTCATCAGTTACTCACAAGTCGCGCCTTGGCGCGCAATCGCTATGCCCAGCAAGCCGGCATCTTCGGCGCCGCTGGCTTCAATCACGCGGTCCACGCCGTCGCTGTCCAACCCTGCCTCGGCAAGATACGTCTTCGCGCGGACCTTGGCTGCGTCGAACTTGACATCGCCTATTGGGTGCTCGTCCTCATGTCCGTTGGCCGTTCCGTTGGCAACCGTTGGCAGGTTGTCGACAAGGAACACCTTGTCGAAAACGTTCCGCCCACCTGACACATACGCCTTTGCGAACGCTACACGCTTCGGGTTGATGTCGAACCCTATCACCCGGCTGACGCCGTACGCTCGGCACACAGCAGCGGCAATCAGCCCGATCGGCCCACAACCCATGACCGCCACGGTCTGGTGTGCACGGATGTCGGCGCGAATCCCAATCGCCACACCCACCGCGAGCGGCTGTACACACCCCGCCTCCTCCCAGCTCAAGCTGTCCGGCAAGTGCGGCGCCATGTCGGCGGGAAGCGCGAAGAACTTGGACAGCGAGCCCACCGAGCCGGGTGTGCCGCAGTAGCGGGCATTGAGACAGATGTTGATCCGGCCAATCTTGCAATTGGCGCAACGGCGACACGGAAGGCCAGGCTCGACTGAGGTCAGTCGCAATGCCACACGGGCCGCAAGGGAAAGGTGGGAGGGAAGGGTGAACTTACTCGCAACACGATCCCCAACCTTGTGCGTCGTGACCATATCGCCAATGGCAATGACCTCGCCGGCGCTCTCGTGCCCCATGACCAGTGGCTCCAGGACTGGCCGCCCACCCACTCCACCCGCACTAAAGTTATGCAGGTCAGATCCGCAGATACCGGACGCGATCACACGGACGAGTACACCGTCTGGTTGCAAGACCGGGAGGGGACGGGGCTCAACGCTGATTGTGTGCTTCTTCAGCAGCACAGTTGACAGGTTGGGAGGGAGGTTAAGGGACTGAACCTGTGGCGGGTTCACCTTGACGAGGTGGTGGAAGTCGGTCATGGCGATGGGTGGAAGGAGACCGATTGAAAGAACAGATGACAAGAACAGTGGAGAACGAGAGGCGTGAAGGGGAAGCGGCTCAGCTCGCAACTCCGGCACTTGCCTTGCCGCCAGTTGCCGCACCCGCCCTAGCTGCCCGGCTCGGAGTTATCCACCACAGATCAAACCCACCCGTCCATCCCCTGCGTCTCTTTCCTCCCTCACATTCGACAACATGCATCGCGCGTGGCGACATCTAAAAGTCAACCTTGGGTATCTCGAACAACACAAAGTCGTAGTATTCCTGCTCCATCACATTTGCCCATTCTCCCACCATGTCATCGGCGTGGACCGTATTGCTCGCCCGATCCTTGGCTGTGGCGAGGTAGTTGAACCGCGCCGACAGCTGCTTGAGCGTCTTGACCGCTGTCTTGGGCTCGGGCTGCAAGTCAGGGTGTGCACGGTATCTGGCGGCCTGTGGTGACATACCTTGACAATGACTCCTGCGTACTCCGCCGGCAGGCCGTAGCGGAGCACACTCTCCACAAATAGGCGTACCGTCTTGAGGTGCGCCAGCAGCTGGTATGCTTCCGAGAAGTTTATCCGCGTCAGACGCAGCAGCTCGGTCTGGCGTCAGCGGGACCCAAAGCGAGCGCGGCGCACCCAAAGTTCCTTCTCCTCCTGCTCGAGCCTGGCTAGCTCCTTCTTCTGGTTCTCGAGCCCCTCGTCATCCCAGTTGAAGTCGCGCACAATGAACCTAATGTCAGTTGTGCGTGAGTCAATGGCAGCTCACTTGTTCTCGCGAGCCTTGTGCACAAAGTCGTCGTGCACCTTCTTGAAGATGGTGACGGTCATCAGGACAAAGTCATTGTCCTTGGCAAGCTCCCTGGATGGGTCGACGAGGCGTTCGTACAAAAGAGGATCGTCAGGCCAATTCAAACAGATGTGAAGACCAGGAAGCGGCGTGCACGGTGCAGGCAGAGGCGGGCGTCAGCCTTACTTCGCGCACGCAGCACATATGCTTCGCGAGAGTTCACTCACTGCGAGCTGCGCGGGACAACCATGGATGCGAGGCGCTCGTACTTGTCAAACCAGTCTTTGACGTTGTTCCTGCGCGTCAGCGCACCACTCTACACACACTGTGCACGGCACGCCGCCGCGTGCAGGCTGGCATTCTACCCACTTCGGCACGGCGACGAGGAGCGTCTCGAGGAACTCGGAGTTCTCGACAATGTCGCCCTTCTTGACGACGTCCAACAGAGAGCGCTGCGACAGATTACCCTGCTGTTTCCGCTGAAGGGTGTTGAGTGCGCCCTTGGCGAGATTATACGACTGGGCCTTGGCCTTCTGCGTCGTTTCGACCGTGTGCATCTCGCTCACAAGCGAGGCCACGACGTCGCCGACCTTGCCATCGTCGCCCCAGCGCCCCTTGTCCCAGCGCCACGCTGACTGCCCATGCGAGTCAGGCAGCAAGTACTCCTCTACCGGGCGATCGTTGACGCGCGCATGCTGTGCGAGTCGCGTCTTGTCGTCTCCGACGAGGGAGCGCAGCTGGTCGAGCAGCTTGGATACGACGGCCGTGAACGTCGCATCCATCTTGGGCAGCTGATCCGAGAGCGTCAATAGCGACGAGAGTGTCCCGGCCTGCCGTTAGCTGTGAGGAAGGTGCAACTTGCCTTCAGTTCCGGGATGGTCCAGCCGCCGCAAGGGGTGTTGCCGCCCGTCGCGCGGCGCACGTCCTCGAGAACCGAGGACGGGTCGCCGTCATGCAGGGGCACCGAGATAATCCAGTAGGAGAGATCAGACGGCATGCTGTAGGTGCCGCAGAGTGGGTCGGCGCGATCGCGATGGCAGTGTCTGATGTGGTGGTCGCAGATGACGCCGGCGTAGGTGGTGACGACACAGGGTGGGGACGCTGGGGAGCCTACGGCTGTTAGGAGTGAATGGCGAGAGTGTGCCTATCTGCTCCAAACCGATGGCAATGCCCAAAACCACGTGGTGTTCCAGACCTCCACCGGCTCGGTCTTGTGCTCGGTGCCTTCCATCCAGAAGGATCAGCCGATCGCGGCAAGCCTCCTCGTCATCGTTCACCTCTCCTCAAGCCTCTTCCATCCAACATGTTCAGGCCGCTACTCGCCGCCGCCCGTGCTACCGCCCGCTCCGTTCCGCGCTCCGCCGCACCCCAGCGCTCGGCGCTTGAGGCGCTGCGCCGACCGCTCTCATCCTCGTCCCGCCAGCGAGTCGAGTACCGGCGCTTTGACAACCGCTCCTCAGGGCAGCCGAGCTCCGGCAATGTCATGAACTACATGCGGCGCCGCGTCGGCGGTGATCGCGGCATGGTGCTCTACGGCATCATGATCGGCGGCGGTGCAATCTACTATGTTGCCCAGTGCGTAACGGCTGTGCGGGGAAGGGTCCGAGAAGCAAGAGAGGAGTGACGTTGACGCCAGCCTCGAACGAGTCCCAATCACCGGTCGGTTGAGGTTTATGGATTGCACGCCTGAGCAGGAAAGTGAGGTGAGTACATGTGTGTGTGGCGAAGACACAGAGGGCGCATGTGTGGCGCGGTCGCAAGAGCCGTGCATGTTAAAGCGTCTCGGATGAACAACGGTCCGGAGGAAGTGGCTATCCTGCGGCTCGCGAACGGAAAGGTGCAGATGAGCCGAAGTGGTGGGAAAGGCACATGTTTCAAGGAGACAACGAAGACCGAGACGTCGACCGAGGATGTCTGAATTTCGGAGGAGCTTGTCCGAAGGGGCTGGTCAACGACAGACTGATGCGGAAGTTGGGCGAAACGGAGCGGAGCTGGACAAGCAGCGATGTCGCCGAGTAACCTGGAGCGGGACTGATTCTTGCTTCTCCGCCGTTGCTAACGCCAGATCGGCCAGGCCACCTATGCCGAGACCATGGCGCAATTCGAAGGCCAGCTGCTTCCGCCTAACCATCCCATCACCCGGCGCGTGCGCGAGATCGCCAAGCGAATTGTGGAGCGCAACGGTCTGGGGCGAGTGAAGGAGGGCCACTCGCTCAGCAGCATTGAGGAAGTCATGGGCTCGTTCGGCATCGGGCGCGGCATGGAGTCCGGAGAGAACATCAGCGCAACGGAGGCGGGGAATCAGAATGCCGAGTGGGAGGTGAGTTCCATGAGCTGCACGTCCATGAGAACCGACGCTGAAAGCAGGTGTACGTTGTCGACGACCGCAAGACGATGAACGCATTCGTGATCCCAGGTGAGTAGTGCCTGGCGAATTGAAGTGAACCAGTGGAGCGTCTTTGTTCCGAAACCCCAGCTCCACGGATCGCCGATGTCGGCGACAACGGCGCTGATAGCAGGCGGCAAGATCTTTGTGTTCACGGGTATTCTGCCGGTGTCCGGCAATGACAGCGGGCTGGCGACGGTGATGGGCCACGAGATCTCGCACGTCGTGGCGCGTCACGGCGCCGAGCGCATGAGCTACATGAAGGTGCTGTTTGCGGTTAGCTTCCTTCTCGAGACGCTCGGCCTGGATGTGGGCATTACGCGCGCGCTCGTCACCCTCATGCTGCAGCTGCCCAACTCGCGAGCGAGCGAGAGCGAGGCCGATAACATCGGCCTACAGCTCATGGCGCGGGCATGCTACGACCCTAGTGAGGCGTCAAAGGTGTGGGAGCGGATGAGCGAGATGGGCGGCGGTGGTGGCCAGCTCGACATCCTCAGCACACACCCAGCGAACCGCAAGCGCATCAAGGTGAGAAAATCGTCGGACCATCTGACAGCAGGCACTGTCTAAGGAGCTGCCGCTCGCGAACGACATTGTCGCGGCCAACTGCGGGGGTGTGGCCGACAACAAGGCCGGGTTTGACCAGGCTGTCGGATCTTGGTCGAAATGGGGCTAGCTGGAAGGCGAGAAGGGAGTGCTCCGGCGTCATATTGTCAATGCAAGCGTTGCCGACGTGGTGACTACCTTGCCGATTGGGGATCAGGGGATCGCGGTGACCGCCGTCAACCGACACGGCAGCCTGCAGTGGTCGTAAATACCTCGCTGTTCCATATCTCCATATCTCCGCCGTAGTAGCATCAGACCGTGTTTTGCCGAGATTCAGCATTATAATGCTGAATATAACGCGACTCAGAGCCTTTGCCATTATACTCTCCCCGTATCTAGCATGCCCTACGATTCCGAGCACCACGATGCCCACAGCAGCACTGGCGGACACGTCCCCCACCCGCTGCACCCGGACGAGCCCCCTGTAGCGGCGACCGAGACCGGCGGACCGGACACGTCGCCGGGTGACCTCGAGCATCCGCACCTGTATCGCTACGAGACCGTATCCGGCTTCTTCCTGCAGACGGAGGGATCGAAGCACGTCGAGTTCGAGGATCTGGTGCGTCTCCGAGTCCTGCGAGTGTGATGCTGATGTTACCGTCATCCCCCCTCACTCTCACTGTCAATGCTCTCTTTCGCCTCCTGCGCGCACCTCTCCCAGCTCGAGCGTCATTTCGGCCTCCTCGACACATCGCCGCAGCGGTGGGCCAACTTTCGCACCCGCATCGCCGAGCTTCAACGCAACGCGGCGCCAGGCGAGGCTTACAAGGTCCTCTTTCTCGGGCGGCATGGGCAGGGATGGCATAACTTTGCCGCGGCCAAGTACGGATACGAGGTGAGTTGCGGGGAAGTACGAATGGGCGCTCGCTGTATGATTCCGAGATGCCGAAACGGCGTGTCTTCCGTCAGGTTCGTGGGAGCGGGGAGCGCGAGAGGCTGGCATGAGCATGTGTATGTGGAATGTGGCGGTTACCGACTGCTGCCACTCCTCGTGTGCCTGGCGTCGCTTCCGCATCTCTACAGGACAAGTCCTGGCTCCGTTGCAACGGGCCGAAGGGCGACAATTCGTGCGACGGGCGCCAGTGGGCAGCTACTGATTATCTGCTGGAATGATGCGAGCTGTGGTGGCTCGTGTATAAACTTGTCGTATCGAGGAGGCCTCTGAGGGCCGGACTTCGCTTAGCATCTCGCTAACGTCAGGCCTGGGAGACACACTACACGTATCAGACGACGGACGGCGAGCTGACGTGGGGCCCAGACCCCGAGCTAACGAACTTGGGTCATGAACAGGCCCGCGCAGTCCGCCGGACGTGGGGGCGGGAAGTTGAGGCAGGCGCGCCTGTCGACGAGATGACATGGTTCGTATCGCCGCTTACGCGGACATGCCAGACCTTTCTCAACTCCTGGGAGGGGTTGTACCGCTCGCCGCAGATCTGGGAGGTGAGCAGGCTTAAATATCTGGTGCTAACACCCAGGATTGGCGCGAAATCTATGGCTCGCACACGTGCGACAAGCGTAGTCCGCGGTCGATCATTGCGGCACGCTTCCCCATGATGGAGATTGAAGAGAGCATGAGCGAGCACGATGAGCTGTGGCGACCGGATGACCGCGAGACGGACGAGCACATGCAGATGCGCATGCGACGGGCCATGGATCGCGTCATGAGCGGAGACTACACCACCTGTGCGCAGCTGTAACTCGCGCGTCGCTGACCCCAGATATCAGCGTCACGGCCCATGCGGCCATCCTCCGCAACCTTCTTGCCGTGCTTGGCCACCGGGCGTACCCGCTCGCGACGGGCGAGATGATCCCAGTTGTAATCAAGGCCACACGCATGAGTGGGGCGTGATCTCTAACCCTGCCTTCGCCCTTCCTCTGTATCCTTACTCACTCACGTCATGCATAATTGTCTTCGATGCCTGGTGGCTGAACCAGCAGCTCACAGATCCTCGTGAGGCGGGAGGTCCTCACCTCGCAGCACCAGCGTTGCGCGCACCGCGCGGTGGTCGCTCCACCGCCCCTGCCACCCGTCCGCATCGCCCTCCTCAACCCAGTTGTCGATACACGCATACTGGGTAAACACCCACCCGCCGCGGGCGACATGGGTGCCCTCCTTAGCCCGCTCATCCGCCGCCGCCATGATGAGATCGATGCGCTGCGTCTCAGTGCGCCCCGGCCCCGTGAAGCCTGTCCACGTCGTGTCGGGACCGTAGGGGCGGCTCTGGGCATCATAGCCCGGCCGCCGTTCCGCAAGGTGGTGATAGGCGTCCAGGAAGACGAAGCTCGGCTTTTTTAGCGGCCAGAATGACGTGATGTTCTTGTACCCGTCCTCGTTTGGCGGCGAGTTGAAGTCGCCGAACAGAATAACGGGCGCCTTGGGTTTTTTTCCTCTCATCTGCGTCTCGGTCTCAACAGCATCGACCCACTCGCGAATCGCGGAGCGAATGAGGAAACTGCTGTTTGCTCGAGCGACCACACCCTGGTCATCGTAGTGCGTGCACACCGCGTGCACGAGGTGCCCGCCCTTCTTATCCCGCAGCGATAGGAAGGTCGCAATGCGTGTTTGACTAGCGTCCCATCCCACCGAGCCGGGCCGCTCGGGCGTAGTGCTCAGCCACATGGTTTTCCACTTAACGCATTCGAAACGTTCCCTGCTGTCAGCTCTGTCGCCGCTTAACGCACTGGTCGTAGAAGATTGGCGAGTACTCGCCGGCCGTCTTGCCGTCGTCACGCCCGACGCCCACGTGTGCGAACCGCCTACCGAGGAGCACGGCGAGGTCCTCGAGCTGCGAGACATACACTTCCTGAAACCCGACAATGTCCAGCTCGCCCGTGCTCAGCAGCGCGTCCACGAGGCGGCTCCGGCGCACGGCCCATGGCTGCTCGGCGTACGGCCTGTCCCGGTCCAGAAATCCCGAGCGGGATAGCTTCCGGGGGTTGACTGCGCCGTGCTTCGGAATGGGGACAGGGTTGTCGCGCAGCCCATCGAAACGTACGTTGACGGTCGCGACGTGGATGTCTCGCGGGTGGGCGGCCATCTCGGAGGCAGAGACGAAGAGCTGGGGGGCCGAGGGGTCGGGTTGGAGTACAACCATGGGTGTCTGGTGTCGAGCGTTTGAGGAGGTGGGCGTTGGAGTAATGTGTCGTGGTGTGGACAGCAGGGTCATGGCGCAGCCGGCGCTGATGGCGTTGTCCTCGATGGAATGCGGCTGCGGCGTGCATGACCTCATCCCACGTTGTTTGTGTGTTCGTATATCCGAATGTATTTCCGCAATCCGAGATGGTTGAGTAACCTACGCTCGCCCTCCGCCCATCAACAACATCCCAATATCACCTTCTCCGCCTCCCTCCACGCCTTTACTCTTTCCCAAGCGACTATGCCACAACATGGCGACGAGGACGCCGACCTAGATGCCTATCCCTACCTCCGGGGGCTCAACCCCGCTCAGCTGCAGGGTGAGATACCTACCTATTCATCTCTGACAGCAGCCGTAATAGCCCCTCCGGAGGTGCCCCTTCAGATTCTGGCCGGCCCCGGGTCGGGCAAGACTCGGGTGCTCACCTCGCGTGTGGCCCATCTTGTGAAGCGACATCACATCTCTCCGCGCCGCATCACCGCTGTGACATTCACGAACAAGGCCGCGAACGAGATGCGGAAACGCCTGCAAGCTCTTCTCGGCCTGTCAGAGGCGTCGCAACTTGTGCTTGGTGAGTGCGCCTCTCACCATGACACTCAATTCCCGCTGACCCAAGGGACGTTCCACGCGACATGTGTGCGATATCTACGGCGGCACGGCGCACGCATCGGGCTTGACACCAACTTCGCCATCGCCGACGCTGATGATTGGTACGATCGCACCTTGTCCAGGAGCTCACAGCAGCAAGAAGATTATGACACGATTGCTCAAGGAGAAGAAGGAAGAGCTTACCATGGCGCGGATCAGTCTTAGGGAGGGAGACGTGCTCAGCGTCATATCCAAGGCCAAAGCCAAAGGGGAGACACCGGAGGGCATGGAGATACGTGCCGCTCAGCCCGAATCCGACAGCGTGCTCACCGTTATTGCTGAGCTGTATGAAGATTACGAAGCCGCGCTACGGGAGGCCGGTGCTCTCGACTTTGACGACCTTCTCCTCTTCGGCCTACGACTATTCCGCCAGCACTCCGGCATTCTCGAGTCATGCACACACATCCTCGTGGACGAGTTTCAGGTGAGCACAACGGAACCCGCAAGGCTCACCTCAGGACACCAACACCACGCAGTACGAGCTCATGAAATGCTTTTCCAAGGCGCAAGGTGGTGTCAGCATCGTTGGCGACCCAGATCAATCGATTTATGGGTGGCGCTCCGCAGGTGAGCGGCATGGTCTGCGAGAGAAACTAAACTCAGAAATCGAGAACCTTACCAAGATGACCAAGGACTTCGACAACGTTCGCGCCATCTATCTTGAAGAGAATTATCGCTCCACGGGCGCCATTCTGGCCGCCTCTCACTCAATTGTTTCACAAGGTATGGATGACTTCGCGCATCTTGCCCTAAACTTTCAGATAAGTCTCGCATCGAGAAGAATCTGTATACGTCACATCCGAAGAGTACAACTGTCACCCTCAAGACTCTGGCCACACCGGCTGTCGAAGCAAGCTTCATCTCAGCTGAGATCAAGCGCCTTGTGGCGTATTCTGGCGGGATGCTAAATTTCGAGGACTTCGCTATTTTGCGTCAGTAAACTCCGCCGGGTTCGCCAACTGCCTGCAGTGAACTGCCACAGCTAATGCATAGTCCGCTACAACGCCCTATCACGCGTTCTTGAAGCAGCGCTGCAGAAGGAAGGTATCCCTAATCGCATCATCGGAGGGCGCAAGTTCTTCGAACGCATGGAGGTCAAGGATCTGCTGGCATACCTGCAGCTTGCAGACAACCCACACTTCACCGTGAGAGTCTGGAGGGAGTACGCTAACATCCAGCCTGCTTTTATGCGCGTCATCAACACTCCCCGTCGTGGCATTGGAGACAAGGCTAGTTTACCTACACGGCAGCAGCTGATTTCTAGTCCGTCGCTGACCTCGTTACAGCTGCCCGGAGGAAAAAGGTTCCACCTATGGCTCTATGCGAGGCAATAGTCGACGGGGAACGGCTGCCTGAAGGTATCAAGCCCGCGCTCAAGAAAAAACTTGCATCATTCGTCAGCGTTGTCCGCAAGTTGCGTCGAGCAGCACGGGAGGTAAGAATTCTCTGCCAATGGGTGACTAACGGCGAGGACTTCCCCGTTGAGGAAATCATTCGCATGGCTCTCGAGAAGCTAAACTATGAAGAATACTTGCGATCTACACAGCAAGACTATGTTGAGCGATGGGAGAACGTCCAAGAGCTGGTGCGCACATGACGACGATCAATCTGACACCGCCCAGATTAGTTACAGCGTCATCGTGGCCAAGGAGCAGAGCCGGGAGGCCGAGTTGGACGAGGAAGGGACTCGACCAGAGGGCTTCGCGTCAGCGAAGACGTTTCCATTAGATGCTCCGTCCCCATCTCACAAAGTCGAGATTCCCGTGCACCCCATGTTTCGACGAGGAGACTCTTCATCCAGGAGTCGCTCATCGTCATCTGTTCCGGACACTAACCAGCGTAAAGCGAATCGCCCGCGAGTCAAGGTCGAGGATGACATTATCGAGATTCTGTCAAGTGACGAGGAGATGGACGAGCGTCCTCCGCAGCCGGCTCCTGCAATTGCTGAAGACGAGGATTTGTGAGCCGGTTATCCAGAGTTTGTGTTGACGCCAGAATGACACCGCTGCGATTTTTCCTGCAGAAGTCGATGCTATCGACGGACACTGAGTCCAATGAACCTGACGAGGAAATTTCTGTGAGTGTAGCATATAGAACCCTATTGACGGACCAGAAAGTCACCATGTCCACTGTCCATGCCGCAAAGGGGCTGGAGTGGCCTGTGGTATTCATCCCGGCAGGTAAGGCCTCCGTCTGTTTACACGACGCTCACCGCCAGCCGAGCAAGGTACCTTTCCTTCATATCGTTGCACGGAAGAGCACGAGATTGCCGAGGAGCGCCGTCTGCTCTACGTCGCTATGACGCGTGCGCAACTTTTCCTGGTGACCTACATCCTCGTTTCGTGCTCTGACCGCAGACTTTGACTAGCGCGCGGGTACGGATGGCAGGGGGAGAGGAGCAGCCGCGGATTTTGAGCGAATTCGTATCTGCATCGCAACGCAAGCATCCAGTATGTTCGGTGCTCCTGCAGCGCCCTTTGCTGACATGCAGGCCATCTTCACTGGTGATGTCCCCAATATCGACGCGGACATCCGGGTACAAATGTCGCAAATGCTTGGGCGCCCTACACCGGACGAGGAAGCGACCAAGGAAATGGTCGCAGAGCACGTCCGAGCTGCGCCGTCACCGGAGTCGTGGGATGTGACTGTGCCGGGCACACGGGCGTTCGGCATACGGAGGGGGATGGGAGGCCGCGCAACAGAGTACTGGAAGTCGGATGCCGACGATTATGCCCTCCCTCCAATGGGGGCTGATGCGCCGCGCGGCAGCTTCTCGTTCTTCTCGAGCGCGAAAAGCATGGCCCAGACGCAACCGCCAGCGCCCAAGCCGCCGGTCCAGCGCCTCGAGTCGTCGGTTAAGAACCTCCCGGCTCCGCTTCCATTCACGTTTGCCACTGAGCAAGCTACACGGCCCGAAGCCACGCTCAGCTCGTTCGCTTCCGCCGGCAGCTCGTCGTTGGCCGCCATGAAGGCGCTCGGATTACCTGACGCCCCGTTGGCGGGCGCGGTCGGAACTGCCAGGTCTGTACCGGCCGTTCCGGGCGGCGCGGGCGGGCCTAGCGTTCCGCTCGCGCGAGGGACCAAGCGCCTCGGAATGGGGCGCCCTGCGCCCTGGGGGTCCAAGAAGGCCAAGCAGGAGTGATCTGTATAACATTGTTGTTGTACTGTGCATGTCAACCAATGGGAGAAAGATGGATGTCATCCGTTGCTCGTGCAGATGCGGTGGCGCCCAGGCCGCGCAAGATCGGTCGCTCGTGTCGCGTCGTGCGCACGTGAGTGGTAATTCTAGATCTGGTGCCTGCGGCTAGCGGCGTCTTGTGGGCTCGAGTCGAGTGGTGATGGGAACGAGCTGACCGATCCCATGTAATCAGTCACGCCCTCTCGACAGCCCACAGCGCTATGAGAACTGTGCGATCTCGCTCGCAGCTCGCTCCACAAACTTCTCGTTCGCTCGCACGGCCACTCGCTCGCAAGTTGCTCGCCTCGTCGTTTGATGGTGATACATATGGACCAGAGAGATTGGAAAGGCCGGCGTGTTTTCGGCGGCCGAGCCAGATGGAAAGAAGCCTATACACGCTCGTTCTTGCGTACACCTACACCTCTACACAACTCATTCGCGTGCTCGTCTGTGCCGCTGTCGCGGCGCGCCTCTTGTGCGGCGCTGTGCTTGGCTGCGAGACCTGCATCGCACACGCCGCCGGACAGACCGGGAAACACGACCGCTCGCAGACGCCAAGTCGATTCTAGACCTCAATGTCCTCGTCGACGCGGCGCGCGAGTGCACTGGTCTTGACAGGCGAGGAGCCAAAGGACGTGTGATGCTGGATTGGGTAGGACGACGGAGGGATGCTCTCGCGCAGCGTGCCGGGCGGAGAGATGCGTGCACCGCTGTGTGTTAGCGCGCTGCACAGGCCGCACGTCGGCATCCATGACGTTGGTTGTCCCCTTCCTTGTGTTTGGGAATGACCTAACGATCTTGGTCGGGCCGGTATGCACTGGCCCCGGAGGTCGTAGTCCAGAGATCAAGGCACGCATAGCGCCACTCACCTTTCGGAGCCTCGCCGTTGGTGGGAGCCTGGAATGCTCATGGGCTCGTTGGGGGCCTGCATGCCGACGCCGACGACGGCAGCCGAAGCGCGGCGGTTCATGAGAGCATCCTGGCCAGGATTGTTGCCAAGAGGGAAGGGGATCGGCTGGCCTGATGGGGAGGACGAGAGGTGCCCGTTCGAAGGAGGCGACGCGTGAGGAAGGCTGAGGTGAGCAAGCGCTTCCAGTCGGACTGCTAGACATACCCCTCGGGGGTGGGAATCGCAGTACCCAGAGGCTGGGCAGGCGAGACGCCGGCCTTGGACATCATGTAGTCGCCCGAATCAAAGTACTTGCGTTCCTGCGGCGAGTCAGAAGCTTAAACACAAGAGGGCGCAGCGAGCGGGGAAGCCGACTGAAGGACAGAGAGTGAGAGGGCGCATCCTTCTCTGGCTCGAGAACACCACACGCTGCTGCGCGCGGCAACAACGGAACGCGTGTTATGCTATGGGGTAACGCACCTTGTTGATCTTGGAGAGTACGCTCTTCTGGGGCATCTTGCCGTACATCCTGAAGGCCTTCTGGTCTTCCTCGCTCATGGACTGCAAAAGGGGGTCAGTAAGGTGGCTAGGCTGGGGGGCGCAGTGTAGGTTGGGCGCAGTGTAGGTTGGGCGCAGATGGAATACACACCGAGAGGTCGACCTTGTTCTGGCGATGTCAGCTTGATTCGGGATGGCAACAGGCAACAGTGGGCGTTGGCCGAAGCTGTGTGTGCTGCTGCTGCTGCTGCTGCTGCTGCTGCTGCTACTGCGGTGGCCAACTCACCATCTTGTGGGGGTTCATCGTTGCGATTTGATGGGGGAAGTGGCGACAGAGAAGTTGTAGGGGATTGAAGAGGAGGACGGGATGAAGGGTGGCTAGATGATCACTACTTCTTGAACTGAACTTGGTGGAAGTTTGAGGACAAGAGGAGAGGGTGAGAGAGAGCGAGAGACGGAAGTGAACGAGCCGAGCGGAAATTGGATGCAAGCGGGGTCAAGGGTCGATAGGACGTAGCGTGGTAGCGTGACGAGGGTTGAAGGTTGTGAGGTGCACGGTGTTCGGGGATATGAAAGGGGAGGGAGGAGAGCGAGAGAGAGAGAGAGAGAGAGAAAGAAGAAGAGGATGAGCGATGGAGAGATGTCGGGCCGGGAGAAGGTCGTGGAGGAGAGAGAGAGAGAGAGTGGCGTGGCGTGGCGTGGCGTGGCGAGTGGCAGGCGGCGCGGGTGGGAGGGTGGGACTGTGCTCAAGTGGAGTGAGGGGAAGGAGAGAGGAGAGAGGGAGAGAGGAGAGAGGGATGAGCACGAACGTGGATACGAGGATGGAATAGGAGACAGATATAGGTTGATTGACCGAGTGGCAGTGGGGTCGCAGTTGACGCTATCCCCGCTGTGTGATGCAGTTGTGTGTGGTGTGTGTGAGAGCGGGATTGATGGAGGAGGAGATCTCTCTGACAGTTGAGTAGTAGATAAAGAGTTGAACGTCGACGACGAGCTGGAGGAGGAGGAGGAGTAGTGAGTAGAGTAGTAGTCGAGTTCAAGCTGACAGCGAGCGAGGTGGTTGGTGGGAGAGTACCTACCAGGGAAGGAGGGAAGGAGGGAGGGAGGGAGGGAGGGGGAGGGGAGGGGAGAGCGAGGCGAGTGGTGTCGGTGACGAGGTCATGTGCTCATGGCTCATCCCCCCCTACCCTTCCTCTCCCTACATGCCCCTGCATCCTCAGTGGCCAGTGGCCAGTGGCCACCTTGGAATGCCGACATTCGACATTCGCATCATCCGCCTATTACATCCCCCCACTCATAATTACAAATCTCCTCTCAGCGGGCTCTCAGGGCACTTATACACTCGCTCTAATCGTCATCTACCTCCAATCCTAATTCCGCTCCGTCTCCGCCTCTATAGTTTAAATGACACGCCCTGAGGACTAGCCAGGTCTTGCCTCAGATTAGCTGCCTTTCGCCACTCTGCACTCAGGTCGCAGCCTTGGCTTGAGGCACCAGGAACAGACCAAAGGAACGCGGGTTCCCCAGTGACGTCGGGCATCTCCTTTGCTCCTTTCACTACTACTTACTTCACAAACCTCGGAACAACGACTTGAGCCAGTCAAGATGTCCCTCTATACTTTCTATGAGCCTATGAGCCAATGAGCCTATGAGTTATGGGGTCACTCTTGGCCGTAGCCGGCGTGGAGCAACCATGCAATTTGGTCATATTCCAAGAGCAGGAGTGTCCGTAATGAGCCAAGTCTTTCGTTCAACTCAATCAATCTCCCTCTTGCGATCTCCTACGAGTTCATTATCATGATGTAGCTACCCTCTACCAGCTACCAGCTACCAGCTACCAGCTCCATCTCCCGAGCTCTCAACATGTCAAACTTGAGGCTGACCTCAAACCCTGCATGCCATGCCAGCTTGCAGGGGCAGCTATCAAAATATTCAAATATCCAAATCGCGCATGACTCGCTCTACGCACTCCTGCACTCCGCACGGGCAGTCACGCTGCACGTTGCGCGCTAACGTCACGAGTCGTGTAATGTCCTCTCCCGTCTGTTGGGCCATGCTCGGCTTCTGGAGAGGAGACCCACTACAACCCGTGATTAGTACTCCGTGATCCGTGGATCAGTTCCGCCCCCGCCTTCCCTCGGCGGCCTGTGCGCCATCGCCGCCGTCTCTACCCCTCCCCTCTCCGGCTCCTTTCGGCTCGCCGTACCGCCGCTGTCGACTCATGGCCAAGCCCAGACGCCCGACACGCGCCTCCCACGCTTCGGCGCCACGCACTCTTATCGAGATCCGGGGCACCTTCCTCGGACGCCCCCGATCGGCTTTGTCACCGATGGATCGCAGGAATGCTGCAAGCTTCAAGGCTCTGCCCACCCGCGTCAGATCTGATCTGAGGCGTGGAGCGACCGGAGCGAGACCAGTTGCCACTCGCCACGCCACATCCCGGCCGAGAAGCCTTGCCGAGAGCAATAGCGCTCGAGGCGCGCGTCTCGCGCGCGAGATTCTACCCTCGTGATCGGTTACAACTGGCGGAAGCTTCACCGCCCTTTGGTTCCGCTCAACGGTCTTCGCCGCCTGCCACCCAGTCCTGCCCGTCACTGCAGGTCGGCAAAGAGGGCGGAAAGGAGTTGCCAGACAGATTGCCATCGTCAAGCTTCAAGTCTGCTCAGCGACTCACCAAGGCTAGTCACAGCATGCCGTTTCGAGTCCCCATCTTCCTGTCAGATGCTCTTCCTCGGCCGTCGCACCACTCTCTGCGCCTAGTACATATCAGTAGCGGCGGCATCGAGTCAACTACCGCACAAGGCGCCCTGTGCACCACGCGGTGTCTTATCTTACCTGTTCCGAATGTCCACGGTCATCGGTACCGGTCGACCGCATTATTAGACCTTTCGCTGATGGAGTTAGATATGTTCCTGGGTTAGCATGAGTGCAGGCGACGTAGTAGAGGAGGTCGTTAAAATCGCTAGAGTGCCCAACTGCAAGCTGCGAGCTGCGGATGTGCGGGGCATAAATGCGGGGATTGGAAACTAGATCGACACATGACGACCCATATGGCTCGGCGGACCCAGATTAAATCAACATGCCCCTCATGCCTCCTGGGCCTCTTGCCAGGTGATGCGACTTTTGGCTTGCAACCACCCACTCGTGCATTCGCACCATCCGTCTCATCCTCGGCTCCGAGTCCGCGGCTTGCTCGTCCATCTGTAATCCGACAGCACACCGAGACGACGAGGATCGAGTCAACATTTCCCCTTTTGCTGGTTCTCAGTCGTACAAACTTCTCCGACGTCACCGAGCCCATCCTCAACTTTCCTCCATCAGCCTCATCAACCCCACTCACCATCTTGTGGTGCACGCCATATCGCAATGGTGTTCGCACAAGCCCAAGGTCTTGTGCAGGCCGCCAAGGTGGCCTACATCGGCGGCCACTTGGCTGCGCACAAGGCCAAAGAGCCCGTCGTCAAACCCCAGTACGCTATTAGCCATCCGAGATGACACCGCGCTGACTCGTAGCCCCTCCCCCTTCATCCTGAGGCATACGCTCTTCTTCCTTCCCCTCCTAGTTCTCGTGTCCGCCGTCGCCCTCCTTCTCTCCTACGGCGTTCCCTGGCTCCATGCTCGCTACCGCCGTCGCCGCGGCATCTTCCTCGACGGCGAGGAGGGCGAGGAGGTCGAGATCGAGGCTGAGGCGCCGCCGCCCATCATGCCCACGCAGGGGCTGTGGTCTGACTTGCGGGCGCACGTCCGCTCCATGCAGACCGAGGGCGCGTTCATCGTCTTCCTTGACCTCGTGCGCACCATCTGTCTCTGCGCGCTCGTCGGCCTCAGCATCCTCGCGGCAGTGCAAGCCGAGCCGCCAAAGAAGGGGCGCAACGAGAGCTACTTCGAGATCATGAAGAAGAAGAAGAGAGGCAAGAAGAAGAGGAAGAACAAGCCCATTCTCGACGAGTTCTCGGCGCTTGAGTGGGCCGAGTTCGGCGTCAGCATCTTCTACGTGGGTAACATTATGGCTCGCGTAACTCACGCCAGCTCTACAACCTACTCTTCTGCTTCTTGCTACTCACGCTGCGTCGCACCAAGCTCCGCAGAAAACTCACTAATCACGTTGATCTGCTCCTCATCCTCGCGTTCGCCCTCTACTCGTACCGCGACATCTGGCCGGCTCTCACCTACTACCTCTCGCCCTCGGACGTAAACAACTGGGTCACATGGACGCGTATCGGCATCCTGGGTTTTGCCGGCGTCATGATCCCCCTCATCCGCCCGCGCACCTACGTTCCCATCAACCCGCTCAAGCCGACGCCGCCCGAGCTCGTCCACCCCGAGCAGACGACGCCGCCCCTCTTCTTCATCTTCTACGAGTTTATGACCGGCCTCGTCATCAAGGCGTGGGGCACCTCCTCGCTCCCCTATGAGGAGCTGCACCCGCTGGCTGACTACGACCGCGCCGAGCACCTTTACGACCAGCACATGACGACGCTCGACCCCGTGCGCCGACGAGCGCAAGGCCTGCCCCAGCGTCACCTTTTCTTCAACCTCGCGTACGCTTTCCGCAACACCCTGTTCTGGGCCAGCGTGATGTGTGTCATCGCCGCCATTGCCGAGATCATGCCAGCGTACGCGATCAAAAATGTCCTCACGTACCTCCAGAACCAGGGCGAGGGTGCGCGTATCCGACCAATCCTCTGGGTCTCGCTTCTCTTCCTCGGCCCGCTCATGTCGTCCCTCGCGATCCAGTACTACATCTTCATTATGACGCGCTTCCTCGTCCGTGGCGAAGCCATCCTCACTCAGCTCCTTTTCGACCAGGCCCTCCGCCTGCGCATGAAGGACAGCGTCGGCAGCGAGGAGGAGAAGGTCGACGGCGAAGCTCCTACCTCGGTCGAGACGCCTAACGGCTCGGAGATTCTGGACCCTACGATTCAGGCCGCTCACAACAATTCAGCCGCCAAGGCGGAGACGGAGCCCGTCGCCGAGGCCAAGGCAGCGTCGAGCCAGGGGATTGTTGGGCGTATCAACGTCCTCATGGCCCAGGACGTCGAGTCCGTGGTTGAGGGCCGAGACCTTCCTTTGGTCCTTGTCTACATCCCAATCCAGGTTGCCCTCTGCCTTTACCTCCTGTACCAGGTCCTCAGCTACAGTAAGTTTCCAGAAAATTTCTGGCTGACTTTAGGTGCGCTCTTTGGTGTCGCTGCCATGATCCTCACTCTGCCCCTCCCCGGCTGGTTTACTGCTCTGGCTACGCGAGTCCAGACGGACAAGATGGAGGCTACTGACGTCCGTGTCGACGCGATCACGGAAGCCGTCAGCGCGCTACGCATCATCAAGATGTTTGGTTGGGAAGAGAAGATCAAGGCGCGCATCGCTGCCAAGCGCGAGGTCGAACTCAAGCTCACTTGGAAGCGCCGTGTGCTTAACCTGTATGTTGCAACGCACGCAATGTCTCTAACCGCAGTGCCATTGAGATGGTCAACATCCTCCTCCCGGTCATGGTCATGGTCGCGTCGTTTGCCGGCTACACCCTGGTAGAGAAGAAGCATCTCACCGCGGCCACTGTCTTCACCTCGATGACTGTGTTTGAGATTCTCAAGGGACAAATGATGATGGGGTTCTACATGGTTTCTGAGTGGATCACATCGGCCGTCTCGATCCAGCGCCTCAACAGGTTTATGAACGAGAGCGAGATGATCGACGAGTACTCGCAGGGCAACCGCATCGTCGTCAACACGCCTGAGAAGATGGAGGCCGAGAAGGAGAGCCTCATTCGGATCAAGGACGCCGTCTTTGCGTGGGGCACAGACTCGCCCGACAAGAATGTCATGAACTTCCGCCTTCGCATTCCTGACGTGACCTTCTCGAAGGGCAAAATCAACCTTATCTGTGGACCCACCGGCAGTGGCAAGAGCTCTTTCCTGGCAGCGCTCATCGGCGAGCTCCATTTCGAGCCTGAGAACGACACGGCGTTCTTCCACCTCCCGCGCGAAGGTGGCGTATCATTTGCTGCCCAGGAGAGCTGGTGCACGTCGGCCTCTATCCGCGAGAACATCTTGTTCGGCAAGCCATACGAACGTGCACTTTACCGCAAGGTATTGCATGACTGCGCTCTGGAGACGGACCTCAAGCTGTTTGACGATGGGGACAAGACTGAGATTGGTGAGAAGGGCATCACCCTCAGTGGTGGGCAGAAGGCCCGCGTGACCCTCGCCCGCGCTATCTACTCTGGTTCCGCGGTGGTGCTGCTGGACGACATCTTCTCCGCCCTCGACACTCTCACCTCGCGTTTCATCCTGGATAACCTCTTCAAGGGAGATCTCGTCAAGGACCGCACGATCGTTCTCGTTACGCACCACACCCATCTTGCTGGGCCTATTGCCGACTACATGGTAACCCTCAACCCAGACGGCAGTGTCGCACATGCTGGGCCGATCGACGCGTCGATGATCTCAGCAGCGCCTTCAGAAGCTGACCTTACGAATCTGCGCGCGACGACAGAGCTGGATTCGGAGAGGACTGCTGCGCCCACTCCCGATATCGAGGAGGAGGTCGAGATCGAGGAACAGGAGCTAAACGGCAACGGCCATGCGAAGAAGGCCTCCAAGCTCATCAAGGACGAGGAAAAGTCGGAGGGCCGTATCTCGCGCCGCGCACTCAAGTCGTTCTTCAGCATGTTCGGCGGGCCGATCTTCTGGGCCATTTACTTCGGCTTGCTGTTTGCCGGACAAGCCATGTCGTCCTTCCAGACATGGTGGCTCGGTCGTTGGGCCGAGGCCTATGACGAGGTCTCGGACCCCAACATGGTATCAGTGCCCTTCTGGCTCGGCCTCTACATGGCGTGGGTCGTCATTGGTGCGCTCGGCTTAGGCATTTCGGCCATTCTCTTCTACATTGGTGCGATGAAGGCATCGCGCTCGATCCACCAAAAGCTCGTCGACCACATTTTCGGCGCGTACATGCGATTCATCGACACGACGCCTGTGGGCCGCATTATTTCTCGTTTCACCAAGGACATGAAGTCGATCGATGGCCCCTTCACTGAGCTGGCCGTTGGCGTGTTCGACATCTCCATGGGTCTGGTCATCAAGCTGGTCACCATCGTTCTCTTCGTCCCGTTCTTCACCCTGCCGGCGATCATCATCGGCGCCCTGGGTGGCTTTATCGGCGAGATGTACATCCACGCGCAGCTCAGCGTCAAGCGGGAGATGTCCAACGCCAAGAGCCCGCTGTTCTCTCACCTCGCCTCGTCGGTGTCTGGAATTATCTCCATCCGCGCCTACGGTGCGCAGGAGCAGATCAAGAACCAGACGCGGGAGAAGGCTGACAAGTACACGCGCACCGCGACGGCGTTCTACAACCTCAACCGCTGGGTGACTGTGCGCATCGACATGCTCGGCGGCTTGTTCTCGATGACGTTGGCGATCTTCCTCGTCTATGTTGTCCGTCTCGACCCCTCGACGTCCGGCTTCGCCCTCACGCAGGCCATCTCCTTCGCAGGCACCATTTTGTGGTGGGTGCGCATGCTCAACGACATGGAGGTGCAGGGCAACTCGGTGGAGCGTATCGAGGACTATCTTGTCATCGACCAGGAGCCTCCTTACGACAAGCGCCGTGCGACTCCGGCGGCTTGGCCTTCCTCGGGCGAGATTGTATTTGAGGGGTTGAGTGCCAAGTACTCCAAGGACGGCCCGACCGTGCTCGACAATCTCACCTTCACCATTCGGAGCGGTGAGAAGGTCGGCATAGTTGGGCGGACAGGTAGCGGCAAGTCGACGCTGGCTCTTGCTCTTCTCCGCATGGTCCCGACCACTGGGACTGTGCTGATTGACGGGAAAGAGACGGACAAGATCAACCTACACGATTTGCGCACCAACGTGACGATCATCCCTCAGGACCCGATCCTTCTCTCGGGCACGTTGCGCTTCAACCTCGATCCCTTCAGCGAGCGCCAGGATGCTGAGCTGAACGACGCACTGGATCGCTCAGGTCTAGGTGCCGCCGCGCGTGCCCCATCAGGCGGCGCCACGCCGATGCGTATCACGCTTGACACGCAGATTGCGGCGGGCGGCTCCAATCTGTCGCAGGGTCAACGCCAGCTCGTGGCGCTTGCGCGCGCCCTGGTGCGCCGCAGCAAGGTGCTAATTCTGGACGAGGCGACCGCGTCCGTCGACTTTGCGACCGACGCGCTCATCCAAAAGTCGATCCGCGACCTGCCGTCTGACACGACCGTGTTGACGGTCGCGCACCGCCTCGCGACGGTCATGGATTATGACAAAATCCTCGTCCTCGGCGCGGGCAAGGTGCTCGAATTTGACGCGCCGGGTGTGCTCAAGAACGACAAAGACTCGTACTTTGCTCAGCTGGTCCAGGCGATGGACAGTTAGTGCGGAGGTGCGGGCGTGCAGGTGTGCTGTAGCAGTAGGAATATGTCATGGATCTAGTGCGGCACTTCGAGTTCCCGATACGATAGCATATCCCCACCCGACTCCCGCGCCCGATTGCAAGCGAAATTCCGTGCCTCGCCCACCAACTCATTTCACCCGTGGGCCGTGGGGGCAGTCACTCGCCAAGCACTATCTCTCTTCACTCATCCACTCTCCGCATCGCCATCTCGCATCGCACTGCATCGCGCCGCACAGTGCTCGTGTGATCGCCGTCAGCGGTCCGCAATCTCGCCGCTTCCCCGCCGCCTATCTCTCCGTGCCGTCCCGCCCTGGCCAATCCCGTCTCTTCCGACCATCTCCGATCACCCAGGCCGCGGGCAGTCACCGGCAAAGACATCCGAGTATTCCTCTCGTCAATCTCTGATCTGACCATCTACTGATCTGGCGACGGCTTGTTTACTGTCAACAGTCGAGCTTGTGACGGCATCGCGAAAAGGCGCATCTGGCGTCCACAATCCCTCTCCGCCATCTCCCCCACTCTCCGGCCTCTGACTCCCACCTCCACCTCCACTCGTCTCCTTCATCGACCTCCGAGCTCCTCCACCTCCGCCTCCGCCTCCATCCAACACCATCCTTGGCCTTTCGTCCTCCCCTCCCCCCTCTCCACCCCGCTTACTCACCATGCGCTTCCTCCACACTCCCGCGACGCCGGACAAGCCGCACGCGCACCACCCGACGGTAGCAGAGCTCGACCAGCCCTCGCATCCCCGCGGCCAAAGTCTCGCGGGCTACCCCTCCGTCGCGCCTGCGCCCGGCATAGTCCCCGAGATCGACGAGCCGCCTCTGCCGCACATCACGCCGCTGAGCGCAGTGCGCGGCGCGCCACATGTCCCGCTCGCCCCTGTGTCGCCTGAAGCCGCGGCGGCCGTCGCGCGCGCGGCCGGTGAACACCTCCCTCGCCCGCCGTCTGGGGAGCAAGTATACCAGCCGCTCCCGCAGGAGGTGTACGACGAGCTCGAAGATGAGTACGAGGGGCCGCTTACGTGGCGCGAGAAGCTGCAGGAGAACCAAGAGGTGATCTCGACATTTATGGCGGGCGGGCTCGCGGGTGCCGCGTCGCGCACCGCGGTCGCGCCGCTCGAGCGCCTCAAGATCATCCTGCAGGTGCAGGCGTCGAGCCCGGCCAGCGCCGCGGGCGGGCAGGCGTACGGCGCCATCTGGCCCAGTCTCGTGCGCATGTGGAAGGACGAGGGCTTCGCGGGGTTCATGAAGGGCAACGGGATCAACGTCGTGCGGGTGAGTCCAGACGGAGAAGGAGTGGGAGGAGACGGCGCACGTCAGCCACGGTGACAGCCTTCGCACCGATCGCACTTGCCGCCGCACGGCTGACGCCAGATCCTGCCGTACTCGGCGCTGCAGTTTACGTCGTATGGATACTTCAAGAGATGGGCGCAGGAGTGGAGTGGGCCAGACGAACCGATCGCCGTGCCGCTGCGCTTGGCGTCTGGCGCGGGAGCGGGTATCGTCGCTGTGAGCGCGACATATCCGCTCGATCTCGTGCGCGCGCGTCTGTCTATCGCGACCGCCAACATGGCCAGCAGCTCCAAGCACGGGTTTACGAGAGAAGACGCGAAGCTCGGCATTGTCGGCATGACGAAGAAGGTGTATCGCACCGAGGGCGGGATCCGGGGTCTCTAGTGAGTGACGATGGGTGGAACGAAGAAGAGGCGGAGGAGTAAGGAGAGCATATCAAGGAGGACAGGCTGGAGGTGGACAGAGGCTGCGCGCCACAAGAGAAACAAGCTGACACCAGCCGCGGCGTATGGGCCACCGCCGTCGGCGTCGCGCCGTACGTCTCGCTCAACTTTTTCGGGTACGAGTCGAGTGAGTTTGTCGTGACGCTCGTGCGCTGACATCTGTGAAAGCACTCATCATGCCTCCGGGCCTCGAAATGGGCGACACAGAGTTCGCCGCGCGCAAGCTGTTGTGCGGCGGCCTGGCCGGCGCCATCTCGCTCATCTTCACACACCCGTTCGACGTGCTGCGCCGCAAGATGCAGGTCTCGGGTTTGGGTGGGGAGAAGGGGTTGGGCGCGATCGCGACGCTCCGCGAGATGGTCGCGGAGGGCTTCTGGAAGGGGATGTAGTGAGTGGAGCTACTGGAGGAGCGACAGCCACTGACAGCAGCCGCGGATTGGTGCCCAACTTTGTCAAGATTGTGCCGTCGATGGCCGTGTCGTTCTACACGTTTGACACGGTGCACGACTTCTTGGCGAACTGGATGAACGAGGAGGACGAAGAAGATTACGAGGCGTAGGCGATGGCGCAATGGCGCGTGCGCTTGGGAGGCGTCGAGCCCACCTGCTCCGCCGCGGTGTAACACTAGGTCTTGCGGCCGTCCGACAGCGAGTATTGAGCCTCGCTGGGCTGGTCGTGTATTCATTAGGCATCAAGCATGGCATCTACTTGGCGCGCTCCGACGTCAGAGGGCGGGGGAGTGAGGCGAGGGTAAGCTAATGGCAACTGCATCCGACAAGCGCGGCTCATCTGACGGTGTATGGCGCAAGTACAGTAACGGGGACCGTGGCTAGCGGTGATTGACGCCACGGGGCTCTCACAGGCGTTCGATATCCACAGCTTGACCATAAGATAAAAGCCCTCGCTGAAACGCCGGCGTGGTCGGAATCGGGAAGAGGGAGGTTGTGAAACCTGACGCACGATGCGAGCAGTGCTCGACCCCTGTCCTCGGCCCCCCTCTCCCTCCCTCGGCGAGGCGCTCGGTGCGAGCAAACTCTACAGCGTGGTCAGTGCGGCGTCCTCCTCACTCCCCACCTCTCTCGCCATCCTTGCCCCCTCCTCCTCCACGCCAACCCCCTTCCGCAACGACGCCACAGTCTGCATCCGAACCGCTCCCTCCTTTCCTCATATCCACCCATCGCCCAGCCATCCTTGTACCTCGGCGCGTGCGTCCACAGACCATACGCCGCAGCCCGGGCCGGCGCGCACCCAATGAGCCGGTGTATCGCGCCGACTCCGATCCTCCATCTCCATCGCCATGCTCGGTGTCGGCATCCTTCGCCCGCTCATCACGCTCCACCGTCAAAGCCGTCACAGATCCCCTCGTTCTCATCATCACTTGTATCCTTGTCCTACTTCGCCCCGTACCCCATTCCTTCGCCTCGCCTCCTCCCGCAGACCCATCACACCCGGTCCCGGAGTATCGCTGCATCACCGCCATCATCTCCGACACCCCCTGCTTCGCCCCGCACCTGCCTTCGAGATCCCTCCCGGCATCACTCTAGTCTCGCGGAGCATAAGAGCTGCTGCCGCGCTCTCATTCTCACCACCTCCTCTCCTCTCCTCACCTCTCACAACATCACCCCGCCTCGACTTACACTGTCGACCAGCAATGAGCTACTACTACGCCTGCACCGCGCCCAACTACGCGTACGCGTACAGCGCCACACCGAACCACTACATCCAAATGCCGCAGGGTCCCTACGGCTCGCCCGCCGTCGTGCCCATGCAGCCCGGCGTCACCCCCGGCCAGCCGTACCAGTCCACGCCGTACGCGCCCTCGTACACGTATCCCGCGACGTATCCCGCGACGTATCCCGCGACGTATCCCGCGACGTATCCCGCAACCTACTATTCCGCGCCCAGTGAGTGGCAGCCGCAGAGGGAGCACATGGTGCGCTGCGTCACAAAGGACGGCGCGCAGGAGTGGACTCACGAGTGGCGGTACATGTACGCCGCGCCCGCGAAGACGGGGAAGGCGTGCGGGAAATGCGGGGAGCGGAAGAAGAAGAAGTAGCTCACGCCAGGCTCGGACCAGGGCAGCCAGAACCAGTCGGGCTGAGCTAGAGAGCTGGAGCGGAGCTGGAGCTGGAGCTAGAGCAAGCACACAAGCACGCAAGGACGCATCGCCGTATACCATAGCATTTTTATCCCTGTAGTTGGGCCTCGGCCGTTGATTCATTACTTGTCACTTTAAGGACGCGCAGGGGAGGGGGGGTCGGAAGGAGGGGACGTACGGTGACGACGCGGTTGCTCGGAGCAAGCGGAGGCTGAAAGGAGTTCGTATGGGACGGCACGTGCGTGATCACGGAAAGGACGATGGAGAGTAATGCAGCGTGCTGGGCGTGGACGGTGACGGTGGAGGTGATGGCGGAGGTGGTGGTGGAGGCCGTGCAGGATGTCGTGGTGGTGGCGCACGTGGTGAATGAAAACCAGTGGTAGGCTACGATTATACACTAATTCGCGGTCCAGCGGTCAGTGATGAGTATTAAGTATCAGTCATGACAGCAAGGGCGGTCTGAGGATGCCGATCTGATGTATGTTGTGGGGTGCACGGTACGTATGGCGATGGTGTAGGCGACGACGGGTGGCTTAGCACAACCAAATTTGCTGCAAATACCATGTGCACTTCGCTGCTCGTAAAGTACGCCGTGCTTGCTTCCGTCTTGATCCAAGGTCATGATGTGGTTGTTTGTTATTTTATGCACAGTTTAGGATAGTGAATGCACAGCGTGGCAAACGGCTGACGTGAGGAGGCGGCGTTAAGTCAAGTGGGATGGGCGAAAAAGAAGACGTCACGTCAGCAGCTGATCGAGGAATCACATTCGAGTTTCAGTTCACTGCGCCAATGGAACTTGAACTAGCAGGCGTCCCGGGTAGCTGCGAAAATGCGGATGCGTATATATCCGACGTCATACGATCAGTGCGCCGCACGCGACACGAAATGCACTCCCCTCGCATGCTGACCCTTGCAGTGATGGATTCCGCTTCGGCGCACGACCCGCTGTTGACGCTCAATTTCGCCACCCCACCCGTGTGCAGCAGTCAGTGCCGCCCCTCTACCCTCAGTGCTCGGTGCCATTGCGACTCGTCGCGCTGCTCTCACCCTTACATTCTATGCTACTCTACTCGGCGCGGGCTGGACATCGCGCTGCTACGAGTCGGAATTTACGCCTCGGCGGCGGCCTCAGGCTCAGCAGCCTCGGGCTCGGCAGCCTTCTCCTCGGCGGCCTCGGCAGCGGGCTCGGCGGCGGCCTCCTCGGCGGGGGCAGCCTCCTCAGCAGGGGCCTCGGCGGTCTCGGCGGCGGCCTCGGTTATGCTCAGGTTCTCGAGCTCGGCGGCAACGGCTGGGAGAATCAGATTGTGCACTGAAAGCAAGCAGAGGATCAACTTACCCTCAGTGGCCTCGGCGGCAGGCTCCTCGGCGGCGGGAGCAGCCTCCTCCGCAGCGGCCTCGACGGCGGGCTCCTCCTTGGTCTCCTCGACGACGGCGGGGACCTCCTCGACGGGGGTGGCGGCGGTCTCAACGGCGGACATGATGTTGTTTGCTGTGGTTTGGTGGAGACGAGGGTTGAGAAGAAGTGTTTGGAGTGAGGAAGAAGGTGAGCAGTGGGGGGGGGGTTTATATGAAGCTCTGGTCACCCCAGCTGGACAGCGGAAAGCCACGGAAGACAGTGGTTGCTGTGGACGTGGCGGGGACTGGCGTTGCGATGGGACGTGACGTGTACCGTGACGATGGACTTTGGCTGGATCGCAGGCGGTCTGGGCAGCTGGGGCGGGGGACGGACTGTGCTGTTGCGCATATGCACATCGAAGGGGATAGATGTGGGCTCGAGACTCGAGGATTGAGGAGAGCTGCTTGGCTCTCCTTTCCCCACATAAATACATTGTCACGCGTTTCGAGATGGAGAGTGCACGGCCAAGATGGCAGTGCGTACGGTGAATGTGGCACCTCGGCGGAGGAGTATGGTGGCAAATTGGGCTGGATGTACGGATGTAGCGGAGAGGGGGAGGTATCTGCGGCTCGAGCGGACTGGGGAAGGCATGGTCTGTGCACCACAGCAGATCGTCACGCCGCGCCCTCCCCTTCGGCCCCTCCCGCCCCCGCATCGGTCGCCGCTCTCCGCATGCTCCTCTCCTCGAATCCTTGTTCGAATCCTTGTGCACGGCTGCATCGTCCATTGCGATCATGCGGGGTCCTCCGAGACTGCCACGTCGCCTTCTGTGGAATGATGAAGGGCGGCTAGCACCGCTGCATAAACATACAACAACAGAAACACATTTCTTCTGCGGAAAAATAATGTGACAACCGTCTGAGTAAGGTATACTACGTTGAAGTGCCGAAGCATGCGAAGAGGTCACTAAGCCTCGGCGTCACTCGGCGTCTCTGGCGTCACTGGGGCTGGGCCAAGAATGGCCACGCCCGGCTCGCTTCTCGAGTCGCCTAACGGCATGCCTGATTGTGATCCAAGTTCGAGCACGGGGGCAGGCGCAGGAGAGAGGGGTTGGGGAGTGGAGGCGCTCGAGCCGAAAGGCGACGCCGCGCTCGACGCCACAGGGACGGGGCACGGATCGGGGAATGAGAGTTGGAGGCAGCTGCATCTGCTGCTACCGCGCTCGTAGCGGCAGCGAGCGTAGCGGCGGTGGGAAATGTCGGATGGGGACTGGTGTCAGCGGGAAGGGGATTTAGAGGTTGGGCGGCGAGCGGCAAACTGGAGGTGGAGTAGGTTGGAAGTCCAGGTGGGGACGCGTGAAGACGTGCACTGAGGCATGCTGTCGCCTGGTCTTGTGCAGGTGCTCATGCGGCCTGCGGTATGCTGCACGTACCATGTTGTGGGAGGCTCGTGATCGATTGTGAGGATAGGAATAGTGAGGGAGGGGTAGAAATATGACGACAAGGGAGGTGGGGGATCGCGGGCAGGGGGACAAATGACGATGAAGGGCAACTGAAATGATCGCATCTCCTTATGCCTCCTTCCTTTTGTCTCTCGACCTCGCCGTTTTGTCCCTTTTGGCCTTTTGGCCTTTTGGTCCTCTCGGCTCGGTCTGGGGTCATCCGCTCAGCCGCTCGCCCCCACCGCCTCGGCCAAGCCCCGCTTGCCGCGCCCCGCCGCCCGTCGGAGCTTGGGGCGCGAACAGATCCCCTTCTTCGCTTTCGGATGCCGGCTGCGGCCGCGATCTTCACCTTCCAACTCCCATACCAATTCATCCAGGCCGCCAAGGCTGGGCAGATCGGCTCGGGTCGGACAGGTGGCAGCTGTGGCAGTTGCGCAGCACTATGGCAGAATAACAAACCGCGACCGCGAACGGCTTGCTTCTGATGACTCATGGATACATGCCACCGTCCTTGTTACTTGACAACGACTTCAACGTCTGAGCGGTGTGCAGCTGAGCAGGGGCTACCTCGCCCCGCCCGCCCCGCACCAGCGCTTTTTAATCTGAGAATCTGAAACTAGCTACAGTTGCGAACCCAAGCCTCAAGGGGCAGGGAGCGCTCGGACCAACGCGACGTCGTGCACTGAGGGCGCAGCCACGCGTGAGTCTGGGCCTGCGCCCGGCGACGGCGTCACTCGTTACTTGTCTAAAGTCAGATCATAGCACGCGACCAAGTAGCGCAACTCACCGTCGCCGTCGTCGCTGAACTCGGAGTCGGAGCGCGATCCCTTCGGACGCGCGCAGAGCGGACACGTCTCGCCTCTGCACCCGACTTGGAAAGTTGCTCGGCGCGCGCTCCGTTCTTTTGCGCCTGGGGTGTAGGCGATCTCGAAGTCCAGCGTGGACGAGGGTAGTCGCACGAAGGATGCGGGGCGCCCGTCCTCCTCTTCGGCGAGGGAGACCAGCGAGAGCACGCGCTTCGAAGGCTTGAGAGTCATGTTGGATGCGCCTTAGTGTGGGGTGTGGTGTGGGGTGGGTGACGCCCAAGATGGCATAGCATATGTATTGTTTGAAGCGTGGGAGGGATGCGCGCTGCGAGCGATGCATGCGTCGGTGGCGGGCGGGAGGGATCCGGACCGCGGACGGAGAGAAGGACGGGCGGACTCGAGATTCCGATGGCGACGAGAAGCATCACGCCGCCGCCGACGACATGCGCCTCTGTCGTGCACACCTCGTCTCCTCCCGTCTCGTCGCGCCACGCCACGCCTCGCCTCGCCTCGCCTCGCCTCGCCTCGCCTTGGTCTAGAGCGGCCGAGACTAGATGACCGGATGACCGGATGGCCGGATGGCCGGACGGCATGCGGTTCGATCCATCGCGTGACATGCACACGAGTGCGCGAGTGCACGAGAACATTCATGCGCTCATTCACTCATTCACTCATTCACTCACACGCTCCCACGCGTCAGGATGTCACTCACTCGCATCTACACGCCAAGCGACCCCTCACGTCCCAGGAAGCAACACTCCATACATTACGTGCACCTCGGCAATCTGCAATGCTATGCACTTGTTTTACTCCGATAGTCCGAGATACGAGTAGAGATATTCCTCCTGCTCGTGTATTGTGGCCGGTAACGACGTCTGAGCGGGCTCAGAGGCCTGAAACAGCTGGATATGTCAGGGCGAACCGGGGCGAACTCACAGCCTGGGACATCTCGGAGGTGTGGTGTGGTATCACGTGTGTGGGCCGCGAGTGACAATCGTGATGCGCGTGAGGCAGAACGAGGCGGAGGGGTAGCAGAGAGACGTGCCGACGTTCGGGGCGAATGTGTGCTGCCCCGTCTCCATCACATTATGTATACTGCATCCACGCCCCCGGTTCGCTCCTCGACATTGGTTTGGGGAGTCGCCGTTGTGGGGAACAGTCGACATTGTATGTCATGCCATGACGCGACTGAAGCGCAACGCGCAACTGAAGCGCAACGCGCAACTGAAGCGCAACCGCGATCGCGGAATGCCACGGACGCGGCGGGCGGCTAGCGGAAAGGGACGGCAAGCTTCGGCGACAGTGACGAGTGGGTAACATTGCGCCAGGAGACGCGCTGTGCTTCCGCATTCCGCGGGGCAGCGCAGCTGCCGCCGGCTACGCTTATGCAACGAGCGGCTGTTGGCCGCATGGCTGGCTGGGGGGCACGAATAGTATAGTAGCATAGTGGCGGGTGTGAATGTGGCGCGGTCCAGATCAGCCACGGATTCCACAAATGAAAACTAATTCATCAGCGCCAGGCACGATGCGCACGCATGAGACGACGCAAGTCTGTCCACCTCGAACCTCCAGCAGCAATAGAAGGATCAGGATCGGCCGGGACAGCCCGGCATGCATTGTGGTATGGGATACAGGTGGCTGTGGGAGCAGCGGCTGGCGCATATGGGTCGCCGCAGTGGCCGGCTCAGGACTGGTGGGTGAAGGCGTGACGGGCTAGTAGTACGCGCCATACACTGGAGGTGGGGTGACGGGTTGCACGCGCTGAGGTTAGTCAACGACTCCTACCAGACATGCGGGGGGCGCGGCTCAGTGCACCGGGCCGGGAGCGCCGGAAGAAGCAGAGACGGCTTGGCCGGCCGGGCCAGCGGCGACTCACTTACGCATAGTCTACTCCGTGCCTACCCAGTGGATTGGGACGTATACGATCTCCTCGTCGTCCCCAATAGGCTCAAAGGGGCCGTAGGAAATGGATACGGATGGGGACTGGGGTAAGCGGGGCGCTGGATAGGGGCTTACATCCATTGCGGTAGAGGGGCTCTGTGTGAGAGGTGTCGCGGAGTGGGTGGGTCGTGGGTTGGCGCAAGAGTCGAGCTGGTGAGCTTCGGACTGGAGAAGATGAAGGCGCGAGGGAGAAACAAAGACAAAGAGATTGCAGACGTCCGAGAGCTGAGCTTATAGCAAGACGGACGAGCAGCTCGTGAAGACGAGGGCGCAGGATTCTCGACCCGGCTGTGGGCGGTACGCGGCGGGTTCTTGGAAGATTCACGTAGGGCGGTGGCGGTGGCGTATTCGTTTGAGATTAGCTCTGACGGCTGGACTGACGGGCGCCGGAATGGAAAGAGAAGGTGGCCGCGGGCAAGATAGGCGGTGGCGAAGGTAGTAATGGTGTAGAATCAAGAAACATGGGTGGGATATGGCAGCTCACATCCGCTGTTTGCTTGCGCTACTCCATGACTCGCTGCTCATTTTTCCACCGACGCGCCACCGCACGGTGTAGCAGGGCGCGTCGCTCCAGACCGAGACTGGTCCGTCACCGTAATGTAGGAATGGGCTTGTGCGGGGCGGCGGGGCGAGAGCTTGAGAGGCCAGGGCGGAGGAGTTACGTACCAGGTACAATGTTGGCGCGGAACTGGAAGGTGGAGAAGGGCGGGTTGTGGGGCGAGCGAGAGCCGAGTTTCGTGCTGCAGTGGCGGGGGGCGAGAATGGGCGAGCAGCGCGAGCAGACGCGAAGGAGCCTAAAAATCCAAGGTCCGAGCGCTGGCTCTCCGGCCCCCGGCCCGCGGTCCGCTGAGCTTCGGCCCTCGGAATGGCTCCTCGACGCGACCCATATGGGCTCATGGGAGGAGAGAAGGGCGCGTCGAGACCCGTCGTCCAAATCCTGAGCCAGCTCCAGGCTCCCAGGGGTGCTTGCCAAGGACGGTCGGTGCGATCTGTGCGCGACGATCTGTGCTGATTCTGGCGAGTCTGGCCGTTCGGTCTTCCGGCGCGTATTAAAAGGTTGGGAGAATCGCTGAATGCTGTTTTTTGGCCCCTAGCACTTGGCATACCATGGGGACCACGGCTCAGCAGAACAGGATTAGCGGACGGGCCAGCGGGTGTTTGTTTGCCCAAGCGTTCAGATCTGGAATGGCTCCCATCATTCAAGGCAGGGTCGGAGGATAGGAGGATCTGCGGTGACTGTTGCGAAGCGACCAGAGCTTAGGCCAAAGTTGTCGCAGGTACCAGATGCGTCTCCGGCGGATTAAATGAGCGGAACGAGTTGGAAGGCCATGGTATGGTGGCGCCGAGGTGAGAGCGGAAGGGAAACGGGAAGGCGGCGAAGACTCAGCTCAGTCTAGATCCATTCCACGCCTCAACTGCTGTAAATTCCTGTTTCGATCAGCATCACTGGGCTGCACGCGCACGCGCTCCCCGTAGCTTGTCCGATCGTCGGGGATACTTATGATCTAGTGAGGTAGGGGAGGCAGTCCTGCTTGGGTTCGTAGCAACTGCTACTGGCTGCTGGCCGGGCATCGGTTTATCGGGACGGATAGAGGTGGGTTGGCTGTGGAATCATGTGGAACCGGTGATATGTTTTCTTCTGCAATCAGAGTTGGGGTCAGTCACTCTACCTGTTATGAGCACGGACCAGAGATGCAGGAGGAAGGTTGGTACGTTGTCGGTCTCGCTCACCGCGTCCGAGCTCATGCTACGCATTCATTCTGTCATACTATCTCATTGGTCTGCCCTCGCCTTTCTACTTCTTGCTGCCGCTGCTGCCACTGCTGCCGGTGTTGCCTCCGCCGTACGACTTGGTAGTGTCACCCGACGGCGACGTGTACTGCGAGTAGCCCGAGCCTTTCGTCAGCACGGCCAGAACGCCCACCTACCCGAGTTGTAGTACTGGGAACCGTTCGTGTTCTGGTAGTAGTACGAGCCGTTGGTGCTGGTGTCAGCCCAGAGTCAACCGGCGGCCGGCGGACTGGACGTACTTGGAGTAGTGGTAGCCCCTGCCGCCAGAGTCGCTGACGCGGTTGTCGTAGCTGTTGCCCTGAGAGTTGGTGCCGCGGTAGGTGATGTGGTCAGGCATGGTGAAGTGGGTTGTGAGTTGATGAGTGATAAAATGCGTGCGGGATGGACTGTGGGATTGGGCGATGATGGATAAGTGGGCGATGGAGAAATGATTCAGTGATCAGTGAGAGGAGCGGGGGACGATGGATATATATCTCAGCCGAGCGGTTGACTGGACTCCCGTCAGCTGGTCAATTGGGTGGAAGAGGAAGGTGCTCAGCTCGCTGGAGGGGGAAGGAAGGTGTTCTGGTGCGCTTTGTCAATGCCTCATCCGACCATGCCGGCCAGGTATATCCCAGGTAGTGGTTTTAATTAGGCGTATAGGCGAGTGTGAGTACCGCGGAATGTGGAGGAGGCCCATGCCCGTGCCTGGTCCATCAGAGCCCGCAATCATGGACACGGCATTGATACAAACATGAATCTGCTGCTACAAGCTTGTGGTAATTGTGGTAGTGCTAGATTCTGGATTCAAACATCGTTCCCGACGTTTTCGGGAATAGTATGGGATGGATGAAGGGACTGGCAGCTGGCAGCTGGCAGGCAGTTGCAGGCAATCATCTAATCATCTGAACGCAACTCACCGAGAGGATGGAAGTACGGAAATACGGATGTACAGATAGATGACGTCGTGGGAATTGAGGAACGATCTGCATCTTGGTCAATTGGTCGTGTGGCAGGCGACGACGATCATCTGATAGCTGACAGCTCATGAAAGACAATGAAGGGCTGGATGCTCGTAGAAATCTTACGGCCGAGACGCGAGAAGCCTACGGATCACGGAGCAGAGTAGTAAAGGTTGATATGGTCACACCCGAACATGCCGAACAGTCAGAGCCTGGAGTGCAGAAGTCCCGGGCGACCTTGGTGGGCACAGGGTAATTGGTGCCTCTAGTGCCTTGAAGCTTGATGTAATAATCCACTAGCTTCGAGATCGCCTTACCTCAGGCCGAGCACGCCAAGCGAAATACAAATCAAGCTTGTATTTGTAGCTGTATTTGTGATGGTGAATAGCGGAAATAGCGAATGGCCAAGTGTGGTACGTGTGCCTGAGGCCTGAGTGGCTGCTCATCCCGTGCAAGGGCTTGATTCGTTGGATCGCCAGGCCGAGCGTTCTCGGTGTCCATTAGTCGAGCGCTACAGGCTGTGCAGCGAAACAGGCCGTTCAGCTGCTGCAGGCAACGGGCTAGAGGTATGCAGTCGTAAGGCCGTAATAATGACCGCTCCCCCTCCCCCTGTCTCGTGCTCCATGTCGGATACGTGCTGTGGTCATCTGCCCCCACATCGTCCCTCGCTCGCTTCATACATACATCCCCCGCCGCTTGCACCCCCACCATCCCCATCATGTTCCATCGCTCGTGACCATTCGCACTCTCAACTCTTCTTCCATCCTTACTATACTTCTGCCCCGACTGTTGATCAACCCCACGGCCACACCCGATAGTCTAGACCTCGGTGGACGACGAATTTTGAGCGTTGTATTCGTCTTGCCGCTTGACATTCGCACCGGGCGTCGATCCGTGCCAGCCATTGCCCTCCACCCACCCGTCATCATCATCCCTTCAACCCTCCCCGGCCGCCCTACCCCGCGCCCCCAACCACTCCCGCTTCACTTGACACTCTACAACTACAACTACATCCCTCTTCGCCTCGTTCCATCCAGTACATCTGCCCTCTTCACATCCCCTCTCCTGTCGCCTGCAGCGCTTCTTGTCCAAGCCGGCTCACGTACTCGGTGAGTGGCCGGCCATTCCGCCGGTCGGCACACACAGCCCTCCCAACTTTCCTGCCCTCCGGCCTCCGCCTCCACCTTACTTGCCATATCGCCATTCGGTTGGTGCCCTGCTAACCGCTAAGCTCTAGTCCACTGTACTTGGCTCTTGGTCAATTCACGCACACGCGTGCCATTCAACGCCCACTCTCCCACCAAGTCAGCCGCCCCCTCGCCCACCATGTCGGGTGTGCGACCTGCCGTGTTGGCCTCCCCGCTAGCCGTGCTCGTGCTTCTGCCTGACGCGCTCTCCCCAAACGCCCCCGGCCGCACCAATATCGCTCCGCCCCTCATCTCGCGCAACTCGGGCGGCGCAGTGCCGCGCATCAGCGGCCTCACGACTTGGACAACGGCCTCCAACGATGAAGACGACAAGGGCGATCCTTTGATCGTCCAAAGCCGCCGGCTCAGTCTCGCTCCCCACCTCGGGACCGGGCAGTCCAAGCCGTCCGTCAGCCCTACGTCTTCGTTGGGCGGCGGGTTCTCGCCGCTATCCTCCCTCTCCCCGTTGTCCGACAAACGCAGGTCAGGTGCGACACGCAAGTCGTCCATTCCAGACCATCTTGCGAGCTCGCCTGCACTCAACAAGCCCCGTGCTAGCGTGGCGTACCCCAGCGGACAGGGACTGCCGAACATCGGCCGCCGACGTACGCAGAGTGTGGGTGATGAGCTAGTCGATTTGTTCCGCGCAAGCGGCGTCGAAGGTGAGTCGTAGCGCGATGTTCCAGAAGCGCGGGGTCTTCTCAGGTCACGTCTTTGGCATGCTTCGGAGCAGGCCGAGTCTTACATTACCTGGCTATGCGGTTCACTGCTTTCATGACAGCCACGACTGCAGTGCATCACCGCTCCATCCGGCTCGCAGTAGACAGAAGCTGAAGCCGTGCTGCGTGCATCGGCACGCACAGTTGATGACGGATCGCCGAGAGTGGCCTCCTCCAGCCGACATGTGGTCTGCGGACTGCATGCCATGAGCTGAGTGCGGCTCTTGACAACCGGCTGCAGTGCAGCGGCGATGCGTCCCCCAGTTTTGAGTCTAACCATGTGCAGTCGCCGTCATTAGGCATCTCACTCATCTTCCGAACGTCATCGCCCACCCAAAGTCGCCATCCACCAGTCTCAGCACTCCAGGAGCTACATCCAAGGTTCAGCAAGTCATTCTCGTTCCCCTCGGGGACGCACCGCCACTTCCATCCCTTTCTCTTTTCCTTGCGCAGGGCACCACCCCTTCTGCAGTGTGCTTCCAACAGGATTTACTCGACCGCGCACAGAAGGTAGAGGAAGATTTCCTCACGGATGCTCTGGACAGCATCCAAAAGGTCAAAGACGCCATCCAGAAAGAGATCGGGTCCGATGTCGATCCGCCTGTCATCCTTGGTTACCTCGCGCACGGCAGTCTTTCGCAGTCCTCGATCAGCGAGTGTCTCGAGGCTGGCGCGTCTGGCGTCCTGCATCCACCGTACGATGGCCGAACTGTGGCATCGCTGAAGATGCTTGTGGCGGCCGCTAACGAGGGGACGTCTTCCACAGTCGCCCTAGCGGGCTCGCCTGCAGTATCAGCTCTGCAGTCTTCCCCAGCCAACGACGATGAGGCCAAGGTCATCCTCACCCCCACCGCCCTGTCGATGGGAGCCGAGCATGAAAGTGAAAAGGTTCTCTCGGCATCATTCTCCTCACAGCGACGGCGTAGGAGCACGCAGATGTCGCATCTGTCACTCAACCGTGTTGCATCTGGCTCATCAACGGGCAGCGCCGGTCTTTCTGCGCTTAGCACTGATATGACGAAGGAGCATCCCGGCGAATCGCAGCAGGACGGCCTGGCGTCCTCCCACAGTGCTCGGACACCAAAGTCGCCCCTCACGGCGCTTGACGACTTTTCGTTCCCCACACACATCAACAGGCTGTTGGGGACGTCGCAGGCTGCATGCGATGCCGCCAGGCGCCGCAGCGTTGACACCGGTGGCCTTGCGCTTGCTTTTGACCGCGCCAACAAGAGAATGGAGACCATCGATGGTGCTGGCGAGCCTGCGGATGACGCTTCAGACCACATCAATGTCGTTGCGGGCGATCACGAGCAGGAGGTGGCCGACGGCAGCAGCACAACGCAGTTTGCTGAAGTCCTCGGGGAGATGTATAACCAGACCATGATGTCGATCGACGTGCAGATGGGCGACTACGAAGAGTGAGTCCCCTTTCGCCCGCCATTGCGCTGACAGCAGATTCGCTGCACCCCTGTCACGACAAGATCAAGAGCGCCTTGTCGACATGCTGGATAGCTGGGGCTTCCGCCCACATCAGCTGGACCAGCGGGACCTCTTCCGAGTCGCCTGCCTCATCTTCTCTTCGGTGCTCAACATAGACGGGGTCGTTGAGCTCGGCCTCGATTACGAAGCCATGAAGAGGTGGCTCTTCGCTGTCCGCGCCATCTACCACGCGCCAAATCCTTACCACAACTACGTCCACGCGATCGACGTCCTTCAAGCGACGTATCAGTTCCTCGTCCGCATTGGTGTTGCACCGCCGTTCTCGTGGCTCCGTGACCTGCAGCCGGGAATAACACCGCCTTGGAAACGGCCGTCGGAGGAGGAGCACCCGTCTGCCGGGCGCGGGTCTGCCAGAGCTCGTCAGATCTTGCGGCCCCAAGATGTGCTGGCCGTCGCTATCGCCGCCATGGGCCACGATGTTGGCCACCCTGGGCTGAGTAATGCGTTCATGGTGAGCTCTTCTGTACAATTATTAGCTGACACCAGAAAAACGCAAAGGTCCCCTTGTCCGTTGTCTACGACGACAAGTCCGTGCTCGAGAACATGCACTGCATGCTCAGCGTGCAGTTGTTGCGCAAGCACGGATTCGGGTTCCTCTTGGCACCGCCCACGGCTGCCGAGGCAGAGGAGTATCCAGCGCGCGCCAAGCTTGACTCCCGTGGGTTCCGCCGCGTACTGTACAGCGCAATCCTGGCGACCGACATGAGCCTGCACTTTGCATGGATTCAGCGGCTGAAAGAACTCGGCGAGATCGTGCGCGGTAACGAGCCGCTTCAGCGCGACAAACTTGTCGAGGAAGACCGCATCATGGTGTGCCAGGCGTTGATAAAGTGCGCCGACATTAGCAACCCCGCGAGGCCGATGGACATCTCGGAGCACTGGTCGGCGGTGCTGCTCGACGAGTGGGGCAAACAGGCGTCGCTAGAGGAGGAGCTTGAACTGCCCGTCTCAGTCGTCGCCGGCGTCGACGCTCGCTTGCAAGCCAAAGGCCAGATCGGATTCATCGACTTGTTCACAGCGCCGCTTTTCCGCGCGGCCGCCGATGTGCTTCCGGAGTTGGAGGGTTTCGCTGAGAGCATCCTCGCCAATCGCGCGGTATGGAAGCAGCGCTTGGAGCAGCTCGAAGCCGACGAGTCGGCCAACGAGATGCGCACGATGGCCCTCCGCGCCGCCATCAACACTCCGGTCCCCATCGCCGAAGACGACCGGTACAGCACGCTGTTCCCGCTCATCCTCCCGCAGAAGCTCGTTGCGCAGAGCACGGGCGGCTCGTCGCCGATGGCGTCACCGCCCGCCTCCCCCGCCCGCTCCATCACGCGCGCCCCGCCGTCCCCCGTCGCGCACGCGCATGCCGTCCGCGCCGTCTATCGCGACGAGGTCAAAGAGCGTTCCATGTTCGAGCGCCACCTCCTCGCCCTCACAGGCTTCGATCCCACATCGCACGGCCGTCGCATGTCTACCCCCGACGCGCTGCTCGTCCACAGCAAGCCCTAGGTTCCCGTTACGTACTTGTTTCGAATACATGTATTGCCGATGTACACTTGATCTAGCGACCGTGGGCCTTGGCCTGACGTGAGGAAGCCTGGCTCGCCGCAGTTCGACGACGTTCTGACCCATTCTCCTCCCCTTGCTCTCACTGTTTTGCCTGTCTCCTTGCTCGTCACTATAAGGGATGCCTGCTGAGTAACCTCCTGCCTTTGCCTGATGCGATGACGGGTGCGATTTGTCATCATCTTGTCATTTTTATCCCTCGTCCCTCTCATCATCGACGTCGACGATGAGGGCCACACGTGCTCTTGCTTGGAGGAAATAGTCACCGGTGGGGTGGAGGTCGGTGGAGGTAAGTGGAGGTCGGTGGAGGTCGATGACGTCCTGGTTTATCCGCAGCAGGTGCATGGCGGCCCTCGGCCTCGCTTCGTCGAACTTTTCTATCGTCTTCCGCTCTTCTTTTATTTTCTCTCTACCGAAGACTCGTTCGACTTCTCTTACGCCCTACACGTCCGATAGATTTATCCCGAACTCCTCTACATCAGCCGCCATGTCCGCTGACATTCCCACAAAGTTCACCGGCCATGCCGCCATGGGCCCTCAGGACGAGAAGAGCTTCGCTCTTGAGGAGCACGCCTACACGCCGCGCAAGTTTGACGACGACGACATTATCATCAAGATCGAGTGCTGTGGTATTTGCGGCGTGAGTGAAAACCCGTGCTTCGCCGTGCCATTGGGCTGTGGGAGGCCGGCGTAGTGTGTGGGAGATATATGAGTGTTGTAGCTCACACCAGACCGACGTGCACGTCATCACCTGCGGCTGGGAGAAGCACGACCGCTTCCCCGCCATTGTGGGCCACGAGATCGTTGGCCGCGTTGTCAAGGCCGGTCCCAAGTCTGGACACAAGGTCGGCGACCGCGTCGGCTACGGCGCCGAGTGCGGCTCCTGCCGTGAGTGCGGCAACTGCAAGAACAACCTCGAGAACTACTGCCTCAAGGGCAACCGTGGCACTTACCAGGGCAAGACAAACGACTCGGTTCAGCCCTACACCCAGGGTGGCTACGCCGACTACTACCAGGCTTCGGGACACTTCGCTATCCCTATCCCCGATGAGCTCGACAGCGCCGTCGCTGCGCCCATGCTCTGCGCTGGCGTGACCGTCTACTCTCCCCTCAAGCGCTGGGGCGCCGGCCCGGGCAAGAAGGTTGGCATTGTCGGCATCGGCGGCCTGGGCCACCTCGGCGTCCAGTTTGCCGCCGCCCTTGGCGCTGACACGTACGCTATCTCGCACTCCAACTCCAAGAAGGAGGATGCTATCAAGCTTGGCGCCAAGGGCTTCGTCGCGACTGCGGACAAGGAGGCCGCTCTCGCCGAGCACGGCAACTCGTTTGACATCATCATCGTCACTTCCTACCAGGAGGACATGCCGCTCTCCGAGTTCTACCTCCCGCTCCTCAAGATCGGAGGCAACATGGTCATTGTCGGACTCCCCAACTCCGGCCTCCCCAAGGTTCCCAGCCGCCCGCTCTTCGGCAAGTCCCTCTCTGGCTCGCTCATTGGCTCGCCTGCTGAGCTGCGTGACATGTTCAAGCTGGCCGTTGAGAAGGGTGTCAAGACCTGGATCGAGACCCGCCCCATGAAGGAGGCCAACAAGGCTCTCAACGACTTCGCCGCCGGCAAGCCCCGCTACCGCTACGTTCTCGTCAACGAGAACTAGGGGTGCAGATCGTTCTGAAAGTTACAGCATGGTAGTAGGTTAGCAGCACGAGTGTAGCATGTATGCCGGGTGGAGTCAGTGTCGCATTGCTCCTTACATGCCTCACACCCAACCTTCTCAGCTTCTCACGTAACTGCACCCTAGATCCCCTGCATACCCTCGTCGTCCATCTTTGCGTCTGCCATGTCATCGCCCATCACCACGACCTTGATCCCCACGCCGCTTGGGACACACCGATCGCCGAATGCCTCCGCGAGCGCGGCGCGCGGCCCAAAGCCCGTGCAATGGAGAGGCACGATCCACTCGGGGCGCGGGTGGACCTTGGTAGCCAAGAACTCAACCGTCTCCTCCACGGGCTGCGTTTCGACGGGGATGAGGTGCAGCCCGCCCACGACCTGGTGCACGGGACGCTCGAAGCGGCGCGTGGCATCGGTGACCACGTTGCAAATCCCGGCATGCGAGCACGCCGAGAAAATCACCAGCCCCTTGCCCTTGACATCGACGGCCACGTACCGCTCGTCGGCAATCTTCTCGTCCGTGCACCACCCCCCCGTCCCGTCGTTATCCACCATCCACGTCACGGCGCCCTTGAGTCCCTTCTCCCAAGGATGCACGCGCGGAATCTCGCCCGACACAAACACGCCCGACGGCCCGCTGGCGCGGATCTCGTGCCCTTCGGCATGCAGATCCGCACGCCCATTGCGCTCGCTGATCTCGGCGAACGTCGGGTCCGGCAGCCAGTTTGTCACCGGCACGTACTTGGGCCCCGGGGCGAGGCCGCGGCGCTCCGGCCGGTCCGGGTGCAGATCGACGCTGAGGGGCGGGAGCGCTTTGCCCGCCGCCGCTGCCTGCTCGTTGCGCAGCTCGAGCGCGCGCAGGATCCCGCCCGAGTCTGGCGTTAGCCGCGGAGATGGAGGCGGAGGCGGGCCACGGATCACCCACGGTCCCGGTGCCAATGCGAGAGCACGAGCGCGTCCAGCGCCGTGAGATCCGTGCGCATGCTCCGCACATTGCGGTCGATACTGAGCCCCTCGGGGCCCGCGTCGAACAGCACCTGGTGCGTGCGGCCTTCGACGGTGGTCGTCTGCCGTTAGCGTGGTGCAGACTGGCGTCCGCCACCGTGGGCAGCGGATGTGGGTGGAGGTGCCGTCCGTCAGTCGGCACATCATACATGGGATGGTGCCTTCAATGGCGCGAGACGTAATGTGCAAGGCTCACGATCAGAATGCTCAGTCCATGGGCGCCGCAGCAGAAGTCCTCGAATGCGGTGATGGGTAGCCCCGTTAGCTCGTCCTTGTGCGCGTGGGCGAGGTGGGCTGGCAGCTCGTGCGAGAAGCCGGGCGGGAGCTTGGACAACCGCTCGATGCCTGAGTCAGCCGCATACAGCGCCGGGCTCACTGTTGTCCACAAGCACGAGATATTCGAGCTTGTCGACACGCGTGAGGGCATCCATGGCGGACTGGGCGGAAGGTGGAAGGTGGGCGGCCTCCACTTCCGTTCAGCATCTCCATCCGGTTGCGTCATTCCGAATTGCTGCAGCGTTTCGCTGAGCGTTGAACACTTGCCTCTTCACACTTTTCCGCATGAAGGAGTAGCCTCAAACCAAAGTTATTGGCGAGCGGGATTGCTTGACTTACGCGAGTCCAACTCAGATTGCATGTCGTTAGCGCAACCCAGCACGTTCGATGAGAGGTGAGCGATACCGCTCGAACATAGTCGGGCCAGCGTCATGTCATAATACTATACAATGTCCGTATTCTACAACCCCTACAAATCTAGCGCCATGTAAAGGGCGACGTCTCGTGGTCGAGCTGGCTCAGTAGCTCCTTGAGGCGCACAACGTCCTCTGTGAACGGTAGGCTCGAGCTCCCGCCCGTCGAGTGTGGCGTGAGCTTACCGTGGTTGTTGTTGGCGTTCAGGTCCTCCATGGCGAGCCAGTGGTCGAGCTGCGACCGCAGCGCCTTGGCTTTGAGACGAAAGTGGCTGTACATGGCCTGTTCGTCTAGCGTCAGTCCTCGTCCGCACCCGTAGTTCCGCCACGTACAGGGAGGATTCTTGCCCTTCGCGTCACCCGGCATCTTGGCAAGCAGAAACTCCTTCTCCTCGCGCTCGTTGTCGAGCTGTTTGCGCACGCCCTCGAGCTCAAGCTCCAGACGCCGCTTCTCCGCATCGGCACCATTTGAGTCGGCACGACGGTTGGCATTGTCGAGTCGACGCAGCTGGTCGTTCATGTCGCGCCCCAGAGCCTCTGAGCTTTGCTGCAGGCCGCGCAGCAGCTCGTCACGGCTTCCTCGCTTACCCTGTCGGAGTTCGCTGAGTTGTGCGTTCTCTTTCCGCAAGCGGGAGATCTCGTCGAGCGCCCGCTGAAGTTTGACTTCGTTTGAGCCCGACACCATGCGTTTCGGGCTGAGCGCAGCCACCGAAGTTCGACGCTTGGAGTCGGCCAGGTCGCGTTCGAGAGCGACAGCTCGCGCTTCCGCCTGAGCGCGGGCACGGCGCTCCTCCTCGAGTAGCACGGCTGAGCCCTTATCCTCCATGCCAAGCGAGGCACGTGCCTGCCGGATGGCCTTGCTCTTGGACTTCTTCAGCGACTCGACTTCCATCTGCGCGTCCTCCAGATCAGCCTGAAGACGGTTGCGGTGGGTCTCGAGGGATTTGAGGATCTGGTTGAGACGCTTATTCTCGTTGACTTGCTCCTTGAGTTGGCGATCGGTGACCTTCTTGGCCGACTCAAGAACATGAACATGCTCAACAATAGTCTTGTTCTCGCGGCTGCGCAACAGGGAAACCTCGCTCTTAAACGTATCAATCTTACCGGTAGCATCGTTAAGCTCCCGCTCCAGCTCGTTCAGGTCGTTACGGTGCGCCGCGACCTGCTCTTCAAGACTGTGAACCTGGCGCTGGTAGCCTTGGCGCGTGCTGATCTCGCTGCTCAATTGCGTGGCGACCTCCTCGAGTTTTCTGCGTAGCATGTCGCGCTCCTGCTCAAGCGGAAGAAGAGCGTCTTCGAGGTCGGCGAACTTGTCGTTCTTCTCGCGCAGCGCACGATCCAGCTCCTGTATGTCAGCCGAACCCTGGCGCGACGTTTGCTTACATCTGTCCTGAGCTGGGCCAAGCGCAGCTCCCTCTCCGTCGATTTGAGGGTGCTGCGTGCCAATTCAAGCTCGCGCAGCGTCTCCTTCTGGGTTTTCGCAGCGGCTGCGGCCGCGACCTGAAGATTCTCAACTTCGGTGCTCTTGCTAGTCAGGCGCTCATTTAGAACCTTGAGCTCCTTCTCGGCAGTGCTGTGTCTCTGCCGAAGGGCATCAACCTCAAGCTTGAGTTTACTTGCAGCCTCGCGAGTGCTGCGCTTGTACTCCTCGAGGCTTTTTTGGTGCTGTATCGCCTCGCTGCGCAGGCCGGCGATCTCGGCTTGACGGCTCCTCTCGGCCTCGCGGAGCTTAATTCCCTCCGACGTCTTGGCCTCCATCACAGAGCGTAGCTCATCAAGCGACTTGAGGAGCTTGGTGCGCTCGGCACTGTCCGCCTGCTTGTCCTTGTCGCGTGAAGCGATAACAGCCTTAAGATTGTCAATATCGGACTTCAGGCGTGTGTTGGCGGCTTCGCTCGCCTGGTGCGCTTTAACGGCAGCCGAGTGCTTCCCGGCGAGATCAGCGATGACGAGCTGCTTTGCGCTGATGGTGCTCTCGTGCGCTCTGGACATCTCCTGGACGTCTCTGAGCTCAACCTCGCGGCGCTTCATTTCCTTGTTAAGGGAAGCAACCTGAGTGACTAGGCTCTCGCTCTTCTTCTTTTCCTCGGAGAGGAGCTTTTCGAGCTCTGCCGCGTGACTGTCCACCTTCTCCTTTGCACGACGCGTAGCGTCGTCGCGTTTAGTCACCTCTCTGCGCAGGTCCTCGAGCTGGCGGGCCAAGGCGTTCTTTTCGTTCTCAATCTTGGTGGTCGCCTCGATTTCCTTGCTGAGCTTACCCATGACGTCCGTCTCACGCGCCTTCTGCTCGGTGCTGAGTTTTTCCAGAAGCTCTATCTTCTTTTGGAGGCAGCTGTTTTGCAGCTGAACGTCGTTGAGTTCGGCAGCCTGCTTCTCGTTGGCGGTGTTGGCGTTGTCTCGTGCGAGGGTGATCTTCTCAATCTCGATCTCGAGCTCGGAAACGCGATCGGTCAGCTCCACTTCATGAGCCTTGGAGCGAGCCAGCATCTGTTCTTTCTCGAGGGCAAGCGAGCGCTCAGATGACAAGTCCTTCTCGACCCGCTCCTTCTCGGCGAGGAGGGAAGTGCGGAGTTTCTCTAGACGGATCTTCTCGGCCTCGTCGCGCTCAGCGCGCTCCTTTGCCATGGTGAGCTCTGCACGCTTTTTGGCCAGCTCATCGTCACTCCGGGTGGCGGCGAGCAGCGGGCGGATCTTGGTGTACAGTGACCACCACGGCCAGTCACGCAGCTCAATATAGGCACGGGCGTTGCGCTGGATGGTGCGGACCGCCTGTGCCCGGTTGATGAGCTTGTTGATGCGTCGCCGGTGGATGTGCATGCGTGCCGCGGCCTGGAAACGCCGGAATATATCCGTCAGAAGGTTATCGCGGCGCTCCTCCAGCTCAGCGAGGATGCCGGCCTTGAAGAATATCTTGGTGGTTCCGACGGCGTAGAACTCGGAGTCAAGCTCGAGGGCAATGGCGATAAGCTCGGCAGCCTTGCGCCCGTCCATGTACCCCTGGGGTATGACGCCTGGGACGAGCACCTCATAGCGCTGGCGGAACTCAGCGAAAGGAAGCCGATTGGGATAGCCCAAACGGGCGATGCGGATACCCTCAATAACGCCGTTGCACCGGAGTTGGTCAAGCACAATGTTGACGTCGACCTTGCCGGGCTTCTTGGCAGTGTTGGGCACAATGCAACGCACAAAGTGTGGCTGCGTACTGGCAAGTTGCTGCATGAGCTGAGCGAGCTGTTCCTTGTGACGCTGGCCGACAGTGCGGAACGCACCACGGCGGATGCGCTTGCCGCCGACGTTCGAGGTCGTGTCTTCGGCGTACTCAGAAAACATAGACTTGATCGCCGCAACATCCGCTTGTGAGAGTAGACGAGCAACGGCGTCGTTGATCGGGTCCTTGTTCTTCTGCAGCCAGTCCTTGGTGCTGTACTCGACGTCACCGGCGTAGTGCTTGACAACAAAGCCCTTGCCAAACCGGAGGGAGCGGAATTTGGAAGTGCCCAGATGAGAGCTCTTCGTAGTAGTGGTGCTAGCGCCCTTGGACAGCTCCCACAGCGCGGCAACCTTTTCGGTAAACGACACGTCGGTTGCCTTGGGCATGATGCATTCCTCATCAAGCATTGAGAGGATGCCGATAGGCTGAGAGCTTTCGATCAGCTCGATGGTCGGCTGGAGGTCGAGACCAAAGTTTACATAGTCCCATTTGATACCCTCGCGGGAGTACTCCTCCTGCTCGAGCGTGAACATGTGGAAGTTGAAAAACTGCTGGAGCTTCTCATTAGTGTAGTTGATGAGGAGCTGCTCGTAGCTGTTAACCTTGAAGATCTCAAAACCAGCAATGTCAAGCACGCCGATGGACAGGCTGGGATTAGTTGCGATGTACACCATTACACTGACGACTTGGTGCTGGGGCGGTCCAGTGCCTTGTTGATGCGATCGACCATCCCGCTGAACGTCTTCTCGTACATGAATTTAGACAGGGCAGCCAGCTCGTCTTCGGCTTGTTTCTTGGTTCGGGCGTGTGTGACCCACTCGCGGCCTGCTCGAACCTTGGGCGTGAGGACTGATCGCATAAAATCCTTGACGGGGACGCCAAGTAAGTGGCAAACTCGCTCAGCAACAGGCTGAAGGTCCGGGGGCAAGAAGGCCTGGTCGGCGGAGGATCCTGTGAGGATGAGGTTACCGATGTGGAGAATCACCGCGACAACACGGAACATCTCAAACTGCTCGTCCGCGGTGAAGCCAACAATGTCGAGAGCGTCCTTGAGGAGCTTCCACTCAGCCAGGTCGTCCACCCCGTCAATCTGCAGCAGCGACTGCGAGAGTACATTGTATTTGCCTGGTTCATCTTGAAGAAGTAGCTTTTCTGCGCGTCAGTCACCGTCTGCGTGGAAACTTACCGCTGAGCCCCGCATGCTTAGCACCTCTAAGAAGCTGATAGAAGACGTGAAAGCTGCGCTCTCCTTCTGCACGGGCTGTCACTCGGCTCTTCTCCAACAGATACCAGTCAATGTTTGCCCCGGCAATCGCGCCCGACGGAGAGAAGAAGATGCGGATGAACTTTCCGAAACGGGAGGAGTTGTTGTTGCGCATCGTTTGTGCGTTGCCAAATGCTTCAAGAATGGGGTTGGCCTGGAGAATTTGCCTTTCGAGAAGTCCCAGGTCGCCCTGCCGACTGGAAGAGGATTCAAGCTCCAGATCCGCCACCTCCTTGCCCTTGAAGCTGGACGACCGGGGTAAGCCGGACATAGGCGCCGAGGATGAAGACGTGGTGGAGTCATTGGAGCTTGCAATCGCTGCGAGGTACTGGATAACCTTCTTCGTGTTCTCAGTCTTTCCAGCGCCTGATTCTCCACTATCTCATTAGGCTCGCGGACGTCGCTGTACTCACGTAATAAGAATGCTTTGGCTCTCACGCTCCTCCCCAATCTGCTGCCACGCGCGTTCTGCAATTGCGAAGATATGTGGAGGATTCTCTTCCCGCCTCTTTGTGCGATACTGGGCGATAATCTTGGGGGTGTAAATGGGAAGCGGACGGTAGGGGTTGAGAGAGATGAGGAACAGGCTAGTGGTCAGCAGCTGGGCGCCAGAAGCAGGACCTACCCAGAGTATGTCTGCTTGTTAGCCTCCGCTTCACGGTTGTAGAGAAGGACTCACGTAGATACTGCCGGCCCCGTAACGCAAGCGAAGATCATTCACCACACTTGCTTCGTTGAGGTGTGTGAGTTCGGCAATGTCCTCCACACCATCAAACTGTGGCGGGTTCATTGGGGAGAGGGTGTGGACCGGCACAGTCCGCATCTCGCCGGTCGCCGCAACAACGACTTCAGCGGTGTCATCTGAGCTAGCGGTGGCTGAAGATGACTCGCTCTTGATCCATCCTGCCAAAAACCCTTCGGTGGTGTCTGGGATCCATACACGCCTGTTCATGTCGAGGTCCGGGTCAGATGGTTGGAGAGTTGAGAACAATGGAGCGAGTAGCCCGATGGGTCGGCGCATGTATGTCGGCCGCATCGCGAAAGGAGGGCAGAAGGGAAAGGAGGAGTAAGTGATAGAGGAGGGGAAGGAGCGATGCAACAAGAGGGGGTGTCAGTTTGTGATCTCAAGGAGTGACCCGATGAACAAGAGTAAACAACACTCACTTCTTCTCGCTGAAGTCTGCTTGGGCCGCTGCGTGGACGGTCGCTTCTTTGCTAGCCTTTCCAAACAGCTTTGCTGGGTCCATGCTGACGTCTGAGCGCGCGAGGGCCAGGTGCGAGCGATGGGCGGGTCGTGAAGGGTACGTTACCGGAGGTCGACTGCGGTGTCGCAAGAGTTAAGAATGAACAGGCGTCGAAGGTCCTGGGTGATGTATCTGCAGCCGCGGAGGTCAGATTGCCTTGTAAGATAAGATAGAGAGTAAGTGTACTCGGCGTACACTGGTCGATGTAGTGTGAAGATGAGGAGAATGAGGTGTAGGAGGGATTGAGAGGTCGGGATGGTGATGTCGATGGTAATGTTGTTTTCGACGGGCGATGAGGGGCCAAGGCACGGACCCTTGCCGCTGCCTGGAGAAAGGTCAGGCGCGTCGCACAACATTGCGCCCCCTCTCTTGGGGGCGCCCTGAGAATTCTCCACGTCATTTAGAGTGATACGGAGCCGACCCCGATCCGCCACCGATGGAACTTGCCGGAAATGCCGTGCAGCAGGGAACGAGTGTATTGCTTATTAGTGGATGGTCATAAGTCCTTATCCTAAACCTGCTGGGCTGAGGTTAGATTCGGGTTAAACGGCATACGGCTATCAATCCGACTCTCCACCCTCCTACTCTCCACTCTCCACACCATCATCCATCTTCCTTCTCTCTCCTCAATCCCTCAACCTCCTCATCCACAATAACCCTCCTCGACAACACATCCATTGTCCCAACATCTTCAACTAGAGACGAAGCAATCCGTGCATCTCGTTACTCTTGACCCACAACACATCACCTTACCTGCACCTACCCACCTACCCGTCCAGCGCGAGCGCGTCCCTCGATCCTAGACACTAGTCCCCGCCCCCCGCCTACCAACCTTCCTTTCGCCATGGCGTCTTCACAGTGATGCTCAGCACCTAGACCGCCAACTGACTCGCAGATATGGCGACTATCGGGTCGGCCTCGCGCCACCCCCCAAAGACCTGAGACCTCAGACTGATGTATGTGCCAATGGGCGACCAGGAAGAAGCTCATTCACTGACGCGCACAGGACGTTCGTGCTACCGAGGGGGCATCCTTTGACGACTTTCCGCTCTCGCGCGAGGTGCTCATGGGCATCTACGAGGCAGGCTTCGAGCAACCTAGCCCCATCCAGGAAGAGGCGATCCCTATAGCTTGCACTGGACGCGACATCCTTGCGCGGGCCAAGAACGGCACGGGCAAGACTGGTTCATTCGTGATCCCCACCATCAACCGCATCAACACTTCCCTCTCCCATATCCAAGCCGTCATCCTGGTGCCAACGCGAGAGCTCGCGCTCCAGACGTCGCAGGTATGCAAGACGCTTGGCAAGCATGTTCCAGGCCTCCAGGTCATGGTGACCACCGGTGGCACAACATTGCGAGACGACATCATGCGACTCCAAGAGCCCGTCCACATCCTCGTTGGTACACCCGGCCGTATTCTCGATCTGGGCGGCAAGCGCATCGCCGACCTCTCCAAGGTCGCCATTTTTGTCATGGACGAGGCAGACAAGCTCCTTAGCGAGGAGTTCACTCCGGTCGTCGAACAACTGCTGGGTCTTTGTCCTCAGGAGCGTCAGGTGATGCTCTTCTCTGCTACCTTCCCCGTCCACGTCAAAGACTTCCGCAACCGCAACATGGTCCAGCCCTATGAGATCAACCTCATGGAAGAACTCACTCTTAAGGGTGTCACCCAGTATTATGCCTACGTTGAGGAGCGCCAGAAGGTGCACTGCCTGTGAGTTGTCGGCTTAAACGATGACTGATGCAACAGCAACACGCTCTTCTCGAAGCTTCAGATCAACCAGTCCATTATCTTCTGTAACTCCACTTCGCGCGTCGAATTGCTGGCCAAGAAGATCACCGAGCTAGGCTACTCTTGCTTCTACTCCCACGCCAAGATGATGCAGTCCCACCGCAACCGTGTATTCCATGATTTCCGCCAAGGCATGACCCGCAACCTTGTATGCTCTGGTGAGTGGACATTCGCTACATTGAGGAGTGCTGAAGCCCTCAGATCTTCTCACTCGTGGAATCGATATTCAGGCCGTCAATGTTGTCATCAACTTCGATTTTCCCCGCACTGCTGAGTCTTATCTCCATCGAATGTGAGTAGCAAGGGCCGTCTCCGTTGCTCGCCAAGCTGACGTCTAGTGGACGTTCTGGTCGTTTCGGCCACCTTGGTCTTGCCATTTCTCTCCTTACTGTAAGTCCAGTCCAGCAACTGCCGCTGACGCGAGTAGTACGAGGACCGCGCCAACCTGTATCGCATCGAGAACGAGTTGGGCACCGAAATCCAGCCCATTCCCGGCAACATTGATCCTGTCCTTTACGTCGCGCCTGCCGGGCTTGACGAACCGCCTTCCCCGCCATCGCAGTCTCCCCCTACTCCTCGGCCAGTTGCAAAGCCCCCTCCCCAGCAGCCGTCGCAGCCTCCGGCTACCCTCACACCCCGCCAGGCTCACCTCCCTCCGATCGCCCAGCCTGCTGCCCATCCTCCACCGAACATCGCACAGCAGTTTGGGCACCAGCACTACCCCAACAATGCCCAGCAGCAACACATGACGCAGCAGCAGCAGCAGTACCAGCAACATACACTGCAGCCACAGCAGCAGCAGCAGGCACAGCAGGCGATGCCGCACCCGCAGCAAGCCACCTACGCCCAGCCTCCGCCTCCGTCTCAGCAGCAGCAGGTCCCGACTCAGCAGCCCCTTCAGCAGCAGCAGGCACGTGACAATGCGCGCCCCGCAAACCCGAACCGTGGTCGAGGCCAGGGGCAGCCTCGTGCACAGGGCGGGCGCGGTATTCGTGGTGGTAACCAGCAGCAACCTCAACAGCAGCAGGCTGGTGGGCGTGGCGGGCGCCAAGGCCAGCAGACACAGCCGCCGACTACTGCCGCTCGTGCTTCCTAACGGCGCTGGCGAAAGATACGCCGGAGGTCCGTAAAGGGAGGCGGAGGCGGAGAATGGAGGGCGGAGAGCAGTGGAGCGTCTCGTGGATGGTGGGACGGCGATAGAAGCTGAATCAGAAGTCGCGTCCAGCATGGGCGCAAGCGGTGTTAGTTCAACACTCTCATTGCCAACACGTTGCGCGGAGAGCAGTGCGAGAGGGATTCAACTCACTCTCGCGAAAGGTGAAGCATCAGAGATGAGGTGGGAAGGGAGGAAGGGGGGCGATTTTCTGCGTTGAAGCTGTGGTGTGGCTCCGAAGCCATCAGAGTTATGCATCTAGATGACACGCGGCAATTGTGAGAGTGGGGCGGGGTGTGCCGGGACGGACAACGCTACTGTACACCATCGCAACCCACAGCTCAAGCTGCTGATCGAAGGACTTTGCTTAAGCAGCTAGCAGGGTCGTTAGCCTCCAGCGGTCTCCAGCGTGTAGCTTCGGCGAAGATGAAGGGGTTATAACCGGCTGTCCCTACCCCAAACTGCCATTTGTCCTGAGCAACATGCAAGTTGAGAGGAGTTCGGCGCGGGGTCGGCGCCGTCAGCTTGACCTTTACTCAACATACTCGACGTGACGTGAATGAAAGAGGGGTAAATGTTGTCCTTTGCGATCGATGCCGAGTTGTTGGCAGCAGAAGATCGCTGGCACAGCCTTGGGTCAGCGGAGTAGCAGTGAGGTAATCGGCAATCAAGGCACAAGAGCACAAGACCGCACCTCCGTGGCATGGCTTGATGGGCTGTGTGCGCGTCGAATGCTTCCGCCTCCGCCGCCCCCCCCCCCCCCCCCCCCCCCCCCCCCCCATCGTCACTTCCTTCCCGTCGTACCGTTGTGATTACTGAACTACTAACCTCCTCTTCTCGCTCACTTTCTGGGCACCGCATAGCAATACAGCACCTCGCACGACCACGCACACACACACACTCTCTCTCTCTCTGCGCACATCTTGCTCCCACCAGACACCGACCCCACCTATCACCCATTCACCATCTCATTCCTCGAGGCCTCGGCGGCCAATCGCGCCTTCCGGCCCGCCAATAGCTGGATCGGACGCCACTCATTGTGCTCAGGCCCCTACCCTACCTTACCTCTTGCCTAATCGCCTGTCGCAGCCCACTCATCATCCTCGTCCCATAACCGCCCATAAGCCATCACCTCGCTGGCCCGGGACGTGTCGACTCGCACCTCGTTCATTGCTGTCAAAAAAAACGCCCTTTCAAAATCAGACAAGCCACGTCTCATCATGAGCAATCCGCCTCCCGGACTCGCCCCGCCCGCCCCCGCACCCGCTCCCAAGGCGATTCCCGGCGCGCGCCCGCGCCCCATCGCCGGTGCTGCTGCCGCCGCGGCCTCTCCTGGCCGCTCGCCTGGGTCGCTGAGCACGAGCTTCCGGCGCAGCCGCGTGGCCGCCGAGAACGGCACGCCTGACGATGCCAACTGGCGCGCGCGCTCAGTGGACAAGACGCAGGTCGAAAAGCGCCCCGAACGCACCGTCGGCGGGTTTGAGAAGAGCGAGGTCCGCGCCCAGCCTGCTGGCGCCAGCGCCTTGTCGACCTCCAAGGGCAAGAATGCCAGTGCGTCTATGCCCCATCTTGTTGTCCTTTACGCCTGCACCGAGGCGCAGCCCAGGCGCCGGGGCGCTGCCTTTGACGGCCCACGGGACGCCGGCGACGTGAGACTTGGTGCTATCTGCCGCTGAGCGATTTCGCGAGGCATCATGATAGCGCCAGTTGCGCCGAGTCCAGCCGCGTCGCACCGCGGCGCGGCGCCTCCATTCCGCCCTTATCGTAGTCGTACACGCGATGTCACTGACACCAGCGGCGCTCAGCCACGTCCCATGCCGCTTTTTCAAGGCGGGCGCCTGTACCGCAGGGTCGAGCTGCCCATTCTCGCACGACCGTGAGTTGGCCACAATCGAAGTCGCTGATCACAGTCGGAGGCAAGAAGGAGGTATGCCAGTGGTTCCTCAAGGGTGACTGCAAGTTCGGGCACAAGTGTGAGTTCTGAGCGACATCGCCTGCCTCGAGAGCATTTCGGTGGGATGTTTGGGACGGCTATCAGAACCTCGTAGTTGGCCAGATTGCCCCCCGACCCGATCATACGCTGACGCCAGGCGCCCTAGCTCACGTACGCCCCGGCGAGCCCATGTCCATGGACCGGCGCAACAAAAAGGAGCAGCAGCGCTCGGCCCGGGAACGCACCGGAGGTGATGGGGATCTCAAGAAGGAAGGCAGCGATGCCGGCACGTCGCCCGCTGCTGCCAAGGCTATGCCGACGCCGATGTCACACCCTGTGCCTATCAGGTCGGCCCTCTCGGCGTCTTTTTCGAGTTCGGTGCAATCCCCCAGCCGCCTAGCGCAGGGCTCGTCGCCCCTTAGGGAGCCGTACGGTCCGCCGTCGTCCGCTGGCCCCGCCGGCTCTCCGTCCGCCGGGTTCAACCAGCGAACGAGCGGGGTCCCGTTTGCGAGCTCCCCGAGCCGGCCGTCGCCCTTGTCGTCGTCGTTTACGAACAGGGGTGCCGTTCCATCGTCACTCAAAGCGAGCTCGATTGTGTCTACGAGCTCGCCGTTGCGTCCACCCGGAGCAGGCGGGATTTCGAGCTCGTTCCAGCACGCGTCGACTCTGGCCGCGCGCCCGCCGCAGCTGTCCGCGTCGTTTGCGGACAACAGCCTGCAGCGCAACATCTGGGCGAGGTCCGAAACGCCTGATGAGCCGTTGTCGCCTCCAGCCAGTCGCCGCCCGCTTGTGGCGGGCGCGAGCGCGCGTGTCATCCCCGACGTATTCGACGAGCACGACGACCACGGCGAGGACCTCCTTCCCTCGAGCCTCAGCGATCTCCTCACGCCTTCGGAGCGTGCCCGCCGCATGAGCCGCAACGACTCGCGCGACGGCCAGTCCAGCTCCCCTGGCCGCTTGGGTTACAACATGCACCAGTATGTCGGTGCGGAGCGGCTGGCGGTGAGCGCGGGGGCGGCTCTCCCGCCTGGCGGCTTCCTCCAGTCTCTGTGGAGCCAGGACGGGAAGGATGCGCGTGAGACGCCCGCCGAGTTGAGCTTTGGCGGCGCGCAGCCGCAGCCGCAGGCGCGCACCTCGCTACTGAGCCAGCAGCGCGGCCCCGGTGCCCCGGGTGCCTCGGGCTCGCCGAGCCCCAAGAGCTCGCCATCCAAGCCGACGGCGGCGACGGCGTGGAAGGGACCGTCGGTCGACGCGCCCTACCTCATGCGCGGGACGGATCCGAGCTCGCCATCGGCGCGGGCGCTGTCCGAACACGCGCCCGGCCAGAGCCTGCCTGGCGGCATTGCGGCCGCGCTGAGCCGCATGCACATGCAGCCGGGGAGCCGGACGCCGTCTGGCCTCGGCGCGAACACGCCGGGCAGTGCGGCGCCGACGCCTAAGCGCGACGACCACGAGGACGAGGCGTTGTTCCACATGGACGGATAGAAGTAGAAGAACACGAAAAGTACAGCCCTGCAACCCTGCAGCCCTACGGGGATAACTAGTACAGCATGAATGATGCCATATACCTTATCGCGCGTTCCATGTGCGTTTCTGTTGACAGCAGCAGCAAGATAGGTCATGAGCCAGCAGCAGCCTGACTGGTGGAGGAGAAGTGCGCGCCCTCGGCAGCAAGCATGCACGACTCACACGGATCACAAGGTGATGGCACCATGCCATCGACTAGCGGGGCCACGCTCCCTGTCATGCCCTGTGAAGATGTGCGGTCGTGGTCCATCCAGACTCCGTTCAAGCATAGTGCATGCCAGATTCACGTGCACGCGGTGGCCCGAGCTGTCCTGAACATTGCACGCTCAACATTGCACGCTCACACCGAACATCGCGCACTGAGGCACTCGGCATCAAGTCCATGATCTCCCTCCGCGATAGGCACTGCGCCCATGCATGTCATGTCCGGGAATATTTCCTTCGTAACGCCCGAGTCGGCGTCGTAAGCCAGTTTTCATGGCGAAAGCAGGGCGCAGGAACGGGCTCGGTGAGCGAGCGAGCGAGCGCGCGAGCGAGCTGGAAGCTGGGAATGCCGGGCGCGGCGGGACGGTCGTGATGGTGACGGCTTAAGTGGAGACGCGGCCGAGTGGACGGGGACGTGGATCCGTGGACGACCAAACATTCCTACGCACGTGCACAACACGGGCGCCGGCGGATACGGAGGCCGACGTCATTCATGCTCCTGCAATCCTGCAGCCTGCAGTCTGTAGCCTGCAGCCTGCAGCCTGCAGCCTGCAGGCGTGCAAGCGGTGCTGCGGCGCAGTGTAGCTGGCGCCCGGTGGTGTGTATTGTGAATCGAGTGAATCTAGAGTTCCGCCGGATGGGCTCTCGTGTTTGTTTGTTATCTCGGCATGCGGCGTGGCGTGCACGCATCGCGATCTGCGTGGCTGGCACCGTGTCAGCTAGCATCGAGCTACTGGGCGTCTGCTCGCGTCGACTGTAGTTAGTGGACGACGCGATATTTTTGGTTCAGGTATCGAAGCGTGTTGGTGCCTCGGTGCCTCTATGCCTCTACAGTACATCATGCTCACTGCGCCGCGTCGGCCATGCTCACTTGTACGCCGCTGCCCACCGGCCACCGGCCACCGGCGCATGCCACAAGCAAAGGCAATTCACCGACGCGTGGATGTGGCGCGGCTGCGCTGCTGCGCTGATGCGCTAATTAGTGGCTCAGAGCCAAACGGATCAAACCGAGTCGATCGCGTCCAAATTGCTGCCGAGTAGATCCTCCGGCATGGCATGGGGGAAGGGGACGGGGGCGAGGCGCATCCCGTCTCCCATCTTTCACATGATCGATGCAAGCGATCAAGCGAGTGGGAGTGTGCAATTATGACGGGCGTGGGGGTGATGGCATGTACAGTATTACTACATCAACATGAGACACGAGCATACACCGGGGCCGCGGGGTGCCGTACCATTGACGTTATTGTGCGAGAGCGGCCGGACGCTGGACAGCATTGACGGCGAGGATGAGCCGACGTCGGTGTCGATACGACGGTGGGCTGCGGACGAACAGGGCACAGCGGCCAGGGATGCGCCGAGCTTGTCGACGCGTCGGGTCGGTTCTGTCCCTTGCCCTTGCCTTGCGTCTTGGCTACAGCCTACTCTGCATCCCTGCCCAGCTGCCCAGCTGCCCAGTTGCCCAGTTGCCCAGCTGCCCAGTTGCCCAGCTGCCCAGCACGCCCAAGCCCATAGCCCAATTGTCTGTGGGTCAACGTAGTCTGCCATGTACATGTACACGCTATGCGGCGTGGTAAGCTGTGTTTGTCGTACTCATCGTTCCCTAGCCCATGCTCCGTTGGACATTGACGTTTGCACGTTTGGGTCATCAAACGTGCCACGCACACTCTGGCCTCTGGCCTCTGGCTTCCGCTGACTGCCACACACTACAGTACATCACCACGTCACTGTTAGACCGCCACGCGTGAGGTGTGTGGCGCAGCAAAACAAGAACAAAGCCGATCCAAGACAAACAGGTCTTTTGGACGGCCATGCCATGGACGGGAGAGATGAGTCCACGTAGACACATAGGCACATAGGGGTGATGGGCAAAATCAGCTGGTGGCCGATGTGCAAGGTGGCCAAGGTGGGCTGTGTGAGAGTTTAGTGATGGCTGATGTCGAGTGTGATGATCCGATGAGAAAGAGGAATGGGGAAGAATGACCCGACACCGACAGGTGTTTCATGGCGCCCAAATGCGACCAACAGACTGGTGGGGATTGCGGGGGCTGGGGGTGGGCCCCGCCCGGAGTGTGAACCCAGGAAGAGGATATTATTACGTGCATGCATTTGTGGTTGCTGTTGCTGGTTGCTCAACTTGAGGGAGAATTACAGAAGAGATGGAAACGCGGCGATCAAAGTGTCCGCAGCGCAATGACCTCCCTATGCCCCCCCCCCTTTACCCCCTGCGCCTCCGTCCTCCGTCCTCCTCGACGCCCCCTCGGTCTTGCGGCCCTCCCTGCTCCCCTCTCCTCCCCTTGTATCTCCCGAGTGGTGGCGCGAAGTGGAATTCCACCTGATCACAAGGGTCACGAGGGACAAGCATTAGAAATTCCAGGATTTTCAGGGGCAATACTTTGCTTTTAGTTGGAGACACACACACAGCTCGCGTGCACGGGCCCTGGGACGACCTTGCTGCCTTTGATCACCTGGGATCCTGGGATCCTGGGATGGACGCGGCAAAGGACTCACCAAAACGCCCCCGCCGGTCCCTGGAACGCCCTCTCTCCGCCTCTACTCTGCTCCGCCCTCGTCTTTCCCCTTGCTCTCTCTGACTTGCCAGGCGGCTCCACTTTCTCCACAAAGCAGTTGAACAGTCGATCACTGCTCCTCCTCGTCCTCCTCGTCCTCCTCGTCCTCCTCGCTCGCCGTCGTTGTCCTCGCGTCGGACAACTACCACTCTCTTCCTCCTCTTCATCGCATCTCTCTCTCTCTCTCTCTCTCTTCTCTTCACCTCCTTCCGTGTACACACAACCCACCCCACCCCAACCTCGACAAGCGCGTGCCCAAACAAAGGCCGCATCCAATCCCATTCTCAACCCGTTGGCGTGTGTCCCATTCGCCTCGCCTCGCCTCGCCTCACCTCACCTCTCTCGCACTCTGCGCCCGGACCCCGTCGCGCCGCCGTCTCGTCGAAAGCGCGCGCGCGCGCAATTTCATCCACTAGTCGCAATTCATCAACCACATCGACCCCATCGACCCCATCGACCAACGGCTGGTTCCAAAGGGTCGCTCGCAGTTTGCAGGCACCGCAAGCTACTCATCTCGTAGCTCATCACCCAACGACCAGAATCCCGTTCCTCGCCCTCGCCCTCTCCCTCTCCTTCGCCCTCACCTCACCCTCCCTTCGGCCTCCCTTCGGCATCATCCCTCCGCCTCCTCACGCCCCCGCACTTGGCTACAACCTCCTTAGACTTCGGCCCTCCCTCCCCCCCTGGGATCCATCCATCGGACAACACTCACTTCCTGGCCTCCTTCCCCCCCGCAAGCCATTCCTTCACGCCGACAACACCCACCACACTGCCATAATCATCCTCTCTGTCTCTCTCTCTCTCTCTCTCTCTCTCCCCTCCAAGCTCTCATTGATCATTCGACCATTCACCCTCAACTCATCTACGCGTCTACTAGCGTAAACTCGGCCGGCCACCTCGCAGCTCGTGAACAGCAGTCTCCTTCTCACTTTAGGTCATGGAGTGAAACAACCTTGTTCGGTGGATAGTCAAGCACCTCGATCGTCTCGGCTCGTCACCAACCATCAGTTCTTCCACTTCCCTTCCTCTCCCCCCCCCCCGTCACCTCCACTCCGCATCGCCATCTGCGCATCAGCACATCGCGTTCCGTCCTCGCTGCTCTCCCCAGGCTTCTCAGAAGTCACAACTGCCTGCAGTCCCGCACCTCGCCATCACTGCCGCCACGCCCGCCCCACTCCCTTCCCGTCAACACTTTCGTCGGCCATCGGGCGCGCGCTCTTCCCCTTGTTCTCCCCGCACAAGCCTCCACCCTGTCAATTCTCCTCACCCCCTTCTCATCCCTCCTCTCCCATGTCTTCCACTATCACTGCCACCATGACCGACTTCAAGTTCGACCGCCCCATCAGCAGGCCGCTCTCCGAAATATCGGAGAACGACGAACTGCGGAGAAGGAGTGCTCGCGTTTCGAGCTACTCCTCCAGCATCAGCTTGAAGGGCGGGGTCAGTGGCAATGACCGCATCTCACGTCCAGCCAGCGAAGTTCTGGAGGAGGCCAAGCGCGTCTCGCTATCGCTGCCGGTGCACACCATTACTCTCAACCTCGCAGACTACACTGGCACGACGACGTCGACCAGTGCGACGGCGCCCAAGGCTGCACCTGCGCCCGCCACCGCAACAACGGCCCAGCCCACAACCTACACCTCCCCCCTCTCGTCCACCGCTGCCGCATCGCTCGCCTCCTCCAGACGCAAGTCTATGCCATTGCCACCCAAGCTGCAGCCAGCCCAAATCGTCCCTAGCCTCGTCGAGCGGGCGCCGACGCCGAGCCCTGAAGGTGACCACAACGCGATGCAGGATGTGCAGGAAGAAGAAGTCGTCATTGACCTCTCGTAAGTTGCAACCTTCTTCTTGTCCCTTGCGCATGCTGACTGACGCTAGTGAGGAACAAGACGGTGTCTCGCCCCTCTTCATGGCAACTCGCGCTGCTCTCCGGCCGGTCGGCATACCCGCTTCTGATGTCGCATCGCTCGACTCTGCCAGCGCCTCGATCAACACTGCTTCGCCTCCATCAACAGCAAACCCATCCCTCGACCTTCCCCGCTCCTCCACAGACACCTCGTCCTCCAAACCCGCTGTCAAGAGCAAGCCAGGGTGGTTGCGACGCGCATCCATGACACCATCATTGCGATCCAAGGCGAGGTCACCTGCACCTTCCTTGGTCGATCTTCCACCAGAACCATCATCTCCACACTTCTCCACCGCCACACCGCCTGCCCTTCCTCCTCGTCAGTTCCCTGCTGGGCCGATGGACTTTGGACCCCCCACAGCCATGACAGGCTCGTCTCAGCAGCAGCAGCAGCAACAGCAGCAACCGCCTCCATTGCCTCCGCGCGACATCTATCACCCAACGCATCACTCGCAGAGTTTGCGCGATGTTGGCAGAAGATGGCGTACCGGTGGTGGTGTGTCGCGATCTGCGTCCAACAGCAGCATCGCCAGCGTTGCGTCCACCGCGACCACGTCCCACAGCCACCAACGGTTTCCTTCGACGGCGACGCGTGTCTTGGGCCATGCAGGCAAGGCGGTGTCCAGCACGTGGAACCGTGCCCGTGGCGTCGGCACCAGTATGAGCATTTCGGGAATGACCACGCTCGGCCCAGTGCGGGGTATGGAGCCGGAACCAGTTAGCCCAGGCCTCCTTACTCGCAAGCTCTCCCACGAGACGTCGATCATCCCGCAAGAAGGCCTGGTGTTCGGTGACGAGGTCGTTAAGCGTAAGCCCAAGGCTGGCCTGCGCGGACGCGTGTTTGGTCGCGATTTGGGACAAGCTGGCCGCGCATGGGGCGTGTTCGACGCGGACCAGGAACGCAAAGGCGAGGACGAGTACCACCGCCGCCGACGCCAATGTTTGCCAGCTGTGGTCATCCGTTGTGTCGACTATCTTGAGACAATTGGGCGTTTGGAGGAGGGCATCTTCCGGATCAGCGGGCGTAGCAGTCACCTCGGGCGGCTCCGGAAAGAATTCGACGCTGGTGCCGACCTTGATCTGACTCTGGTCGACCCGAGTGACCTCGACCCACACGCCATTGCGGGTACGTTCAAGAGCTATCTGCGCGAGCTTCCCGACAACATGATTCCGCCTCACATCGAACACCGGATCGAGGCGTACCTTCGCACGAAGAACCAAGATCTTGATGAGCTTGCCGAAATTCTGGGACAACTTCCGAGCGCCAATTGGTTCCTGTTGGCCGACGTGATGATGCTGATCGACTTGATCCCCAGGTCGATCGACATCAACCGTATGAGCCATCAGGCGCTGATGTTGTCGCTCGGGCCCACCTTGAGGGTCTCGGGGGAGCACGCCCAGTACTTCGTGCGCCATCGCGAGCGTCTCTTTGCCAATCCACCTGCGGTGTCACCTCGCGAGATGGTCGACTTTGGCGATGAGGAAATTCCACCCCTGTCGCCAATGTACAGTGAGCTGTCGTTCCAGGGCAACGCGCCCGTTCCGCCACCCCTGCCCAAGCGCTCAGCACCAAAGGTGTCCAAGCGTCCTAGCTTTGGCAACCTCCTTGCCAGTGCTAGGTCCTCAGCGATGCGCAAGAGCCAAAGCGACCACGCGCTTTTGCTCAGCCACCACCACACTGGCCCTGTGGCGGCCCCTGCCCCACGGCTAGCACTTCCGGAGCCCCTCCAGAATGTGCACAACTTTGAGAACATCCAGGCAAGCCACCATGTGTTCGTTGAGACGGATCCCGACGAGACTGAGGAGCTGCATTCGAGTATGGGTGGCCACGAACCGCCTGCCAAGGCGAGTGACCACGTTGATGATCACCACTATGCACCCGGAACCGTAGCCGCCCGTGCTCGCGTCTACTCTGTCGCTACTGGTTCATCTGGCGCCTCTGGTGCGACTCCGATTGCCGACCGCTTTCGGCGTTCAAGCGCAACAGTTGACAACCTCGGCGGCAGTTCCCTCTCGCTTTCGTCGCTTTCCTCGATCTCCTCGAGCCTAGGCCACAACTCAGGCCATAGCACAAGCGGATTTGAACTCCAGGCACCGCCCAATTCGATGGTTACTATCCGCCGCTCGCCGCCAGTGCTGTTCTCCTCTACCGTCACTGCCATGGCGAGTGAGGCTAAGGCCAACGCTGTGACCGTCGCGACCGACGGCCAGACCCAGCCCGCGAGCAAGGGGATCAAGCGCAAGGACGATGAAGGAGCCGAGCGCACTCGTGAGGGAGATCGCGACTCGGCCAAGCGCCTTAGCGCTGGCCCAGGTGTGCTCGGAGTGACAGGCGACAAACCCATGCTCTAATATGTGCATAATTGCAGGCCTGGTGCCTGTGCGACGCCCAGCCGCAGCTCGGATCCCAATAATACAATTCTCTGTGGCTACAGAAACGCCTCTTCCTTTGCAGCACATAGCTACAGTTTTCTTAGTTCGTCTGTTCACCACACAGTAGTGGTGTCTTGTTAGTTACGATGTACGATGTTAACGGTGTATGATATCAGGCATTTGGAGCGAGCGAGCACGGCAAGATCCGTACTACGCATTGTTCTCTTCTCTGCCTCCCAGTTCATACGCGACTGCGTCTCGCGAATTATTACATGACCTCCCGTTACGCGTTCGCGGGCCGTGAACAATGTAATCAATTCCCATGCAATGTATGTCACGCGTGACCCGTTACCTCCCATCAATCACATTTCACGTCCCGCAACAACCCTGATACCGCATCTCCCGCTCCCGAGACGACCCACAGGCCTGCTAATGCCCGAAAGTAGTGCGTGATATGCATGAGCTCTCGAGTTCTTACAACGATGCGAGGACCCTAGCGCTCACTGCACTCGCAACTTCGAGCCACGGAGTCTGTTCCGACTGAACGATTTGTGTCACATGACTTGCCCTATGGCTCAGTTGGTTAGCGCGTGGAGCTGTTATGTTGGTCTGTATATGCAGATCGCTTGCGACTCCGAGGTCCACGGTTCGAGTCCGTGTGGGGCAGACCGCTAAGTTGCGATGACTTTTTGGGCTTGATGGGACTTTTGCAACTCGCGCGCATAATTGAGTGGATGTTCGGTGCACGACTGGCTGCACGGTCGGGTAGACGATGATATGGAGCTTGAGGCCAAGAAGCGAAGCACGATCAACCTTGCGGCTGGCGAGGAAAACCGGCGCGCAGGCAAGCAGATATCCGAGGAGATGGCTGTGGTGGTCACGTGAGATTTCATCGCAGTGTTCTGTTTATCTGAAGCCTGGTGTGGGTAACTGGAGGAGAGAGGAGGGAATCAAGAGGGAGGACCAAACCGGGGCCGAGCGGAAGCGGTAAAACTTGGGGTGGAGAAACGGCGGGGAGAGTGCGGACTAACGGGCCTAGAAGGCAGAAGCGAAGAGGAGTGCGGCGCCGAGCGCGACGAGCGTGACGGCGGTCTTGTGGGCGCCACTGGACGGAGTGGCCGAAACCGAAGCGGACGCGCTGGCGGAGGAGCTAGGTGGGAGGGCGGGCGGGGTAGGCGACGTCGGCTTGAAGCTCGAGGACGCTGAGACGCTGACGGCAGCTGCTACGCCCTCAGCGACCGGCGTGACGTCGGCGACCGGCGTGACCTCAGCTACCGGGCTAACCTCGGCGGCGGCCGAGGGAGCCGCGCCGGCGCCACTGGAGGGAGAAGCGCCACTGTCCGCCGCGTTCGCGAAAGCGGCCCCAAACGCCTCGAGGTCGGTGCATGCCTCGGGGGGCTCGCGGACGTATTCCATCAACTCGAGGCTGTTTCTGGCCTCAAACATGCACTGGTAGCAGGGGACAAGCGTGGCCCACTCGGCGGGCTTGGGGTCAATGCTTGTACGAGGCGCCTCGGAGACGCGAGACGAGAAGGGCTGCTCTCGCGCTGACTCACCTTGCACATCTCCAAGCACGCAGCGCTGTTGCCCAGCGTGGCGGGGTCGTCGCACAGATCGGCGTAGTTGAGGAAGGCGCCGCAGGCGTCCACACATTGCGCGGGGAGGAGCGCCGCGTACTCGCTCTGGCGGGGGAGGAGCATCGAGGGGACAGCGGCGGCCGAGACGGCCGCGGCGCCGGCGACTGGGGTTAGGTGTGCATGCATCTCGTCGACTGACGGAGGATGAAAGAGCGCATAGCACAGTTAACGAGCGTGAGTATTGTGAGCCAAGAGATCGTGGAGAATAGGAGGCGCGTGTGGGGCGATGGGGGATGATGAGATGAGGAGAGATGGTGGGTTCCGAACGGAGATGAACGAGACGCATGTGCATCCTGGCTGCACAGAAGACGGGAGGCGTTGCGCGCAGCCTGTGCGGTCTGTGCGGGTTCCGGTGGAATAGTGGAATAGTGGAATGGTGGAATGGCGGTACGGTTGAGCTGGAGAACAGGTGGGGTGAGATTGTCCGGGCGTGATGCAGGGACCCACGGAGGCCCGAAATGTTTACATGTGCTTGAGCGGGCTGAATGTGTGGACGCGCGCTTAATAACGCGTCGCTGTGAAGACATGGGTTGGATCAGGTTTGGACAAGAGTGAGGGCGTCAAGGCATGAGTGGCGTCAGGGGCTGTGCCACAGCGCGTTATTATCATCGTCCTACCGGTGTTGCGGTCGGTAGATCTCAGCCACTTGGGACGAGGCGGAGGTGATGTGATAGGGTCGCGAGGTTGGTAGACGGTAAGATGTTCAGCTGGTGCAATGTTAGCACTGATGAAACACCAGAGATCTGTGCATCGATATCCGAATCCTACTGCGTCGGTGGCCACCGACCCCTGAGCTCGGACGGCTTCAACTGTCTGGGCTCATCTTTTGGTGATGTGGCCTCGGCCTTGGTTATGACCTCAGGCTTGGGCGACAGGTTTGCCGTCTCCGGCTTGGGCTTCAATTCTGGCTTGGGTTGCACCATTGGCTTCTCCGGTTTCGGGAGCAACTCCGGCTTCGGTTTAATCTCTGGTTTTGGCTTCGCGTCCGTCTTGCCTTCTGTCTTGGGCTGAGGCTCGGAGGCGTGCTTCTCGGGCTTGGGCTTAATCTCGGGCTTGGGCTTCAGCGTTGGCGGCACCTTGGGAGAGGTTGCCGTTGGCGAGGCAGAAGCTGCGCCGGCGATGTGTCCTTGCGAGGTGGCGGTAGGTGAGGGCGGATCCGTGCTCTTACGCGCGGGCTTGGGCGCCAGTGGGGGTGGTTTCCGCTCGTCCTTGTCGACGCTCATGCGGCGCTGCGGTGCGAGAGTCGACTTCACCTCCGCGTTGTCGATACTCATTCCACGCGGTTTGGGCGCGAGTGGCGGCTTCCTCTCGCTCTTCTCCGAAGGGGCATCTACGACCTTCTCCGCCACGCTGATCCCTCGCCTTGGGGCAGGCGGCGGTGGAGGCTTGGAGGCCAGCACGGGTTTTGACGACTCTCCAGCCTCTGCTTCCTTCATCCGCACGAGCTCAGCGAGCGCATCTGGCTTTGGCTGGGACCGGTTGTCAGGAAGCACGGCGGGGACGAGGTTGTCGGGTAGCGGGGCATCCCAGTCGAGCGTCGATCCCTTCGTCGGGCGGGGCCGGGGAGGGAGGGCGGGTGCAGCGTTCCCTGTACTCGCGAGGCTCGTACCGCTTGCCACGCTCGCCGTGCTCGGCTTGCGCTGCGGTAGCGGAGGTGTCGGACGTACAGGCGACGGCACTAGGACAAAGTCACCCGTGCTCATGGGCGTCACCTCGTTCGTGTCGGGAGGCAGACCAATCTTGCGGAACTCGGACGCTGCAGGCGGCGGAGGCGCTGGCCGCCGTCGCGGCTCGTAAGGCGCGTGCTCCACCGACGCAGGCGAGCTAGTGCCACTGCGCGGAGGAAGGGGAGGGGGTTGCCCGAGTCGCGCATATGCAGAGGTAACTGTGTCTTTTAAGTTTGGCTTACGGGGCTGGGGCTTTGAGTCGCGCGAGAAAGATGGTGGGTGCCGTGGCTCGGGAGTCGAGACCGCCGAGCGGGCCGGAGACGGCGTGAGGCTCACGCTGGTGAACTCCTTCACAAGGCCTCGCACGCCGCCAGCCGCCGCGCGCTCGATATGGTCATCCAACCGTCCGCTTGCACTAGCCTCTCGCGCCTTCGTTGCGAGCTCCGCCGCGATGGCCGAGCGCCGCGCCTCATCCACCTCAGGCACCACCGCCTCAAAGAGCGCATACACCGGCCTATGGTCGGATGTGCGCAGGTCTGGGGTGCAATTGTAGGCACGCAAGTGTAGCCCCTCGCCCTTGTACAACACGCGGTCGGTCCACGCAGGGATGCGCTGCTTCTCGCTTGAGTCGTACGTGTCCGTCCCATTGTCGTACTTGTACGTCGGACGAAAAGTGAGAGCACCCTCCGAGTATCCGGGGAACACCTCGCCGTCGTCTCGGGCAAGCGACAGCTGGTCTGCGGCAACCAGGACGTCGAACTCGTCCTGCTCGGCAGCCGCACGCACCTCTTCATTCGTCATGTCGATGCGGTAGTTGAAGTCGGCGGCCCAGATGACAATGTCGTGAGAGTCGATCGTCTTGCCACGCAAGAACGTCAGCCCATTTGAGATGGTCCGGTAGTCCGCGTTGCGGTCGGCGTACGCGGACTGTCCAGCCGCCAGGTGGCAAGTCATAAGGCACACCGTCGCGTCATACAGCTGGAAGCGGAAGCCGATGCCACCCTTGTTGCCCGACAGGCCCTGCAGCCCGGTCTTCTTCGAGGCATACTCGATGCCGCGGATGGCTGGAAGCAGGCTCTCCTTGACGATGATCATGAGCGCCGTACCCACCAGTTGCTCGCTGCGCAACATAATGTACTTGGACTCTTGGGAGTGGCGCGAGAAGGTCGCCATAATTTCCTTCTCCCACACGCGCCTGTAGTCAGCGTGAACTCACTACGGAGTGAACCTACTTCTTCGCTGGGTCAGGTTGCACGATCTGCTGCGGCGTCAACTCGACGATCTCTTGGAACGCTATCGCGTAGATGTCCACAGCGAGATCGCCGGGGAAGAGCCAGTCGTCGAGAGGTGCGTCGGGGAGCTTCCCATTTACATTCCATGTGCCGCTGAAGATCTTGAGGTTGCGTGGCGTCGAGTACTCATTCCGTCGGGCGAGAAGAGCACTCTGCACCGAGTCGCTGACCGGGTCAAACAAGACGACCGGGCGCTGCCCCGCCATAAGACCAAGCAGTAGATCGATAGCGGCCTGCTTGTCCTTGTCGAGGAAGTTGTTGATATAAGCGCGGCCGACACTCTTAGTCGCGTCGCTGATGAGCCCCGCGAACGTCTTGCGCCCACTCCTGGTCGCACTCGTGTTAAGCGCACCCGTACCAGCGTATGTCTTGCTCAGGCGGTCGCCGTTGTCGGCCCAAAGCTCGCGGTGCGCCGACCACAGCGTCGGACTGTTCAGCAGCGCACTGCCCTGCGAGCTGAGGAATCCACGAAGCGCAATCGTACTTAGCACCTCCTGTACATAGTTTGTGCGGTCGAGACAGTCCAGACAGTTGGTGCGGAAGGTGCCATGCTGCGTTGCGATCGGCTCACCGTTGGCCAGGTCGATGGCCGTATACCCAAATGCATCCACCGAGTTGGCCACATCGCCCATTGCGTTCAGGTCTGTGCGCACCGCCTCGTGTTTACCCAAGCGCACAGCCGAGTGGAAGTCGTACGGCGTGTACGTGAGGCGCGCGATGCTGTCGGCCGAGTCGTCGTCAGCATCGGCGAGCGCAGCTTTGAGCGCCCGGAAGCGCTCCGAGTATGCGTTGGAGAGCATCGCCTCTGCGTCCTTCTGACCCAGGAGGTTAATCGCGTGCACGGCGCCATAGTGTTCAAGGAGGTCGAGGAAATGCTTGTCAAAGGCGGGCTGGGTCGCCTGCGGCGGCCGCGTGATCTCGACCTTCTGCTGTAGCGTTCCGAACCCCTGCTGTGGTTGCTGCCAGAAGAGCGGTACACTCCCGCGGATCTGATTATACGAGACGATCGTCCCGCCCGTGCTGAGTATGACCTCGGTCTCGACGAAGTTGGCGACGTTGCCGTCATCGTCGATGCCGCGCGTCCGGAAACGAGCACCAGCGCGCTTGCAGCTCAAACGTGAGATGAGCGCCAGGCCGCTCAACTTGCCCTCCTGCGGCGACCACGAACCTGGACCGAGCGGAACCGAGCCCACAAACCCCTGGATGACAGGGAGGAGGAGCGCGTGCGAGTCGAGCTCGTCGCGTACCGGGTCAGGCAGGTTCTGTCGGAACACGAGCAGCGGCTGAAGAAGATGGGCGTTCCACACAAAACGTTCGTCCCAGCCCTCGAGCGCGCTGCGCCCGTGCCCCTTCTCGTCCGCGACAACATTTGTGCCCTGGCTACCGAGGTGTCGCGAAATGTCCCACTGACATCCAGCGGCGTGGAAGAAGCCGCCCGACTCGAGATACTTGCGCATGCCGCTCCACGGGTCCTCCACACCCGCTGCCTGTGCAAGACTCATATTGTTGCCGCGCGTATCTGCGCGGTGGTAGTACTCGGCATCCTCGGCGTCGATCGGGTCGAAAGTGCTTGAGCTTGGCACGAGCCCTGGCGGATCCCAGAAGTTGGATGTCAGTGAGTGAAACTCAACGGAGACGACGCGCGCAGGGCGCAATGTCGAGCCGGGAATGAGGGGCGCAAGGGGCGTCGATGCGGTCAGAAGGAGGAGGAAGACATCCGGGACAGGTGAACGTTCTGCTGTTAGTGCTGCGGGAGGCGATGCGGGCTCGGCGGTCGTGTGCGCAAGGCCGCGCGTCACTAGCTCACCACTTGGCACACTGGTGACACCTAAGACGCCCTCGACGGACCGGTATTGCCCCGCGGCGACAAGGCCGTTCGTGTCAACCTGGTCGATGGGCAGAAACTCGGCAACGACGACGGACCGTGTGGCCTTGCTCTCATCTGCGCCGGGCTGGCGGAACACGAGCGCATGGGTGTCTGTCAGAAGAAAGAATGCGCGCGGCTGAGGCCGAAGGTATAGCCTCGCCGGCATGGTCGGAGAGCGGAGAATATGAGATTCAGGAGGCGAGGTAGAGGTGTGATGGAAGACAGAGTGTCAAGATGGGGTGGCCGAAATGATCGACGACGCGGAGGGCCTGTTTCGTCACAGTTGTCGTCACCGGGTCACCGTCACGGTCCATAGCGTGGGGCACCAACAAACCTCGTTCAAATCTCCGCACCAGGCCGCGCGATTTTGGTCTTTTGAACGTCGGATCTCGCGCCTACTTAATGTGTATAGTGTAATGCAGTGCATGAATTATTAATTGGATGTGCTGATTGCACAGTCTGATGTAACTCTCGTGCTCTCGCTCCTCCCTCACTCCCTTCCTCCTCCCTCTCGCGACCCCTCCTCGTAAACGGAGTGTTCCCATCATTTACAACCGCTGCTTGATCGCGCGGCCAATTTGGCGCGCATATATCAAGCAGAAGCCCGTGGCTATCGGCAGCGCCGTAACCAGGAGCCAGAAGCCGACGAAGAGTAGCACTGGCAGCCAGAAGAGATACAGCATGCGGTCCTCTGTTTTGTCAGCCTGGTCCGTCATATGCACTAAGAACTCACGCTTGACCTGCTCGACGACACTGCTGCTCAACTGTCCTGACGATCGCGAGTCCTCGCTGGCGCGGCGCTTGCGGCGTTGCTTAAGCTTGACTGGAGAGGGCGACATGGACGTCTCCTGTAGGTGGGACGTCGTCGCACCGGACTGCACGACAGCGTTAAATGCCGCCGCCGCCATCGCCTGAGTGAAGAGCTTGACCTCCTCGGGGCTAGTGAGCTTCTGCAATGTGTCCCATGATGGAGCGGGGAATGCAACCCAGTTAGTCCCAGGGTGCTGCTGCTGATGCTTCTCCCAGCTGCCGAGGAAGGTGGGGAGGGCGCCGTTTATCGTGTCGCTTATTGGGTGCGAGATGTTAGACAGCGTTCGAGACATCCATGAACCAGCCTCGGGAGGCGCGTAGGGAGGAGGATCGTCCCGAGGAATGGACTGGAACGCCGACGTTTCCGGTGACTCCTTCGGCGAAGTACGACGCGACCGGTTGAGCGGGCTTTCCCTTCGCACGTCGAGGGAGCGCTGCTTGCCACGGCGCCGTATGGCCTTGCGAGAACGGAGAGCTCGGCTTGCGTTGGAGATGCTGTCAACCTCAACGCCGTCCTCGTCAGACTCAGACTCGGAGGACGAGCTTGGGTTATCGTTGTCGATCCCGCTGAGATCTGACTCTGAATCAGGCGAAAGCTCGTAATCAGACTCCACAACGGGCACATCGGGGTTGGTGGACCATACCGCGGCGAGCAGAAGACCCTCAACTTCGTTCTCGTCGTCAACTTTGGCGAGGTCCAAGGGCATCTCGCCGAAAACGGTGGGAACATCGTATGCCGCTCCAGCCTCGAGGAGGATTCGAGCGCAGGCGGTGTGGCCACACAGAGCCGCGAAGGCAAGAGGCGTGAAGCCGTTCACGTCTTGAAGATCAAGCTCTGCTCCAACAGCGATAAGGCGCCGCAGGAGTCGAGAGAAGTTCAGGACAGTCGCCAGGTGAAGCAATGTTTGCTGCGCCTTGTTGCGGAGATTTACAACACCTGACGGCTGTAGTGGCCCGACGGACGTATCAAGCCAGTCCAGGCATGTCACGAGGGTCGTCTGGAGGTCCATGGGCTCCGCCGGTAAGGTTGCCTCGTCCTGATCGCCGTCGATTGTCGCTTGGTCCATCAGCGGTGCGGCTGAAGCGTCGTATGAGGGCTTGCCCCCCGCGGGGCTCATGCTTGAACGATCACTGATATCACTATTCTGGTTGGACCGGGCGAGATGATCGACGAGGCGCACAGCAGGATCCGCAGCCGCATGGCGTTGGCGCACCTCGAGCATCAATCGCATCCTGAAAGTCAGTACCGGGTCCGGCAGCGGTGAACTCACATCTCCCTGTCCATGCCAGTGTATCTGAACAGCATAGCCGGAGCGTTCATGTCCCGAATGTGGCCTTGAACAGTCACCTCGACATCACCCGGCGTAGGACTGGGCGGTAAGGTGCACTGAAGGAACGAGTCGCTAACGTAGGTCGTGATTGCCGGCCGACCACCAAAGACGATGACAGTGTCTGGCTGGAACAGACGACCAGCGATGGCAACAGGAACCCCACCCGCCATATCTCCCTCGGCAGGGATTACGTGCGACACGACCGGGACAGGCTGCGGCTGCACTTGCACCTGCTGCTGCGCGAGGAGCGCGAGCAACGCTCTTGTCTGAGCTTCGTGGTCGTTGGCGCTGTTGTTGCCGACGCGAGGAAGGGATCCCGGCTGTTGGAAAGGGGAAGGCCCAGTACCAAGGTCGAGGCTACCCATGCCGACGGTCGGTGAAAGAGACAGGCCCTGCATTGGGCTGATTGCGCTGTTGCTCTCCCCGCCAGAGTAGTCGATCATGTCATCCAACGAATTGCTCTCCTGCGGCGGCAAGCCACTGTCGCTGAAGAGGCTCCCTTGGTTGTTGAAGCCGGAGAAGACTGACGAATGGTCGTCCTGGTAGCTGCTTGACGTGACCGACGCGTGGCTAGAACCTCCACCGAACATCAACATACTTTCCAGCTCTGACGCCACATTAGCCATGTCGACGTCGTGCTGCGGCACAGACTGCTGGTTGGCGAACAGTGGGTTCTGTGCCGCGCCAAGCGCTGACAGGTCAAGACCTTGGTGCGACACGTTGATGTCGTTGCCAAACATGTCGTTCGAACCAAGCCCATTCACCCCTAGACCGGCACCACCCATACCGTTCAAAGCGGGATTGGGGCTGGGCGCGTGCGAAGATGGGTTCGACATGTTATTAATGTTGGTCATGGGTGTCATGGACGCGAAATTGGGGCGCCGGAGGGCGTCCGGGCTGACCGTGCACTGTTGTATGGCCTCGGGTGTCCAGTTTGTGATGTCGGGCTGAGACGCGTAGGAGGAGGCTGACACCTGTCGGGAAAGTCGAGGGCGCTGGTTCTCGGCTTGGTTCAAAAAGTCGAATGGCAAGGCAGAGGTCTGCACAGCTGGTGACTGGGAAGGAGGGCGCTCATAGGGCTTGCCCTGGCGCACCTGCGGCGTTTGCTTTTGCGTCACCGCTCCGACCTCGGAGGTGACACTCATCTCGCTCTCGGACGGGGCGGGAGATACACGCTGGGATGAGGCTGTGCTCATTCGACCCTTTCTTGCGCGGGGAGGCTGAGGTCCAGTGACGGCTGCAAAGCGGTCAACTCGAGGCTTGGACTTGGCGTCTGTCTTGTGGTCATCGGTGATCTTGATCGGATGAGTGATCTCGGAGGCAATAATGCGCCCATCAAAGGTGCGGAGGGTGAACTTTATGCGGAAGCCGACCTTCTCGCCGTGGCACTTGCAGTAGCAGATGACGCGGAACGGGAGCCAGAAAGCAGAACCGTCCTTGACCGCAACGTCTGGCGGCGAGTTGAAAAGGACAATCTCGTGTCGCCAATCCGGGATGGTTGGGTCCCAAGGCGGCTCCTCTACCACCTGACCGATCCGGTGCGGGTCGTACTGAACTGCGTTTTCTCCCGTGATGTAGTCCTCAGAGGGGGGTCGGAGGGAAGGTCGAGGAGCGTTGGGTGCGACGACATCGGTATCGGCGGCAACTTGCTTCTTCCTGGCAGCGTCCTTGTTCTGTCGCCGACGTTCCTCGCGGGCTCGGCAGCGCTTGCAAGCGTAGACGCGCTTGCCATTCTCCCCGCTCATGTAGACAGCGGTCTCCACAAAGGCGAGATGCTGGAGAGGAATAGCGCCTTGAGCCAACTGCTTCTTAGAGCTCGTCTTGGTCGTGGTGCCCGCTTGCAACCGGAGTCCTCGAAAGTTGGCCAACCTCTCGAATGTGTAAAGGCTATTGCCTGAGGGATCGCGGGGGATGAGCGTGGCGAGGGTGGTGTGCGGATTAGGTGCGGATGGGGAAGGGGGAATCTGACGGAGCATGTCGATGATGACGCGGATTGCTGTCTCAACACGCTGCTTGTGGATAACTTGCGGGTCACCCTGTAACAAGATTTTGTTACGACGGCTGTGAAACGTCAGCTACATAGGTTGGGATTCGTCAATAAACTCACGTAGAATACCCTGCGGCAATGTCATCAAGCGCTGGCGTTGAGACCTGAAGCCCATCAACAGTATAGATTCGCTTTGGAGGCTCTGTTCGCGACCCTCCGTGCCCAGATCCCGTAGCAGTACCGGTCATGCTTTGGGCAGTAGAGGTCGATGGCCTGGCGGATGCAGAGCCGCCTGCCTGCCCCGTCGACGACGCCGGAGCCGCCTGCTTGCCATCAGGCTGTGCGTCGGCCTGGCGAATGCCAAAGTTGCCGAAAGAACCATATGATGTGCTGAGAGTCAGTGTCAGGGGTAACAAGAAGAAGGTGCTTCCCAACTTCGCGCGCGCACGCCGTTCGTGGGGCGGGGTGGCGGGGCGCGCGGAGTGGATGCTCTTTGTGTGCTGCACTGGACTTACGCTCCCGTGAGATTGCTCAGGATGGCCTGCATGCCTTGCATGAGTTGGCCAGATGTGTGAGGAAAGGTGAGGAGGCCGTTAGGACCTGTTGGGGCGTTATCGCCGCTGATGTTCTCTGGAGACGATGGGATGGTAGATCGTGTCGAGAATGGTGACGATGTTGAGGACGAGTGACCCGCCCCCCCCGAAATGAAAGGACCCACCATCCGACGAGCGCGAGCATGTCCGATCGAGCTTTGCTGAGAAGTGGTCGGCCCGTTTTGCTTCTCAGCGACTTGCGTCGCCGCGGCCTGTTGGTTGGCCAGACCCCGCTTAGACGCGCTGCCGCGAAGCATGGCCGGAATGTGCATGCCCAGCATCGACTTGCGAGAGCTGCCAGACGGGGTTCGCTGTGAGGATGTGCCCGTTGGGGCAGGGACCGCTTGTACAGAGTGTCGAGGTGCCGCAGCCGGCTGAAGCGGGTAATGCTGTTGCTGGTCGGGAGCAGATGCGAGCTTGGCAAGCGAGGCAGAAGACGCAGATGACCGTCTGAAGAATGGTATAGACGACGGTGTAAGTCTCTTGGAGTTGCTCTTTGGGATAGGCGGCGGCACGAGGCTACTAGAGCCAATGCCTCCTCCGCCAGGCGCAATGGGAGTGATGCTGTGATTTGATCGCGCATCGGCGGCGCCAACCGTTCCTCCGACATCAATGGAGTCACGCGAATGAATGTGGTCGAGAGGCTGTGCACGGGGCGAGGCCAGGCCCATCTTGTCTTCCTTCCAAGGGGTAGGAGGGCTGCTGGGCTCAAACATAGATGAGGTTGCCGTTCCTACAGACGGCGACAATGTGGGCGAAGTGGACGGCTCCTTCTCCTTGGCGTGGTTGTGCAACTTGTTCAGGCTGAGGGCGGATGAGAACGACCACTTCTTGCTCATCGTTCGTGTTCGTGGGGTGTCGGCCAATGGGCTCGTTCTCGTTGTGTGTGATGCGGTGTCTGACGAGTGCTGGCTGTTGGGCGAAGGGAAGGTGAGGGCAGGAGGTGCACTCTGCTCGCGCGTTGTCCGCTGCATCTCCTCAGGCTGAAGAGCAACATACTGAGACGGCATGAGGGGATTACTTGATCCCAGAGTTGCCAAGCCCTGACGCATCGACTGATAGCCACGGGGGAGAGGAGGGACAGGTGGCACAAAAGTGTTTCCACCGCCTTGCTCGTGTGTACTCTCCATTGATGAGTGATCACTGGCAAAGCTTGGACGTCTCATCGCTTTCTCGGCCCGGATATCGCGAGACTCGCGATGCTCGCGGTAGCCTGATGTTGGCGTTGTTGTGGTGGACGGAACGCCGTGCGATTCGCGCGATGTCGGCGTGCCAACAACACTAGGAGAGGATTCGCGCTTTTCAAATGTAAGTGGCGGCACGTCGCTAGCGCCGCTTAGGGACTGAGAGCCAGATGCGCTCTGCTGAGTTGCCAGGTGTGACTGTTGACCCGTTGTCTGATCAGGCGGGCTGTCAAGCCACAAATCTCTATCGCGAAGGTTGTGAATGCTCGAGAGGCTATGCTTACCGGTGAGGCGGCGAGCCGTGTCGGGAGGGGAGCTCGCACGGCGAGGAGTAGCCGTGCCCGAAGTGCTCGACTTTTTAGGAGCCGCGCCGAGCCCGTCCAACTTGCGCAGAGCCTCGGCGGTGGCAGATGCTTCACCAGCCTTCATCGACTGGGCGCGAGAGCGTGCCGATTTCATCGAGTCGGAACGCGCAAGAGAAGGCTTGTTTGAAACCGAGATTGAGCCAGGCGGTGTGCGGACCTGGGAGATATTGTGAGTGGAGGCTGAACCCCGAAGGAGATGACTAATGGACGCTGTCGAAGGACTTGGGGGAAGGTGTGAAAAGTCCTTGGGGGCGATATGCCGGAGAATGTCATGATGGGGCGCGCTCGGGCTACTGGGCACGCGGCGCTTGGAGGCTACAGACTCGCGGTAGCCTGGAGGTGTCTTGCGGGCATTGAATGACTGCGTGTGCGAGTCGGCAGACGGAAGAGGCGACAGGGCTGATCCGGAAACCGGCAGAGGTGGAAGCTCGACCATTTGGGGTGCGGGCACACCGGCTGCAGCCAATGCTTGCTGGCGTGACATACGTCGAGCGTAGATGCGTTCGCGAGCGCTACCGGGTACAGGTGGTGAGATGGTGGCGCTCTCAGGCACCTTGGGCGGAGGAACAGGTGGTGTTGAAGACGTTGGGAACTGTGCTTGCTGATCGTCACCAAGCAACGGCGAGGACGAGTGCGTGGGAGCTGGAGGTGCTGAAGCACGGAGACTGCGGGGCGGTGTAACCTTGGGCTCGGGCATAGCAAGCGAAGCAGCCAAAGAACCAGGCTCTATGGTAGAGTGAAACGAAAAGTCGCCGAGGGAAGAAATCACAGAGTCTAAAGGAGGAGCGGCGGGGGGACTGTGGTGAATGGGTTGCGGTAGCTGCTGGTGCTCAGCGCGTTGCGTACGCTGCGGTGTGTCGTGGGACACGGAGCGGTGTCGGACACGCTCTCTGCGAGGGCTCTCCTCTGTGACACGTTCCATGACGTTCAGATTATTTGGGATTGTCGGTTGACGTCCAGGGGCAGAACCAACAAACATGGCGCGGTCAAGAGGTGGAAGAGGCGGGGTCAATGCAAAATCTTGAGACATGCTTGGAGTGCGAAGGTGCCGTCCATCCGAGGGTCCCCAGCGAGGCGTTGCAAGCTCGCCTACCCCGATCAGTCCGCGTCGGTCAATGTTGGAGGGGTCCATGTATTCGGGAGTGCTTGGCGGGTATGAGAGGTGCGAATCACCTGGTGAAAGGCCGCCAGGAGAGAGTCCTCCGGGCGAGAGACCCCCAGTGCCAGCATTCAAGTAGTACGAGTCTATTCTGCGGAAGGAGTCAGCGTAGCACAAAACACAGCAATTGTTGTTTATTGGACGCACGAGACGTAAGACACACGATCGCCGCCGTTGGTCGCAATGGATGCCCGAGGGTCCCCGACCAGCGATGCACGCTGGTCATCAAACGAACCGAGGCCCAAACCTCCGACTGCTGACAGAGGGACTGTCTGAGGTGGGGACACGCGTGATAATGCTGCAGGGGAGTGGTGGGTCGGAAATGGGACTGGCTCCGTGCGCGGTGGTGATGGGGGTTGATTCTGAGGAGCTTGCTGCATTGACACACGCCTACTAGCGGGAGCGGTAGGCAGAGGGCGTGGCACAGGCTACGAAGTCAGCGGCGCCCCTTTGAAATTCCCGCAGCAGCGCTGGCGACTGGAGAAAAGAGGATTTGGATGGACTCACCATTGTCAGGTCAAGGCGACGGTCAGAGGTGTACGCTAGCTGCTCAGGTTCGGTAGAGTAGACGCGGTCTCGGTATCCCAAGTCGAGGGCAGCAGGCGCTGGTGCACGTCTTCCTCGGGAATTGTAGGCCAAAGAGCTCATCGACTGCGAGCTGGGAAGGCGTTCCTGGGGATGCGATCCTGTCAACTCGTCGCCACTGGCCCAAGGCAGCTGCGATTCTAGTATCTGGTCGTTGTTAACCGACGAAGGTCCCGGTCCCGAGCCGGTGATCCACGAAGATGGGGGGTGGTGTCGTGGATCGTCGAATTCACGGCCACTGGCGCCTCCGGCCCGATCACTTGCGGCGTCCGCAAAGCGGTCCCTACTGTTGTTGACAGATCGCGGCGAGGCTGTTGCAGTGAATTGAGGGCTGGCAAAGTCTGTTGTGGATGCGTCCGTCGAGCCTGGGCCGCCAGCGGAGGGCCAGCGACGCGGGGCATGCAGGGAGTGGCCAGCGCGGGGCGGCGAGCCTCGCGCGGCTGGGTAGGACATGGAGGAGGGCACTGCCTACTGGCGGTCTGTCACTGGGCCGTGTTAGCGATTGGGTACTGGGGGGAAAAGGGTAGGGCTTGGAAAGAGTGGAAAGGTTTGAAGGATAGAAGAGGCGAGATGTGAGTGAGAGAGAGAGAGTGAGAGAGAGACCGAGGAGGTGGAGAGACGGCGGAGGGAGGAGGGGGCTGGGAGGGCTGTGGGCATGGGAGGGAGGGATGGGTGGTGGGAGGGATGGGAGGGATGGGATGGGATGGGGTGGGACGGAGGGGAGTTTGCGTGGTCACGAAGGAAGAGTCGCGCGCGCGGTGCGCCCCATCTTTGGCGCGCGCGCGCG